AATATTTTATCATAAATAATGAAGTGTGAACCATTAAAATAGTCATCACCGAACCCTTTCTCTTTAGGTAATGCGTTTACGCTTGCAGGCGACACTTTTTCTGTACACACAAAAGTGTATTAATGTATTATATGTTAAGCCATTTGTAGTACCTTTTGGGGCGAGAATAATTGGAAATTAAGGGAGTTATGTGCTAGTCAATGGAAGTCTAAAATGCAAAAACCACAACAAAAAATACCGATACGATGACTAAATAGAAGTGATGGCAAGGGTTAGTTTTGCAACTTTAACACCTGTCTTGAGAAAATGCATGTATAATTGTCAGGTTGATCGTGCCTGGATTGAAGTGGAGTTTGGGCCTTGGGGGCCTGTGCTGAATGATTACAAATTAGTTTTCGATTTTGCTATACATAAATGAAATAAAATGAGGTTTAACCTCCTACTTTTCAGCACCTACCGGGAAATAAAGCCGGGCATACGCCATACAATGGGCAATAAAGGAATTTTGTCCGGACAGTGACGCTACGGCCTAAACATATTTCGAATACAAACTGTCAACTTTATGTATATATCGGTATCTTTACTAGAAGTAGAACACTTAATATGATACTACTTCTTGTTAGATTTAGAAGTTCAAATGATCAGTAATTATTGTATTTAACTTGCATTGATCAATATCGATGCATTATATTCAGTGATTGTTTAGAGGGTTTTATTATTATACTGTCCGTTTAATTATAACACAGACAGTCCAAGTCTAACCACACAAACTGTAATGACTTGTTTATCTACTTTATTTCAGTTGGGAGGGGAATGTATATAATAGTTAGTATGTCCTGACCAGACCACTGTTTTATCTGTAGAGAAGGCACCTTATAAATTGCATATTTGTTTATGTAGAAGTTATTAACTAATGTCAACAGTTGTTGACATGTGTAGAAAGTTAATGAGGGCTCTCCAGATTCTATAACATTTTATCACGTTTAGATGTTAACTTATAAGAGCTAGGTCAATAGGGTTATATATCAAAGATCTTTTCAATCATCTTGTCACTATTTCATATATAACCTGTTAAACTTGTACGATCAATGTTGAATTATTTTACTTTTAGCGTATTCAAACGCTATACATGTACATCTATTTTTATATACAAGCCCCCAAAAGTAAGAGAGGGGTGATTTTTGGGGTTGGTGGTAGTCTTTGCACATTCCTCGTATGTGTTATTAAATTAACACTTTAGTTTTGCTGCGTTTTATACCTTCACGTTGAAATGTTGTCGTATATTGGCGTCGCCTCCGTCCGATTGACTTTAAATTTATACACAGTGTTTAAGGTATTGCGACGAAGAAGCCTATTAATGTTTAACGATTTCCGACAATTACTGCAAGAGTTATGGCTCTTGATCACTTTGAAATATCTTGTAGACGCTGTAGAGGCTAAAGTTAATATCCGATTGACTTTAGATTTATACACAGTGTTTAAGGTCATGAGACAAAGCAGCCTATTGGTTTTCAACGATTTACAATAATTACTGCCAGCGTTATGATCCTTGATCACTTTGAAAAATCTTGTGGACGCTTTAGAGGCTAAAGTGAATATTTGAATGTCTTTAAATTTATACACAGTGTTTAAGGTCAGGAGACGAAGAAATCAAGTGATTTTCAACGATTTCCGATAATGATTGCCCTTGATCTCTTTGAAATATCTTGTGGACGCTCTAGAGGCTAAAGTTAATATAGGATTGCTATTCAACGATTTCCGATAATTTCTGCCAGAGTTATGGCCCTGGGTAACCTTGAAAAATCTTCTTGGTGCTCTAGAGACCAAACTTATCATTCGATTGATTATGAATTTATAAACAGTATTTACGGTCATGGGACGAAGACACCTATAGAATTTCAGGGATTTCAGATGATTACTGCCAGAGTTATGGTCCTTGACTACTTAGAAAAAATCTTGCGAATGCCTATAGGCCAAAACTTCAGTTTCATACACGGAGTTTAAGGTCTTGAGACAAACAAGTATATTGATTTTAAATGATTTTTAATAAATTGAACAGCTAAATCCATGGTACTAAATGTTTTGTTTACTAAACGTTAGCAGGGGCAGGAGTTGACGCCAAATTTTAATGATTTTCTGATGATTACTTAATGAGTTTAATCTTTAAGATGTATAATTGTTTCATTACTGACAAACGAAAACAATAAGCGACAACACTTGTTGACTGCGTTGCGTGGTAAACTACCTTATGATATTTATGGCAGTTAATTGCAACATTCGTGTAGACAGATATTATAGTTATCTTTCTTTATATAATCTGCACCCGCTAAAAGATTACTATTGGTGTTCGCATTCACAGGTCTTGTTAATAAAACATGACTGTACGGTCACTCCCTAATGACAAATACATAACACTGTATATTATTATAACGCTACAGCCTATATGTAAGACTATACCAACAAGAATTATAATAATAGCAAGTCTATCCAGTGAATATACATATTGTTTTCTGAATCACAGATAATTTGATCAATCGTGTAGACTGAGCAAACAGTAGGAAATATTGAGCAGCTGCATATAAAGATCTTGATTCCTATTGATATTCGTGCATATCAGAACGTAACTTCCTGAATTATGGCCCTTGATTGTACGAAAAATCGCGTTTTTAGCTTGTGGTCCGTCTAGAGGTCACAATTTTTTTCTGATTGAAAAAAAAACAATTAAATATTTGGTTCCTGTCGATATTCGTGCATATCAGATTGTGTCTTCCTGAATTATGGCCCTTGATTGTACAAAAAATCGCTTTTTGTTTAGCTTGTTCTCTATCTATCTCTTGCAAAATGCGGGCGTATCCTGCTTGGCCGCCGCTGGTTCATTGTTTTTATGAAACACTCTAATAGTGAGCTGCTCAACAACCCAACTGTTTATTGTTAGTATTTAGACCTACATTATGCAAAAGCTATAACTGCCAATTGCACATCCTCTTTTTCTGGCTTCATATGTTACATAAATTATTATTATATTCACATGCAACACCCATAATCAACTCTCTGGCATATTGGATGGCTTAGATATTGAATGGACTAGACAATGCCCGCCATATCTTCGTTAAACGATAGTAAGATGACTGTCGATTAAAGGATTGGAAAATCAAGAGTTTGTTGATTATCATGGCAATAGTACAATCGAGAATATGAACTGTCAATCGTCTTGTCGAGGACAGTTTAGGATATTTCTTGTCAAAACTCAAACATTCATAACTTGACTCACAGTAAAGTAATTTAACTTGATATTTGTAATATATTCATTTTTCATTGTTATTTTTAAAATATTGTAGTAAGAACGACTTGCTATTTATCTAAATCTTACAAAAAGTATTGTATTGCAACGTGATGCCCTATTATGCATGCAAACGTTTAACGCTAAAATTGGATTATCGTACTTTTAAAGAAGACCCCAAGCCAAATTGGGTGCCGAATCAAACAATAACACCCTCACCACCCTATATGTAGGTATAATATACCTACTGTATACAATGTAAAAAGTATACAAGTTTTCTATATTTCATCTCATATTATGAGTAATACAAAGCCGACTTGTAATCACCTGTTTTGTAGAGAGGATTATATTTTTAAATTGTAGTTGAACATGGAAAAGTATTGTTTGTTTTTGGTGTCACTTTTCACATGTAACATGGACATTCCCGTCATTCTATTTTTAAAAATATACAGTTTAAAGAGATATATAGTATATGCTTCTCCGTAATTTGAGGTAACCAATTTGTTTGGAGGGGGGGGGGTGTTAACGCAAGAGTATCAAAGCTCACCTGCCCTGCGTAGTCGTTCGGATGCGACGCAAACCGAGGTCCCGTGTACACATTAACATGCACGTAATAGGTCTCTTGGCTGTTGTCTTTCGATATAAGAGTAAGCCGTAGCACACTGTGGCGTATGCCCGTCTTCATTAGCCCAGTGGGGATAGAACAGTAGGACGTTAAACCCTATTTCATTTCATTTCATTTCACTGCCCTGAAAATTAATTCACCACCAAATAAGAACATAATATTAACGCTGAATCATTTTAATCAGCTGATTTGGCGAAATTAATGTATGTACAATCCATGAATGAACTTTCTGTACAAACTCCAATAATTAGTCCATTTTCACGTTTTTCGGCGAATTAGTCAATTGATTTTAAAACTAATGGCTCACTAACCAGTAGGACCCGAGATCGATTTCAATCTGAGACCAGAAAGTTCCTCGGGATTTTCCGGACTGTTTTCACCTTGCCAGCGGTGCGAGGACTCAGGACCTGGTAAGGGAAAGCGACGAAGCATTAGGAGGCCCGATTTACACATTGGTGTTCGTGTAAAAAAGAACGCTTCCAATTTTGACGAGGAAGAGATCGGGAAACGCAGCTGTCCAGGAATGGCACAAGCCCGTCGGGAATGGCACAAGCCCGTCATGATTAGCCCACTTGGTACAAAACCTGTTGACCATTTGATTTTATCACTTTAAAACTGGGTCATAATTGGTAAATATTAAGTTTATGTTAACGTAATGTTTATGAATAGACTTTTGTTTCCTTTTTTTAAAACAATGTCTTGTCTTAAATATGCCAAAGCTCCGTATGAGCTTCACTCGACTTTATATACAATAGACAAAATAACTTGACGCATCTTTCACCCTTTGTCCCAAAGTAATTGGGTTCATACAATTTCTCTAGTACAGTAAACAACGGGTCACATGTGTGAACTCGAACGTAAACAAAAACAGTGTGTACTTTAGAAAATGTAAAAATCGAAGTTAAATATATTCAGTTATTGATATAAAATGTTCAACATCTCTTGCACTTGAACTAACACTGTCTTTGTCTTAATATCGCCCCCACATTAAAACCAGGTGATGATCAAGGCGATGATATTAGGTGTGGTCGTAATACAGCGGCGACCTGTATTTCCAAGCGTTGTGTGGGACGCTCGAACGCCATTGGAGGAAAACAAGTATCCGTGACGTTGTATGGGCGTTTTACATGTTTTCCCTTTTACCTACACATTTTATTATTTCTTGTTAAAGTTACTGGTTTAGCGTAGATAGTTTAATTAATATCTGTGAAGACAACATTAATTTCGAATTGGATTGGGCCGCATTTTAGTCTCCGCTCAAAGACGAGGTAAGCTCATTCATTTACCTGACATAACTACCCACATTCTTGATCCTTTTCCAAATGTTGTGTAAAATGAGTTTTACCGTCAATAGTATGTCAGAGCCTTGACAGCTGGTTTTAATTCGTCATTTTAAGACGAATGTATTTGTTATTTAATATTTTATTGCATAGTAAATATATTGCTTTAGTTGCATAGGCCTATTATAATACGCCATGCGTCTATCGCATTGGGCTATTTATTATACATTAACTATGTATAATGCATGGTTAAAGTATCCAAAACTGCAAGACAGTTTTCTTTCTGTTCTATATATATATATATATATATATATATATATATTGTGAACAAATGCATTATTTGTTGTATGCACGTACAGACAAACAATACGCATGATTTCCGTTGTTTAAATTAAATTTGGTTAATTTTATCTAAGTACAGTGCAGTTTTTAAATGCACTGCAACAGTTGCTCCATGCAGTACATTAGTTATTTTAAAGCAATGGCACTGAACTTCGACATTCTTCCACGTCTACATTAGCCCAGTCGGAGCAGAACAGTAGGATGTTAAACCCCATTTCATTCGACATTCTTCTTTGCATACACTGATTAAGCATAAGGTGCGAATAAATGATAAAATAATCTGGTCTTCAGTAGTTTGGAAAGGACGCAAAATGAGTATCCCCTAGTTTAGCTAGGTAGAATAACACTTCTCTAATATTGTATGTATATCTATGCTCGATGACTGTACCTGTAATTATGACATTTTGAACAATTGTCATACTTTTTCTGTTATGCTTGTATGCACCCATTCACGGTTTGCGGACTTCTCTTATAACAATATCGATATCGATCAGTTTAATATTGAACTAAATGCCATGTTACAGAAAGGGGACCTTTTTAGGATGCAGACCACGCATCATTGTGTAGTTTGTATGGAGGTATAGTAAATAAACGTGGGCTATGTTTACGATGTTGACCTATTAAATACAATGGGAATGCCGAATGGTGATGAAATCTTATTTGTCTTAAATAAATATACCCACACTACAGACTACCCACGGCAACCACCTATTAAGCTGACAGACATTAGATTTTGTTGGGACTATGCACCAACTTACATGCCATCCTAATATTATGTACTGATAACAATTATCTTAAAATATCCATACTTGGACCGTTGTGATGGCTAAGATGAAATCTTGTACTTTGAGTGCACAACACATGAAAAGTATAGGTTAAATAACGAAAATGAATTTGATGAAAGTTTGCAGACAGGTTCAAAGATGACTTAGTTATTATAGCTTTATACCTGTTCCATTGTCTTCAGCATCCTCGGAGCAATTCTTAAAAATCTAGATGTCATTCAGCTTACTCCCGGTTTCTAGGAATAATTTGACATCAAATTATGGTAATGAGCAAACTATTATAATAACTGATGATAGGTTTGTTGGTGTAGAGTAAACGCCGTTTTAATTAATTCAGTAGTACCCGGATAATCATGCACTGAGTAGGATACGTATGGCCTTGAGAATAAACTGCTGTTATTTACTTTCGGGCTATTTTAGGTTAGATGGCTTTAGATAATTGATAATTTAACATGAGTTTTCTGAATTCAGATAGGTACCATATTTATTGCTTTGTGAATAACTCAAATGTAGTGGGGTTTAACGCAGTGTGCTATGGGGGATATTTTGCCCTAAAAGTGTTTCCGACTGCAAGAATTCTTTTACGTTTACACCAACAAGCACACGGTGTACTGCACCCCTGAGCTACTTACAAGGAGAAGCCAGTCTTGAATATCACAAGAAACTTTGGCAGACAACACCGGGGTGGAGACCGGGGCATCCTTGTTAATGAGCCGTGTGGAAGTGGATAGAATGGTTCAACAATACGTAAATCTTCAGTTGTAACGTTGCATATTCAAAATTGCAGTTGGGATCAAATTTGCTAAATACCAATGTAATAAGGAACCTCTTAAGATGAGATTTAGATAATACTCAGTTGATTTAAGTCCCTTAACCTTTCAATATGCATGGAAATGTATATAACTAATATGGTTGTTCTTAGCAGACAAAGCTTCCCACTTCCCTAAGAGGTGTAACATAATATTCGTTTCGTAGTGTTATATTCAATATAATATTTTTTAAGTGGTATATTATATCTGATGTAATATGATGTACCATCAACTGATTGTTCTGGGTAGTTTCTTATTTTAGCTATTTAATGAATCATCTATAAGATATTATATATTTGCCTAGAGGTTGTGTTTGATGAATCGTGAGTGAAATCAACTGAACCGTAGACACACTGGCTCGAATAAAATGTATATATTTGAAGTAGAACCTTGTATAAATACCTGGTTAATATTTTTTTTTCTGTTCTTGTTAACACTGGTTAAAGCGGGTTGTACACTACAGATATTTTCTTTAGATATTTTACTTATATTTCTACAAGTGTCCAATTTGTAATGTCTGCTATCAATTCCTCCTGTGGTAGTACTGTAGCAATATTGTGTGCGTTGAGGACCAGGTCTAAAACTTATTTTATGCCAGCATTTGAAACGTACCTTGCTACAAGCTGGCTTCTGACAATTAATATTGACAGTTTGTATAGTGTCTGAGAGCCGCGATTTCTAGGTATGGTACTGGTGTAACAATATTATGGTCTTGACCAATTATTGGTTTCAAATTCAGAAGACGGGGAGCGGGGGTGTAATTCAGAAGAACTCAAGCAGATTGTCATAATGGCCATATCAAACCAGATATTATTCTTGAGAACGGAGAAGATTTGTGACTAACAATTGCCTCGCAGTTTAAAGAACTTGAAGTGTAATTTGTAGTTTTGGTCACGAAAGGAACACCACAACGTCAAAATCCCGAAACCAGTAGTACTGCACTGTCTCATTAATTATGATGGTCAGACTTCCATCCCAGTTTCCTCGGGATGTCCCAGTTTGATTTATTTTTGTCTAGTCATTAGGATGGGACAAAAACGGGAATCCAAAGGGGTACTAGTTAACGTGCACGTTCAAGTACCATTGTAAGTTGGAAGAGTAGGCGGAAACCCACACTCTCCGGGTAAAATGCCCCCCATATCACACAACACGGCGTATATCCGTCTTCATTAGCCCAGTTGGCCCAGAAAAGTAAGGCATTAAACCACAGTTTTATTTCATTTGTATCTTGTCCTATTATATTTAGTATTTAGGTGGAACATAATACGATTTCATTTTTATTTAACCCTTGTATTTTAGTTTTTTTGTCGCGTATAGTTTATTAAAAATATTAGGCCCTATGCCTAGTATTGTTTTTATACTCCAGTCGGTCCACACCCTTATTTTATTTTATAGGATAGTACTCTTTGTTTAATACCAGCAAATATGTGGGTGGTAGTAGTGGTGAGATTATTATCACCAAGTTAAACTGACCTCATTTATAATGGGCGTGTTACCACAAACAACATATAAACTTATATACTTACGTGTATTAATATCATTTTAAACACGTGATTAAAATATCTAAAGAGTTTGTGCAAATTCAACAATGCTTTGAGCAAAACGTGGTAAGATCCTGGAACACATTATACAATAGGTACACTCATGATAGAACAATTGAACACACCTAATGATGACTAATTGAAATGTCACCCAAGTTAAATGATTTTATAACTGGTTATTCGTTGCAGTGCATCAAAAACTGTTAACGCTGGCAATGTTCATACTAAAGGTATGCTCACACGAGTTCACGTTGGTGCCGATGATGTATCATGCGCTAAAATCATACCACACAAAATTGTCATTGCCGATTTTCGGTAAATTAAGTGAGCTGCACTCACACTACTGGTAATACGAGTGTGGACAGATTCTACATCTAGTCTAGTTGTGGAAACACATTATGCTGACCAGTAATGTGTGTTGACCTTTAGATCCCCATTCCTATTGTTTGAATCCTGTATTCACTATGTGATCTATCCCGCGTCTAACGAAATCGGCATCTTATTGTATTAACCAAAACACACCAAAAAACGTATATATGGAATAACAATACTGGTTAATTAACAAGCAAAATTTCGGCGATGGTATACTCTCGTCTTTATCAAGCAAATTCTTAAACCATACTGTCAAATTACTAAATGTCATTCAAATAAGTTATTAACCTCCATAAAATTAACGATAATTCTGATAATTGGTTATCAAATCTATCAGGTATGAGTGTATATGTTGAATTGACAAGTATTTCATTAGTATTTCATTAGTATTATAACTTATATTAATTCATCTATTACACACATTAAATAGATTGATTCATGAATTATTGACGATATTGCGACTTGCTAAATACCCGACCGACCTTCGATAAGTGATAAGATAAAAACTATTAACGTCCCATGTGTTCATTTAGGCCATCATATTTGGATGTGAAAAGGAAGTCTGCTATAAAGAGAATAAAATCAGTCATTTGAAAATAAATGAATAATACAAGATCATAAATTAATGATGATCCTGCAGAATATTCAGATTCTTATATACATACTATTATTGTTACACAGTCTTTATTAAATATTGCTAGCACGTACAGGGGAAGTAATTCGCTGGGCAAAAAAATAGTCTGGATATTTTAATTCGCTGGGCAAAAAATAGTCTAATATCTAGACTATTTTTTTTGTCCAGCGAATAACTTGCCCTGTACGTGCTAGCAATGTTTAATACAGTGGACGTTGAACACAATAATGTTGAACACAATGTGTCGCCCACTCGACACAAACTTGGTCATTTCGGCATTACATATGGTTCAATTTTATTTCAATAATTCGCTTGCGCGTAGAGATCTTGAGCAGTGGAAGGAAACCGGAGGACCCAGAGAAAACCTGGAGGTTGAACAGGCGACCCTACTCCTTGTCACGTACAACCAGGGAATCGAAACCACGCCAGTTGACTAAATGACAGACCTTATGATTCAACGCGCACGCGCTAACCATTCAGCCATCCAACCCCGCCTTATTAATGGTAAACTGAATAGTACATTTTGGAATGTTTGCAGTTTCCACCAGTTTGTTTATATATAGGTGTTGGTCATTGCTTAAACATTACGGTGTGTAGGTATAGACTATAGCCTACAAAATACATTACACATCGGTCCTTGCGTTCTACTACACATTTCAATTGACCAAATAATACAGTTTGACTGGAATTTTGAAATTAAACATCATTGATCCTCAGACATTTTTTGCCTTACTTTAACATTATGGTATGTTCAATCTGATTAAAATTATGTATTGTTGAATTAGTTTTTCAGTTTTAAGCTCTTTGGGATTTCCCAGCCTAGTTAGCCCTTTGCAGGGGTACATGACCGGGACGAGAAATGAAAAGACCTCTAGTCGTTTGGATGGACGTTAAACCGAATTTAATTTCATTCATGCACCATGATGCAGCACCGTAGACCCCCCCCCCCCCGAAAAAAAATTGCTGAACATAGTTCTAAAGATACCTACTGTTTGTAATAGACAGCAGTCAGGGATGATCATGTGGGGTATTGATTTGGGGACGTGGCACCTTGCACCCAGTCTCATATTAGCCTATTGGTTATATTCTGACATCTATCTGCCATATATTTTATACTGGCTTGCCCAATGGCCCACTGTCGTGGAGTCCATGTTCATTGTTCAGAGTTTGCTAGAGAACGATTTTCTGGGCTGGAAAATGCATTTGGGGCCGTCCAATTTTCACAATTTTACGGGGGAGGAGCACTGTCCAATATTTCCGTCGGGACCCGTTTCTCACTTAACCAGCTCGCTTGACAAGAATCGCAAACCAATGTCATCGGGCTCTGACTGGCAGTGCGGTCCCCTTACCACTGTCCCCCTCTCTGCGATAGTTTTTTTTTCTGCTTATCACTAAGTATTTGACGTCCCGCCCGGGGTATACTCCACAGACCAACATTTCAGGTCGAAATTTCAAAACATTTCTCCGTGGGGGGGGGGGGACGCCTCAAGCCCCAAGCGCAGAGGCCCCTCCTCCTCCCCCCTCCCCCGCCTGCCGTGATATGTCATGATATGTTATGTACATTTCATCAAGCAGCCAACATGGTACGAAATACACTGGTCTAATGTTGCTATAACCAGAGTATGCGTTTAAATAGTGCTTAATGTACCGACATGACATTTCGGCAAGGTGCCAATAATTATGAATGAAGAATGTGATGTGTAATTATTACATCAACTTACAGTTCTAGTAGACTAGGGGGTTGGATGGCCGAATGGTTAGCGCGCGCGCTGTGTATCATAAGGCCTATCATTTAATCAACTGGCGTGGTTTCAAATCCTCGGCTGTACCTGACAAGAATTAGGGTCGTCTGTCCAACCGTGATTAAACCATGTTAGTCCCGAAATGACCTAGTTTGTGTCGAGTGGACGTTAAACCCCATTTATCTCTCTCTCTCACTATTAGACTAGTAATAAACAGATGATTCATTATGTTTATACCAGTTACACGTATTATTAATATTCACAACTACATATAATTACATTACATAATTACAGTGATACTTATATATATATATGTTAATTAAATTGTTACATAAAGCTGGGCGTAGACGTGATATTCATTTTCAAATGGGTCTAAAACGTTGCGTTGTTGATATTGGGTATCTAATTTCTATCCATGAATATAATTACCGAAGTGCGGGGTCCCTTGCTTGGTCCATTAATTACCACAAAAATATTGTGATAGCTTCGATATTGTGTTGAGAAATTTGACCTGATATAAATACACTATGAAACGGGCAGAGTAAAATATATAAAACAAGTCATGGAACATGTTTTCAACTAGTTGTCATAATTGCGTTGAGAAAATTAATCATTTCCAGTTCATGAGATACTTTTATGTTGTTAAGTGGCGAAAGTTAATGGTCAGTAATGTTGTCCTTTAGAGCTGATACAAACATGTTTCAAGTTTACTTATGACTATATATCTATTTATGAAATGGATTTGGAATAAAATTGTAATGTATATTCTTTAATTTATTGTTATAATGCAGTAAAGTATATCTTCGACTTTCGCTAGCAGTTAACCTCCTTTTAAAGTTACAATTTCATATTTTTATGTTATATTTTTAAAATGTATTAAAATAAAGTCTTAAAATAGACGGTATCTATAAACGGTCCTACCTTGTTAAAGAATAATCCTATTAGTCCTATAATTCACTATGGCCAGTTGAGAAATTGGCAAAAATATCATTTTCAACTTCAAATTCAAACGTTTGAAGATAGCTATTCCATGGGTTAATAGGAAAACAAGGGAGGTAATTGTGTTATTATTTCCGGTGTCAATGAATTTTAATTGTGGGAAATACTGCCTATGATCGTTTAATAGTGAATTGACAACCTATTGAGCAAAAGACATAGAAATAATTACGTTTTGACTTTCTTAGAAAATTTGAAATTCTCGCTTTAATCCCAAGATTCACTATTATTTCGTATGACTAGAAAATTTAAATCCAAACTGAAAGGTCTTCCGTGGTGATGTTTAATCAAAGTGGAAACTGGGGGTGGCATTCCTGATAATATTTGTCTTCAAACAAATGAACAGATACACCCTACCTTGTACACGACAAGCGGCAATACTTATAACTAATACATGCTTTTTAAGGTACATAAATGCCCTATTTTACTGGACATAGATTTGTTTAGATAATGCGAAAACCCCAAGTTATGGAAATTATCTTTGAAGTAATGTGTTACCACATATAGTAAAAATAGTTCATATGTACTAAAGATATATATATTTTTATTTTTTTTTTAGCGTGAAGTCTAAATTACCAAAATGAACAACTCAAGCATACCCAACGACTACAGGGCATTTGATCCCTTTAATTACACCTGTAGTGAAGCGTTGTTATTACCTATAATCAGTGAAGCTACATGGAATCCTGGTGTTCGGGCCTTCTTGTATATTTTAGCCCTATTATGGTGCTTCTTAGCCGTAGCTATTATAGCTGACGTTTTTATGTGCTCAATCGAAAAGATTACAAGTAAAACCAGAAAGATTCGCGTTGCCGACTCGTCCGTACCAGAAGGCTACAAAGAACTAGAGGTTAAAGTGTGGAATGATACTGTTGCTAATCTCAGTTTATTAGCCTTAGGTACCAGTGCTCCAGAGATCTTACTGTCTGTTATAGAAATTGTTGGGAATAATTTTAAAGCAGGAGATCTTGGTCCTGGTACCATTGTTGGTTCTGCCGCGTTTAACTTATTGGTTATATCCGCTATTTGTATCATGTCTATACCTGGTGGCGATGTACGACGTATAAATAATATGAAAGTGTTTGCTGTTACAGCATTCTCTTGTATATTTGCTTACGTTTGGCTGATTATTACCTTGGTTGCCATATCTCCAGGAAAAATTGAAATTTGGGAAGCTTTCTTGACCCTCCTTTTCTTCCCGCTGCTGATCATAATTGCCTTTATAGCGGAGAAAGATTTTTGTATGAAAAAGAAACCACCACGAAATGACTCAGGATTTGTCGGTATCTCACTAAGTAAGTATTTAAAAAATATTATCAGTGTTCTTTATTGAAGTTGTTAAATGCAGTAATTCTCTCTGGATCTCATTAGTATGACACTTTTTGTCGACAATGAACACACTTTTTGAACTGTCTCGTTCACGAAAACAATTGAATTCTTAACTCTAAGTTTTGCATGTACTAATGGCATGAACTGAATGTGTGATTTTAACTGAATTAATATATAGCTATAGCATTTAGAAATTTTTTTTAAATTTCAAGACAATTAAAATGTATTCCAGAAAAAGTAAGCAAAAATGACGCTTCTGGAAAAACCACGAACCCAAATGAAGTACAAGTGTCGGTTACAAATTCATCACAAAATATCGGTATACACTTTCTCTGACTCGGTTAATTAGCACCTTTTTGATTTGTAGCATATTTTAAGCCTATTCACCAATAACAAATGTCTTTTCTGCACTTTTCTGTGAGTTGTGCTTTTATTATTAGAGTTTTGAGTGATTATAGACAGTCATCGTAGACATCCATTATTCAAAACCATTGTTGTTTACCGCCAATATATACCAACAGCTAAAAAAACACAAAGTTCTTCTCTGAGAATGCCACAAAAGCAATATTGCTAAATCAATAACCTTTCAAATGTTTCTTCATAAACAAAGGAGGTACCAGAAAGCCTTCTTATCCAGGCATTACATTGGGCGATCATAACCAGTTTATACGAAAAGAGTCTGGCGTACCAAACATTAGTAAGATTTGTAAAGGTGTCTGGTGGACGCAGGACATCGCGTTTCTTTAGCTGTTTAAAAATTAGAATCATAAAGTTCAATTTCTTTTGTAGAATGGACAATAGCAGTTATGTGTTTTATAGAATTTCAATAGATTATTTCTATTATCACATGTCAAACAATTATATACATAACATCATTGTTTAGTGATTTATATAGCGCTAAATGTCATTTTCTTATACTAGCTGGGGTTATTATCTATAGCAACTTAATCTGTTTAAGACGTGTTATTGCTGTGGGGATTAAAATTAGAGAAACTAATGTTACTGTAATATCCTTAAATGGACATTATGGAAGAATATATAAGAGGTGGCAGTTCTCACTTTAATAGTTAAAAACTAGATAATGTAAAGGGAATATGCTGAAAATTGCATCAAATTGCTCCAGTCTGAACCTGAACCGAGATATTAACGTTTGAATTTTAGGCATAGCCTCGATTATCATTACTAAAGCCTCGATTATCCTTTAAATTTTTGGATTAATTATCAATGGGCGTTAAGCATCAAATCGGATTCAAATCCAGTGAATATCCGACACATAAGATGGTTAAGGTCTTTTCATGTTAAAAAATGTCTAATTAATAGTTTATATAACATTTCAGGCCCAAAGAAAGACCTGCAGTCGGCATATTTAGCTCTTGCACAATGTGTGATTAACCAACCATAATTATTGGTTGAAAATGTTTGAAATATATTGAAACACATAAGTTTAGTCGTAATGATTGGGTCTGCTAAAGTATGATCGCAATCGGGAATTCGACTAACGCTCGACTAAATGTTAAATGCTAACGTTCTGGAGGAACGAAACTTTTAACACTAATGGACCTTCAATGTCTTGAGATACAAAGTCTTATCAAAATATCCAGAAGACAATAATGAGTTGTTACATTATCAATAGAATAAGGAGAATGACAGTATATGCAGTAGACAATAAAGAGTTGATTATCGATAGAATAACGAAAATAACAGTATATGCAGTATATAATAATATTAAGTTTATTATCTATAGAATAAGGACATTAGCAGTATATGCAGTATGCAGTAATGAGTTCATTATCGATAGAATAAGGAGAATGACAATATATGCAGTATATAGGAATAAGTTTATTATCGATAGAATAAGAACAATGGCAGCATATGCAGTATGCAATAATGAGTTCATTATCGATAGAATAAGGAGAATGACAGTATATGCAGTATATAAGAATAAGTTTATTATCGATAGAATAAGGACAATGGCAGCATATGCAGTATGCAATAATGAGTCCATTATCGATAGAATAAGGAGAATGACAGTTTATGCAGTATGAGAGATGGCAGTGTAAATATATTTGGGATAAACCATTGCTTTTAACATGTATTGTTTTATATTAACACCATTACAGATGGAGCTTCCAATAAATATACTGTTAATGACACAGAAAATGCAAGGGCACTCGGTAATTGGATTTAAGACTTAAAGAATGTTTAATATAATTTTATAGTATTCACCAACATGTAGATATATATAGATATATAGCAATCACCACCTTTCATATTAATTGTCTAATATCATACATTAATAAAGTATGCGGTACGAAATTACAGCTTCTCCAATCTGATTAAAATACAGATCTATAGTTCGTTTCGTTTGATTTTTCATACATTACGTGATCCCCACCAGGTGATGTTAAAGTTAAAACGAAGTAAAACATAAATAAATTTGGAACTTTAAAGAATGAAACGAATTAGAATCTTTGTATTAAACAGATTGTAGTTTTTCTATCCATCTTTAATACTTAGAAAAACACAAAAGCTATTCGTTTTTACTACTTGTACCTAAACCATCTCATATTCTATCGATTCAAGATGGACAGAATTCGTATACGCTAAACATCATTATAACCAGAACGGGTTTTAAACTTAGTTCATCATTTTACACAGGAAGAAGAAAACATGGTATTACTTATCAATAATTAATCTTTAATTAAACATCTATTAAATTACTCATTATGTAATCACGTTTTCTTTTTTCGCCATTTGCTTGGGTTCATATTTACTAACCATATTATACAGTTTACTTTTAACCCTTTTTAACAACATAAACACCTTTTATTAACCTGTGTGATTGGCTTATTACAGCTGGCTACAAGTCCCCTCGCCACGACCTACAAGGTGAGTTCCTCGAGCATGGCCTTAATCTGCTGAATAGTACCCGCAATTAATGGATCCCAATGACCACTAACTATTGACTAACATCTCCTTTAGTGTGCATGCTTGATTTCAATGTAAATGCATTAACCTTGGACAAATATTGTCGCCCTACAAATTAGCCCCTTGGCACTACCTTATATGTAAACACAGAACACTTCACTTGCACAATGCTATTTGTTGAGTACATGTGTTTTACGTCTATTGCATTAATAGAAGAGAAAATAATGATCCTGTTGAAGTGCCAAGAAATTAACGATTGATCGATATTCTTAGCTGATGCTTAAAGTTATACTAAAGTCTGCACTACCACTGCACCGTTAAAGGAGGGAAGGTGGTCGGGTGGTAGAACACTGCTCTCACCTGCTATTGGTGTGCTTTGTGGTTCGCCAGCGTACACCGCGTGCACATAGAAGTTCATGAAAAAGGATTCGGTGAAGAGTAGGCGGAACAGACGCTGTCTAGACACACCCTCCTCCTCCCCTCGCATATCAAGTCGTCTCATTCCTTTCTATTCCACTATATCCTGGATTCATCTACGGGCGTACACGTATTCAAATTATTTGCCCTTGCTGATTGTGCTATTTTTATCGACCAATACGCTTGATAACATAACGACTTGCCACTGCCTGTTTTGACTGGCATAGAAACATCTTTCCCGTTAAAAAGATGTTTTATGGCATATTTTTGTGTGCATGTCATTTGTTTTATATTAAATTTCGTGTTGACTTTCTAATAATCGAGCGAACAAGTCGCCATATTGTTGCAAACGTAAACAACGATGCTAAGATTGATTGGTAGATAAGGGTAGATAATTTGAATACGTGAATACCCCATGGATGAACCCAGGGTGGGGTGGAATCGAACGGAATGAGGCCAATGGGGACGCCAAGGGCGGCACAACTTATTCCTTATTCCTATTTGTCGACAAAATTCTTTTTCTCCATTAGCCTACTAATATTAACCAGTTGATTGACTGTTAAATCATTATCCACTTATAAACTAAATCGCAATGAATGGAGGAATTATATTAACTACAAGACTTATTCACGAATAAATTATTTTTCAATGAAGGAATTAAAAATACTTCTATAACCAACGACCTTGCAACGACTTTGTAAATAATAAATAACCATTTTTTATGTAAGAATTGAAACTGGTGTTTAACATTGTTTGTTTTCTGTAAAACAGAAGGTAATCCAGAAGAACAAGAAGCTTTAGATCAATCCTATTCTGGACGGGCTTCCATTTATAGAATTGCCAAGGTAAGTAAATAACACAGTTCCATAATTAAAAGCATCGTAGTGTCGTAATTGAAAAAAATTGAAGAGACAGGAGCTTTAAGTAATGATAATTCGCAGAACCGAGTGGGTAATTATAAAGCTGCATGATCTTACTCGTGTATTAGAATACCAATCATTAATGTACGTGTGTTCACCTGCTGATGAATATCTCCATTTATTAATTATTTCCAGGATCTTGCCATGGTTGAAGACTTACCCGAAGATGAAGCAGCTAAGATTGCTGCAAAGAAGATAGTTGAACATCAACACCACGATCGTGGTTGGTACAGAATTAATGCTATCAGAAATATGTCTGGTGGTAAGAAACTCATACCCAAAGTACTTAATACATTCGATGATGTAAGTTGCCTATTGTAAATTATTAAAGAAATTTATAGATTAAAATTTCGTTTATATGTCATCGAAATATATGTATTTAGATGCTTGCTATATTAAAAAGACAGTGTTAACCAAATGTAAACTGATAAATCTCGAACATCTAACGAACTGAAAGTCAAATGAAATTGCTTTGAAGAGTCCTTTGGACTTCTGATATAAACCAATGAAGGTCATTTCCTCTAACATTGCTAGTGAATTCTGAATATGGATAACATGTGATCTCCTAAACTTTATAAAGCAGAATTAGGAGACTTATTCTAAACATTAAAATGTATCTATGAGGTATTTCTGAATTTTGTATGTATAGGCCTATCGACGGTTTATATGACGTAAAGAGAATGAAAAGCCTTGACCTCGTTCATTCACTTCTGTTTTGTATCTTACCTCGAGCAATGGAGCTTTTGCCTATACACAAGTCAATCATCGAATATATTCTTCTTTTCTTTCTGAGGAGCCACGGTGACTCAGTGAGTAGGACGTTGGTGGCCCCGTGTTCGATCCCTGCATTGGCCGAGAAAGTTTATGGGGATTTTCCGGTGTGGCTCCCTCTTGTCATTGATGTAGGACTGAGAGCCTGGCAAGAGACAACGTATAGTCGTTTGAATGGGACGAACCCCCACGTTCCCGTGTACACATTGGCGTGCAGGTAAAAGAAACCTTGACAGTTGGAATTTGAAATAAGATTAGGCCGTAGCGCCGCTGCCCGGGAAAAATTTCCCTTATAGCTCACTGCATGGTGTATGTCCGTCCTTATTAGCTCAGTAGGAGCAGAACTGCATTCCATTTCGTTTTCTTTACTTCCTCAAAATGTTTTTCTAGACAACTTTCCTCTGTGCGGTTGTCTCCCTTTAATTTTGTAATTCTCGTTTCCAGTGTTTATGGTTTATTGATTTTGATCTTTCAGTTGTATAATCGAGTACAACTACCAGAAGAAGAAAGGGATGAAGCTACTGTTACAAAACGTTTTGATCACAGTGAAGGTGGTACTAAACCTGTTATTGAATTTACTGCATCAGCTGTTGCTGTTCTGGAAAACGAGGGCAAAGTTCGTATTGGTATCAGGCGATCTGGTAAAATTGATGTGCCCATCTCTGTAAGGTACGTACTCAAAATTATTTTACCATAATTCTTTATTGACATTTGTGATTTACAGACGTCTTATTGATTATCGTAAACGCTAGTCAGACCTGTGAAGTCACTTGGAGGGATATTAGACTTGGGAACTTCTGTGCTGGTTTTATTCCATAGAATATCATAGAATTTTTATTCCTGTAGCTTCCATTACACCTGCTAGGGCGCCGCGTATTGATTACTCGAGTCATATTTTCAATTTTACAACTTTAATCTTTTATCGTGTAACTTTTTATTTCTGTAAATTAGAGTTGAGACCATTAATGGAACCGCTCTGGAAGGAAGTGATTACAAGGCGTTTGATGAAGTTGTTTCATTTGCTGCTAATGAACTATTGAGACAAGTATATATCGAGATTGTCGATGACTTTGAGTGGGAGCCCGATGAGTTTTTCTTTGTCAAGCTTGCTCCCGTCCCTTCAAGAGACCAAGAATTCGCTTTAGGAAACCTAGCTATTTGTCAAGTCACCATTATTAACGACGATGGTAGGTACAAAACAGTTATACCCCAGTTCAAAGATAATAAAAATAGTCGATAGACGGGCAAATTTTAAAGTAAGTTTTACGTTAGTGACGTTTCTGACCAGCGACACGGGCGCCTCAAAAAGGAAATTTCCTTAAAACGTAAATGCCTTGCACAATCTACAATTTCCAAAACCTTTGGGAACTATATAGCGCAATAATCGTACAAGAGATGCCTTACTTTGAAACCCGACAATCAAAGAATTTCTTTCACACGTACCGGATTTCCTTTTAAGTCTATTCAATCTAATAACTATTATTTGTTTTTCCCCATCCTGAAAACAGCGCTCAGATTTATATTGGTCTATTTATATTCAAACATTTAAACTAAATTTCAAAGACATTTCCTTATTTCCTTCCACAGAACCAGGAACGTTAGATTTTGCCAAACCCAGTATTATTGCCAAGGAAAGTTCACGTCGTATTAGAATCCCGGTACAACGATTGTCTGGGGCTGATGGCCACGTGTCTGTCACGTGGAGAACTAAGGATATGACGGCGTTTGACGGCAAAGATTTTGAAGGTGGTGAAGGCGAACTGAAATTTGATAATGGAGAAACCAGTAAATCAATTGATCTTGTCCTGTTCCCAAGTAATGTAAGTATTTGGAGGCATTAAATTATGATTCCCTGTGCCATTTAACAATTAGAAACAATATTGACTGACGACTGATTAGTTAAAGTCAAAAAACTTAAAAAAAAACATTCTGTGTATATATATTTTGGATAATGTCGAGTTGTGAAGACGGCCTTCCGCGGTCTTTTTGAGAATACATTGTATAAACCCAATGTGATGTCAATTACGTTTCGGGAGCTGTGGGGCTCGGTGGGTAACCAAGAGGAATTTTCAGCGCGGTTTCATTGTAGGGCGGGGGGGGGGGGGAGGGCAAAGGATAGCGTCTAGTCGTTCGGACGGAACGAAAAACTGAGGTCCCGTGTACACGTTGACGTGCACGTAAAAAAAAGTGGCTTTTGGAATCCAATGAGTGTAGTAGACTGCTTGAAGTATGCATTAACTCGGTTGCTACAGAACAGTCGGGCGTTATACTTCATTTCATTTCAATTTCGTTTCTTCTCATTTCTGATCTTGTACTGTCTTGAAATATTCATGCAAATTTCCTTCATGACAATAAGATTAATTGATTTTTCTTCTATACCAGAAACCAGAAAGAGATGATAGTTTCCAGGTTGAGTTACTAGAGACTACTGGTGGTGCTAAGTTAGGAAGATTAACTAAAACAGTAGTAACTATAGTTAATGATGAAGGTAAATAGATTAAATGAGTATTATACACTACCTAATACAACTTATCTAGACTCTTTATTTAAGGATATGTAACCGCGAGTGTACTATGCGCAAGGACCCATGCATGGTGTTGGTGTTAGATTTGTTTTTCTGAAGAGCCCCCCCCCCCCCCCCACAACCAAGACAGTAAAAACTGTAAAAGAAATGTGTTCGGATGTTTCATTGGTATCGGAATCAATGACATTTAAAGGTTAAAGGTTACCAGTAAAAATCTGCAAAACACGCAAAGGGTGTTTATTAATTGTATTTCAATTAAATAATTATACCCTAATTATGCTAAAGTTGCAGTGGTTTCCTTATCTTCTAATAATTGTGACCATTTTATTTTGCAGAATTTAATGGATTGGTCAGTAGGATTGTCAACATGACGTTCGGTAATTTGGATGGTCTGGCATTAGAAGACTCTACCTATATTAGCCAGTTTAAGAATGCCATGAACGTTAATGGCGGTGACATTGAAGGGGCAACTTTTGTAGATTACATATTGCACTTTTTAACATTTGTTTGGAAGGTAATATTTCATCGGTAGTTTCATCTCTGATGGCGCCATTGTCCACTTCAAGACGCTAAACCTCTTTGTTTTGGTTTTATTGGGTTGAATTGGGTTGATCTGGTGTATTATTTAAATTACTGATGGGGCTATCAGAATCCTGCTTGATCGCTGTTTTTCGTTTAATTTTTGGCTCATTGTGACAAAAAGGTTATATCGCAAAAACCAGTTTTGCCTCTAGGCGTAAATATTCTCATCTCTGGTCATTTTAAAAAATGTAATCTTTATTAAACCGGATTAATAAAAAGAAACTGGTTTAAATTATCTAATAAAAGATCTAAATGTAGGCTATCATTTATTATATGGGAACTGATTATACCTAGATATTGCTAAATAAAGTGCAAATTTTATCGGAAAAGACTACGAAATTGTGTTCTAAACGTCAAAAGAATTGTTTTTTCTATCTCTTTTTAGATCATATTTGCCTTCATACCACCAGTACACATTCTAGGCGGTTGGCCAACGTTTGTAATATCTCTTGGAATGATTGGTTTCTTAACGGCTCTCATTGGTGATTTGGCCAGTTTATTTGGTTGTTTGATTGGTCTAGAGGATAGTATTACCGCCATTACTTTGGTTGCCTTGGGAACTAGTATGCCTGACACATTTGCTAGTAAAACTGCCGCCATTATGGAAAGATACGCCGACAGCTCGGTTGGAAATGTAACCGGAAGTAACTCTGTCAATGTGTTTCTAGGATTAGGCATACCGTGGGTCATTGCTAGTATATATTGGCACACAAAAGTAAGTAAATTATTGGTATTTAAAGCCAACCATTTTAAACCTTTGGCACGAAAATGGGTGGCATTTAAAGCCAACCGTTTTAAACCTTTGGCACGAAAGTGGATGGGTGCATTAATAGATGGGATCTGGGGTTTAGTGAGTTATTGTAAGTATATATTGGCACATAAACAGGGCTCAATCCAAAAGAATGAGTGATATTTGAGGTTGTGGTATGTAGTTCTGAAGGATAACACGGCTAGTGTCGTTCAACCAATTATATTTTTAATTTGTGATAGATATTCACGAATGGCTGAGGTCAACTCTCAGGACCGGATTTAAACATGGCGATCGGTTTTACACTATGGGAGCTGTAAAGGCCATGTTCGACAAGCGTTAATAGTGCAGAAATAGTTTGTTAGTATGGTAACTAATTAAAAGCTAGTCAATTAGAGTAGATTTGTGGGCCATAAAGTGTAGCATGTTTTGATGAACGGAATTATGTGTATATATACACACTTATACGCTTTTTTTTCTAATCAAATACAATTTACAATCAGTACAGTTTCCTACTTTTCAGGGTTTACCATTCGAGGTTCCGGTTGGATCTTTGGTATTTAGTGTGATTCTCTATACCATTGCTGCTGTCATAGCTCTAAGTATATTGGTTATAAGACGTAATGTTAAATGTTTGGGAAATGCCGAACTTGGTGGACCTACAGTTGGAAAGATCGTGTGTGGTATTATATTCATTACACTATGGGTCTTATATGTTTTATTTTCAGCTCTACAAGCCAAGAAAGTTATCAATGTCCAAATTTAAGTTCATGGCAATTTATCGACTGTAATAATTCTCATGCTCACTGCAGTAAATATTTTAAGTTGTACATATAATAATATTTAAGTGTATAGTCGCCTTTGCTTGAAACGTGCCTAAGTTCATTAAATTTGCTCTTTTAAAGATGTGTGTGAAAAACATATGTGAACAACGTACCATATATTATGTTTAAATAGGTACACCGCTGCCCATAGCAAAGCTTTGTATTCGTTCGACCAGCTGAATAGAACCAGTATATTTAACGCTGCACATTTAACGCACGTTTAAAATGATCCGGATTTCAACAAAAGACATTTCATAACGTCATATCCAACGCACCGTAATTCAATAGTTGAAAACCTTAAATGTTTCTATTTACAATGCATAATGTATTAATATTATGTAACTGTGCAAATTTCAACATTACCTATTATACATGGCATGTTTCTATTCATTTATATTATATGCTCAACGATAGTATATACTAACTATTCATGACGGTGAGCAAATGACAAAGAAATGGCGAATCACAGGGTTAAAGGTCATGGTATGTTGCAGTGTTTATATTAACTGTATATTGTTTTCATCTTTTGTACTCTACTGATTATATTTTTGCTATCTTTTTAAATTCAATTTTATATTATTATTATTTTCTTTAACTTTTTAAACTATTGTGCTGCTGTTAATATTCATGTACAGTTATCAGATGGTGTCTGAAATACATGCAGCTCAAGCAAAGTATAATCTTTTAAATTTTGTATTCATTACTGTTAGTGTCAGCTTTCATGGATTTGTGTGATCTTTTTTTAAACATAAAAACTATTGTACGAAAGTTACATAATTTTAAATATTTATAGGGTTTTTATCTTCAAATGAAATCACTGTAGGGTGCCTTTAAACGTAGAATGCAAATACATCCAAATGCCTCACACACAGTCGTTATGAACTGATGCACGGAAGGGGATGTAATTTAAAAACTGGATGATCATCGCTCAGACAATAATTGTATACCTAGATTTACATCCTGTGGTTATGTTTATCGATGGGTATATATGGTTATGTCAACAGGGACCCATGCTAATCTATATAACATTTACATTAATTCTTGTAAGTGGTTGTGTAGGTAAGGGCCCCAGTGCATTGCTTAATAAGGCCATGTATATCAATATTTTGAAATGTTAGACATGGCTATTACAACTGGTGAATACATGGCTTATTAATATTATGTATCATGATATTATAAGTTTCATGTCAGGTCTTTAGTGCTCATTGTCAAATAGTCGTATTTTAGAAGATATTTGTAGTTTATTGTACATTGATATTAACTTAATTTCATTAAAAATAAAACATTTAAGAATTTATGAAATCGTTGTTCATTTGTTTAACGCAGTTTATCGTCTGGTGGTCTGACAATAAATTGGTTCATTTCCAGCGCTCACCTTATGAAGAGCGACAGCACGACATCCCGACATACCAATCAGCCACCATAGAAAATACCACGTTTAAAACCCAGTAATTGATATGCAATAATAGTAATAGTAATAATTTGCTATTTTTACCATGGTATTTTTCACTTGCGTAACTTTTACGGGTGTACAGGTATGTGGATACATTAGTCTACCACCCACTGTACTATAATGCAATAGAATATTCATCTCATTTCGCAATATAGGTATAAGATTATATATCAGGAAGTATATTATAATCATTATACACAAACACGTAAGTTTTTATTATATTTTAAATATATCAATATTGTGTGGCAAACTTCCAATGGAATTCCCAACATATATGTTGAAATGTATAGAAAGAATTGAAACATTACAATAATTTTTATTGGGGTGTTTTTAATCACCGACAAGAACCGACGTGGGCCTAAATTGTCGATGGCGCCCAAACTATGCAACAATTGGCCTACAGGGAAATACATGTTATAGATCAAAACACCATATCCAAACTTGAAATGATTTCATAAAAAGTTGACGAAATTATAAAAAAAATGAAATTTTGGCAAAGCGACGCACTGGGTGACTTTTTTCCTGAAACCGACAGTTAAGAACAAATGGGTGATTCTGCTATTCCTAAAAAGTAAATCAGTTCAGTTAAATGAAAATTAAAGAGGATGGTACGCGAATTGTAAGATCGCGATGTGTCAACAAAACCATTTGTTTTCAGGGAGCGGCGGTGGCTCAGTGATTAAGACGCCGGCTCGCTAACCTGAAGGTTTCGTATTAGATCCCTGTGTTGACCGGGTTTTTTGGCGTAGAACCCCCTTGTCAGTGATATATAGTCGTTCGCTTAGCGTGCACAGAAAAGAACCCTTGACAGTTGGAATTCCAGGCAAAATGCCCCTCAAATCACACATGGCGTATGTACGCCTTCATTAGCCCAGTCGGAGCAGGACAGTGGGGCGTTATGATGATGAATTAGTTGTATTTTACGTCCGCTTCCACCGAGGTGATATCGCAGACAAAGTGGGGCGTTAAACCCCATTTCTTTGCATATACTCACGATTGATTGTATACAATTATTGATCCTTTCATGGTCGCTCAGTCGATACGATGTGCGATATACTGACACTGCTTGTTATGTAAAAGAAGTGGGGCGTTAAACCCCATTTCTTTTACATAACAAGCAGTCTCAGTATATAGCACATCGTATCGACTGAGCGACCATGAAAGGATCAATAATTGTATACAATCAATCGTGAGTATATGCAACAATATATATTTTTTTATATGCAATATACATTGACAATGTAAGATATTGTGTCCTTATGTTTTTAAACAAAGGGAGACATTCTATCTACACAAATCCATGCGGACACGAATGGAAAGATTATAAAATCATATTCTTATAACATGAGCAAGTTTTCCTTCTCCTGCGTCTTGTCTGTGATATCAGATGTGAAACGTCAGCCAACAAGCAAGTCATTTCCACTATATCAACAGCGGATATTGTAAGTGAGTCATTTCTAATTTATCGGGATTTCAAATCTTTTAATATTACTAAAAGGTAGGCATGTTTCTTTTTGACAGTGGTGCAGGGCGGAGGGTCTGCCAAGGAACAACGTCTCATCGTTCGGATGGGACGAAAGACCGTGGTCCCATGTACGTAAAGGCAATCTAGGCCGTTTGAATTCAGAATAAGTATCGGCCCCAGACGGGAATTAGTTAAAATGAGTTTTAACCTCATAATTGTCTGCACCAACAGTATGCAATGTGCTAGTATGAAGTTTTACTCGGACTCCACGTCGAATTCCATCTGTCAAGGGTTCTTTTACGTACACACTAACGAGTTTTACGTACCACCCGAACGACAAAGTGATTTCCCATGCTCTACGTCCGACACAAGTGACAAGGGTAAACCAGACTGGAAAGTCTTGCGGAATTTTTTCGACCAACAGTTGAATCTAACCCAAGGGTATAGTGAGATATTGCCGTATTCGCTGAGCTACAGTAGGCATGTGCTTCCAAATATCATGAAGGCGAAACGGAATTATCATGTACCTATAGAAAACATGGTGGCTATTGTCGAAAGAGCTTAAGCCAATTCTAAACACATTATTGTATTCACTTGCCGCACTGTACAAGATATGCTCTATGACATACACAAATGTGTATATGAGGCCACTGATCTTTGTTTGGATTATTTTACAACATTGCCAAATATGGAGTGACATAAAAGGCGTCCCTTTACTTCCTGGATAAAAATATATATATTACGTCTTGTTGATTACGACATGCACATTACATACAGGCCAATACAGGTAAGTACATGTAAGATATATTAAGATTGATCATTAACCTTTTTTGGCAACTATCTTAAATGTGTGTTATATTTGGCTTTCAAGTATAATGTAGATCAAAGGGTTTGTATATTGGGCTCAGAAAAAACGAGTACACTATTTAAAATGAAATAATTCAAAAACTAGTTTATCTATACCATTAACATTTCACATGTAGTACAATATGGATGTTTTACAACTGTGCTCCAAATTGCGGGTTCACTAATCAAATAGTATTAATATAGTATGAGATTTAAAAGAACATTTCAAATAAAGTTTTTGATGGACTGATAAGTCATTTCATATGGCGGTATATAAGATTCAAAATTCTAACATGCTATTGACTAATTTCTAACTTCTATTCATGTAATTTCTTTCTTCTATTCATGTAATTTCTAAATTGAGCCAACGTATAATCCAACTTCTTTATTTGTTCAGTGTAAATTTTAATTCTGTTTCATTTTAGCCTATCCAGATTGAATTCCAGGCCCGATTTGTACATTTTATGCCCCTTTGTAATTTTCTTTTTCGTGGGTGTTGTATTTCTGAGAAATTTTAGTATGCCGCTTCTGAAATTAACGTCTGATTATAAGTAGTGGTCTGCGCTGTGTACGAACATCTCATATCACTTCCCACGTTCGCACAGTATCATAAGGTCTGTCATTGAGTCAACTGGCGTGGTTTCGATTCCCCAGTTGTACGTGACAATGAGTAGGGTCGCCTGTCCAACCTCGTGGGTCTTCTCCGGGTCCTTCGTTTTCCTCCCACTGCTAAAGACCCCTACGCGCAAGCGAACTATTGAAATAAAACTGAACCATGTGTTAGTCCCGAAATAACCTGATTTGTGTCGAGTGGACGTTAAACTCTCGCCACATTGCCTGGAAATGTTTTAAGTTGATGAGCTGAGGGGCCCCTTTCTAGTGTAGGACCCAATTTGGGGAAATTTGTCATATGTGCCAAAATACATTTGTCTGATTTGTTGTAACCGAAAACAAGCGAATTCCACATTTTGTTCAAATCTGACCAGAACTATGTTAAACTACTTTGTATTTTACAGATTGAAATATACCGCCATAATTTCACACTTACCTCAGTTTACATAAACAAATGGTCAATAATGTTGCTTTACTTTCTCTTCATAAAGTTTATAAAACACTCTGCTGGAGAGATTTTCAACAATCCAACTGTTTATTATGAAGTCTTTTATTTATAATCATCCAATATTTATTATTGGCTCTTCCATTAAGTACCTTATAATTGTGTATTGTGTACTTTGTGTATCAGTATATTTGCCAATATCTCTCAAACCGTGACACGTGTTGGTTTAGAGCTAAATTGCACATAGGAGACATGTTTAAATACAGAAGATGATATAAACATAGCAAGAAAACGTGTTAACTATAATTACGTAATATATATCATTACATTGGGGGCATAAAAAAATTGTTTATTTCTATTTAATAAACAAAAGGGTCGAATTTTCTAATTTTAAAAATTCCCTCGCCTTTTAAGTATGTTACCAGGTGAATCAAAGTTGAAAAATTATGAACCCTTTCGTATTTTCTGTATGAAAGTAGTGCCCAAACACAATAAGAATATAATTTACATCGCGCGTTACAAATACGTCTTAGTTGTATATATGGATTTCCCCTATCAGCGTGGTGGATAAAACGATTCAACCAAAAATTACTGCGCTCGACAACAGGTAAATGATTGGACGATATACCTCACCAATAAACGTATACATTCATCTCTGACGTATGCTTGACGTCAATGTTTCTGTCATTACTTATTCTTTTTTTATAAATGGTTACACTTTACATTTTAAGGTTAAGGGGTTATTTTTAGTTTAAGTCAGTTAAAAATAGACACTGATAAGGTCTATTTAATCTTTTCAAAATAATACAAACTCTGAATGTTTTCATTATAGTGACTACACCCTGAATAGCACTATACCTACATAGTAATGTAGCGTTTTTTCAAAATTTGTTTTCATTCAATATATGATTTGTATAAATAACTCTTGTAAGATTGGCCCATTATTATTCTTATGCATTGAACTCGTGAACTTTATTATAGGAATTACCATACAATCATGTATTTCATACAATTTTGTATTTCTGTATCTTTTCCTCACACGTACTCATTTATTTTGTTGCTTTACAGGAGTTTAGTTTGAGTAAGGATCATTTGGATACTCTACAACAGTAGTTTTATCAGAGTCGAGACTACTATTAAAGGTTTAGTGTTGACCAACCAGATCATTACAGTTATGAATACTACGACTAATACCATAAGCCCGGCCACGACTAATGAAACGATGAACACCAGCCAGGCCGTTATCACCACGAACACGACAGAACAAATCACTACAAACGTGATCACGACGATTGGGAACCTTACAACCTCTACCATCACTGACCAGAACAATTCAACTATGAGCATGAGTACTGGCTACATGGCTTTTGATCCCTTTAATTACAGGTGTAGTAAAGCGTTGTTATTACCTGTAATCAGTGAAGCTACCTGGAATCCTGGTGTTCGGGCCTTCTTGTATCTGGTAGCCCTATTATGGTGCTTCTTAGCTGTAGCTATCATTGCTGATATTTTTATGTGCTCAATTGAAAAGATTACAAGTAAGACGAGGAAGATTCGTGTAGCTCTTCAAGGAGGGGGTGCTGAGGTGAGGGAAGTCAAGGTGTGGAATGATACTGTTGCTAATCTCAGTTTATTAGCTTTAGGTACCAGTGCTCCAGAGATCTTACTGTCTGTTATAGAAATTGTTGGGAATAATTTTCAAGCAGGAGATCTTGGTCCTGGTACCATTGTTGGTTCTGCCTCGTTTAACTTATTGGTTATATCCGCTATTTGTATCATGTCTATACCTGGTGGCGATGTACGACGTATAAATAATATGAAAGTGTTTGCTGTTACAGCCTTCTCTTGTATATTTGCTTACGTTTGGTTGATTATTGTATTGGTTGGGATATCTCCTGGAAGAGTTGAAATTTGGGAAGCTTTCATAACTTTATTGTTCTTCCCCCTGCTTATTGTTATTGCTTTCCTGGCTGAAAAGAACTTTTTCATTAAATGCAAACAAGGTAAATATTTTTTAGGTTTTATTTTCTTCTTATAGCCCTTTTGGTCGAGTGAAAGAATTCGATTTGCATTGAAACTTTTGTCTAAATCAGGAAGATACATGTGAATAGAATTGAATCTGTCAATAAAGATAAAACAAGGCTTTGAAAATAAAAAACTGAGAAACATTTTCTGTCATAAGTACATGTATAACATGGTCCTAAAGAATGAGTGGGTGTACGATTTTATATTATATTCTATTAGAAAATTGTATTGTATATATTATATATTCAACCAGGTAATACAGACAACAGGTACACAGTTAATGATGAGGAGAATACTGGTAATTATTATTTATTATTCATCTTCTTGCAAGTGTTTATGCTTGTCCTCAGATCTTAGTCATAAGTATTTCAATAACTACAAGAGATTTCATAATGTGGGTGGACACTTATATAAATATATTATCTATGTAACCACCAAGGCGAATAGGAACCTATTTAACATAGAATGCGATGGCGAGTGGTAATAAGTACGCCGTTGGGGCGTTTTCGACATATTCGGAGGTCAAAAGGTGAAATTTTCAGACAACTAGTATCATTATGTATAGCATTCGTTGTAAAACAAATTCGGAGAGATTTTGATTTGACAGTTCTTACGTGTTTTTGAAACAGGTTTCGAAGTGTTTTGGTTCTGTTATGCAAGATCTTTTTCGACATTCCAAAGTAAAAATTCGGTGCTAAGACCACCTAAAGATACATTTTAAATGTTCTTATTATTAATTAGAACAGGTTTCGCTTTAGTTTTTATATTTTGCGCTGACATTTTATTGCTTTAAATCTTCCTAGTGCAAAAACGGAAAATTTCATCTTTTGACGTCCGGGGTCACAAAGAACAAAGATGAATTTATCAAATTTACATTTTTATTGAAAGGGTGATTACTTTCGATCATTTTCAGCTTATTTTCAGGATGCAAGAGTTGCTGCGAATTCACCTTCAGTGCAAATGAACTCATTTGACCTTTGACCCCGAATATCTCGAAACGCCCCCAAAACGGACTGATTACCACTCGGAATCATATTCTACGCAAAATTTTACTATAGAAAAGTCGGGTCTGGTTTTGTGCCCATTTGATGGACAACCCTCCAATCTGAGCCTCCAGACTACCATCATCAACATGGGGTTAAAGTAACACACCGACCCTGGTCATTTCTTCCATTTAGTTTCTTTTTAGTGGAGAAGTTACCTTTTTATCTGCTGTTAATACCCATTAATTACGATATATACGATGGGCATTTGTATTGTAAGCGTTAATTGAATAGCACGGAAACTGACACCCAATCAATTGTTTTAAATATTGGCTTGTGAATGAAAGGTCCAATTTGCCACTGTGATTAAAAGATGACTAACTATTTAAAGTGACGGAATTTTACTAATTAAAAAGGAAGATTTTAAAACACATAGGTATAGTAAATAAAAGTAAGACGTGTATTATATTTTTATAGGTATGGCTCTATCAGATCGTAAATCGTATTATCAAGATGCAAGTAAAGATGGCGAACCCAGTAAGTAATATTGTACCGGAATATCCACAGATATAATTTACAATATTTATATCTAAAATCGTTACAAAATGGTATGGCACTATGCGATTTTATATTCATCTAGTAGAAGTCTAAAATCATCTTCTCATCTAAGTTTATTAAAACCCTGTAAATAAAATTTTGTATCACACGGCAAAGGGCCACCCTCTAGAGATATTTTGAAGAACATATTCAAAACCCATTTATTTTTTATATTTATTTACTTCTCACTGTGATGTATTTTATATTCTTGTATTAATCATTCACATTTTAAAATGTACATACTTAAGTGTAAAGGGCATCGGAGAAATTCAACGACGACAGTTCTATGTATTGTAATAATAATGATACTAATATCAATTTCGAATTTGGTTTATTCTATATTCATGTTCGTTGCGTTTCAGAAGGGAAAGATAATCCATCGTTTGATGACATAGAAGTCAATGATGCAAAAGTTCCAGCCATTGTAATAGAGCATCATGGTAATTAATTTATCGTCTACTTTTTTAAAAATAAATCGGTGTAGAAAAACGAGAATTAGAATGTTTTTTTGTTTTCCGAATGTAATTGTTAATATTTTTTTTAAAACATATGTAACCTATAAGCACTAGTTTTTATTTGCAATATTAGTAATATATTTATCAGTTTATTGTTTAAATGTTTTACAGAACACGAAACGGATGATGAGGACAATATGCATAAACCAAAGAAAGATGAGGTAAGAGTTACCTTCGTGGTATTTGATCTAGTAAATGGTATTTGTCAAATACTTACATTTAACATGCCTTTAAATATTTATTGAATGACCAACCGAATAAACAAAACGAAAATAATAACTTATGATTTTAATAATACTTTGAGATACTAAAACATCCACACTTTTGCATAGAAGAAACAAAACAGGGTGATTGATATCAGAGTAGGCCAAAAAAACAAAACAAAAAGTAAAGTCATGAAATAATCCTGATCGATTAGATAACATGGCGAAACTTAAACATTGTTTATTATATGTATTGTATATAAGTTTTAAAATATTTAATCAATCCTGCTATGAATTTAAACTATACGGCACTGGGCGATGGACCGGTTACTTTATACAATCAAACGTTTCTCATTTAACTTGTCCTTTATTCTGTTTCTTTGGCCGAGGTCCTGTGTACACATTGGCGTGTGCGTTAATTGGCAGTTGGAATTCGATATAAGAGTAGGCCGTAGCGCCGCTCTCATTGTTTGTTTGGTGTGTTAGATTTTTCTTCAAAATCGCATTGCAATTTTTTTAACGATCCGAATAAACCTCGGATGTTGATTGATGATTTCGTGCCAAAACAAAGAGGCACATTGTGACATGGAAATTCTAAAGAAAACTCAAAGAAAACATACTGTGTACGTGGCTCATTATCAATTGTTCACAATAGCGGCTATAGTGATAATATGGAAACTGTTGATGTAACAGGCAAAATATTTTCTGGTATGACATGGATTTCCCGTATGACATCTGTTCCACCTTGAAATACTTCGTGGTTGAATGTTGGACTCAGACCTGTAATAATATTGTCATTGATTTTTTATCTTAAAATCTTTATAGTCATAAAGAGCCAAACGTGTCACAACTATCTAATAAAATTTACGGGATTGACCATTTCACGTCGCATGCTTACCATTCTGGTCTCGCTAGTTTGTAAAGGTATCATTTTTATTTTTTTTGATAATTTCTCTCTGCCAAATTGATTATTTGCAGAAATGAATAATTTTCCATTTTATAACGATTTGACGTCGCATATCTGATATCACGTTTGTGGCATACCATGATTAGGCAAAACCCATCATAACTAAGACAGCAGTCTCATCTTTAGGACTCTGTGATCCGTTCATTACAGTTATTGTTATTTCAGTTTTACCGACATTGGACTTACATAGTGAATTGTAAACATTCTTGCCCATAATTATTTTCAGGTAAAAAATGCAGCAAAGCTGATGATGCGAAATCACAACCACAATTCTGGGTATTATAGAATTAATGCTATACGAAGGCTTTCTGGTAGTAAGAGGATCATACCAACCAAAAAACAAAATATTAGAGAGGTATTACATTTTGACCATCAATATGGATATATTTAAATGACTACAATGTCTGGGATTCTAGTTTGTAGTTCTTTTATACATTACTGTAAAACGGGAGTTTCATTTGGACCGTCTTTCAGTCGTTTGAACATTTATAACATTTCTTGAATAATTATACTGAAATACGTCATTTCGTAAACAACCAGCCTGTGCATTCTTTGTGATGACTAAAATGTGTCTTTGCAGCAAGCTGGACGTCGTCGGGTACAGACCACAACACGTGTTCATGACGGTCGTTGTCAGTCCGTCGCTGATTTAGCACTCAATTTCACTCATCCCTTTACGACCATTACCTAACTATATCGTTGGTCAGGCTTTCCTGGGATTCGTTTGTTGAACCCATGTGAGTTTGAAATAATTTTGTTCTGTGCTAATATAGGCCTAGTGATGATACTGTTTTTCTTTATAGATCTATGACCTTGTTAAACTGTCAGAAAAAGCCACGAGATATAAAGATGCCAGTGAGGGGGGTGTTAAACCTGTAATAGAATTTACCTCACCTACAGTAGCTGTTCTTGAAAGTCAGGGACAGGTTCGAATAGGTATCAGACGATCTGGTAATATAGCGCCACCTGTATCCGTCAGGTGAGTAATCAATCTGAAATTTCATCTACCGCTAAATTTTCTGTGAAATCTCTTGCTCTATTAAGCAAAGACAGAGAAAAAAGATAGGCCTGAATATATTTTTACCATGAATACAATGAACTGTTCCGAATAGTTCATGGTTATTACTATCGCGCTGTTATAGCTAGGTGTATCTTTCATAGCGCCGTAGACATCATTTAATACAATTTTCGTCGTATTCTGACTATTCTGTCAAAAGGCAAAGATGTATTTGGCCCCAAATGTTATATTATTAATTCGACATTACACGATAAGCCCATAATCAATTCTCTAGATCATCGGTTGGTCATGATTTTGAACGGATTGAAACACCATCGCCATTTAATAATTTAATTTAAAAATGGATAATCGAGGATTTGTTTATTATCGTTATAACTGTAGCAATTGAAATCGAGGCGACGTTATTCTTCAAATGTTCATAGTTCAGCTCAGAATTAAGTAATTTGGCATTTTAATATATTCCGTTTTCATTATCAATTTTCAAACTTTTATTTCAAGAAATGTCAGCTCTTTATCTAAACCTGACATGATACAGCTTTAAGTATTGGGGTAAATATGGTCCCTGTCTATTAATTATAACATTGCAGGTACAAAGACATGATATCTACACTGAAAAAACCCTTGTGTTGGATCTCAACACAAGAACTTGTGTTAAAAATATTTAACACATGTTTGTGTTGTATTGCATTGCAATGACACAAGTTTGTGTTCTTTTCAATGTCTTAACACAAACTTTTGTACATTTATAAAATCTTATGTGGTTTTTTTTTCCATATAATTAATTACGTCGACATTAAAGATAACATTTATTATGTTCCTTTATCACATTATGTTTTTTATTTATTGAGAAAATCTGAATGGGATTGGGGAACTGGATTAGGGATCTGGCCTAGCCTATATGTAAAACCACTCTTCCTGAATTTGAATGTCGAGTAATTCACTTGATTTATTTTTTAATATTTCTAATTATCTAAAAGGATATTATATTAATTATTACAAACATTAAGTAGAAATCGCAATGTATGTATCGTGCGATGCATTTAATATCTCTTTTAAAACAACGTATTTTATAACAGTATACTGATATAAGAGATCAAAGTTTTAGTCAATTATTATCTAAATATAAACTATTTATTTAATTAGATATAATAAAAGATTATTCTGATTCTACTCTTTGTTTATTTTCACATCTTGTCTCAGACAATATACAGAGACAGGTTATTACAATGTCTGCATTTGGAAGTGTCTGATTGATATCGCCCCAATAAACTTGATACATCAAAGACAATAACAATTGTGTTATATCTACGTTTTAAAAAAATGTTTGAATGGGCGTGGAAATAGTCGAGTTAATCTTTTTATTTAATTTAATTGGTTCATTAATCGAAATTGGAAATTTATTCTTACCTGTAAATGACCAATTAAAATGAATTACTCTTAAAACAAAGAAAGAAATATTTATTGAAGTAATTTTGCGGTATTAAACCCTGTGGTACTGCAAATGTTAACTGTATTATTAAGCATTAGTATCGAAAAAAAGTGATATTGTTGTGAAAAAAGTTTGTTCAGAAAATAAGAACATCAGGTTTGTGATTTTGGTATTTTTTAATACAATGTATGGCGGGCGGACAAACTGACCAAACAGTATATTTCGAGGTATTTGAGGTAAGCTAATTTAATATTATATCATAACTGCATGTGCATAATTGTGTTCTGTTTGATTAAATATTCAAAAAATCATTCTTAGGATACAACCTCGACACCAGTCCGCCCTGAATTGCAATGTTTGTTTTGTGTTCTAGGCGCCATTTTGAATATAATACAATCCAGCGATAGTGTAGTCTAATTCCTTTAAAAGGGAATCCGAATTTGTTAATTTTCTGCAATATCACTTCGGTGGAAGCGGACGTTAAATAAAGCTATTTCACGTACAAAGACCTACAATAAAATCCAGGTGGATTGGGAAAAATATGCATGTATTTTCTTGATGAAGAGTAGCTATTTCAATTAGTAAATGCCCAGTCATCTTAGACAAATAATAATTCCAACTTCAAATCAGTTGTATTTATTCAAATCATACCATGAAGAATTGTATTTTTCCACTTGCATAATAATAAAAATTTGACTTTTATTATTTTATTTCTTCAGGCCAAGAGCATGGAAAATTGGTAATTGCCTTGTATCACTGCTAACTATAAATCACAGGGAACCTTGGGCAGAAATGATAATATGGTTCTCAGATATGTTACTGTGTACAGAGTGAACAGAAAATATTTATACACTTGCTATTATAGTATTGGCCAAATTAATAGCAATTTTTTCTAAAAACGTTGCAGAAGTAACTCACTAAAATTGAAGTATGAATAAAATCATACACCGTGAATATATTGAACTGAATATTCTTACACATAACCATAGGCGTACGGGGAAATTTTTGACTGGGGGGCGGTGGTGGTTGGTGCCCCAAAAATGTAGTTAGGTTCTTAGTATGTTACATAATAATAATAAATTCGCTGTTAAATTGGACACATTCAAGAACACAATATTTTTTTTATACAACTTTTACAAAGTACAATTGTGTGCCCAAATTTTCCCAGCATTTGGTTCCCAAAATGGGGGGGGGGGGGGGGGCGCCGCCCCCAGCCCCCCCCCCCCCCAGCTCGTACGCCTATGCACATAACCATATTGACATCTACTTCACATTGCATGGTTGGTCGACGCAACGCCGTGTATAGATAAAGTTGCGACAACTGTGAAGCCAGGAATTTCATATGACGTCATGCAAACTTATTATCTATTTATATGACCTATTATATTGTTGGATGTCATAGATTTCAGCGAATAAGTGTATATAGGACATAAAACATACATTTTTTAAACGAAAAGTATAGCTGAACATACTATTATTAGTATTATACAACAAGAAGCGCACATTATTGTTATATAGCCTTATTCTATAAGAAAAATCAAAATAAAAGATACACTAGATAAAAGTACTATTAAACCAGGGGCGGATCTAGGAATTTTGAAAAGGGGGGGGGCTGCAAAATGAAGGCATTGACCGCGGAGACGGTGCTTGCCGCTGAGGGGGGGGGGGGTGTCCCCAAGAAAATTATCCGTCATTTCCTTGCATCTGTAGCCATTCCAAGAGCTATTTCCCAGACTGGTGTGTTTGAGTCGATGGTTCGAGTCATTTGGGATCCCTACAACGGGTTGGGAACTGACATATTTGAGTCTGAGAAAAGGCACTTTCAGCCGTAAAAAAAGGCACTGTTGAAAATTAGGGGGGGGGGGGGCTCATCCCGCGCCCCCCATCGAATCCGCCTCTGATTAAACATATTTAACTTGCATTCGCTTTTAAAGGAGCTAAATCGCTAATATTTGGGAACTAGAAATTGTCACAAATGGGTCGCACTAACCTTGATGTTCACAAATACGTAAGACGATATGAACATCAACTAAAAAGATATGTAATGTGATTCAGCTGCAAGGTGATATATGCATATATGCAGCATAGATAATTAAAACTTCTATTCAAGTTAAACCAACTGTATCTATTTATGTCTTACGTCGAGCTGAATACATTTTATGATTTATTGTCATTAAAACATCTATTGGTGGTTAACAGTGTGTAACTAAAAACTAAAATTGGATCTTATTATTGCCAATGATATAATGTACCTTGAATTTTTTATCACGAAGTCTATCGCATCCAGATATTTAAAGCGCGTTTACAATATATTCATTTTTTTGTATCGTAAAATTCATCTTCATTTGACGAACTACACCCAAACTACAGTCAGTGTAAACACGGTTTGGAGACTGTATCTGAACTACAGGGTACATCGAACTACAGTGTACATCATGCTTAAGAGACACTATCTAATATCCAACAGGAAAAATGACGATTAATTTAATATCCGCCAATTGGTGTTGCTGCTATTTTGTATTTTCAAAATTTATCTTCAAATTCAGAGACATCGAAAACCATATAAAGGACATTGCAAAAGTCATATCTTACGTATCTTAAGAGATGCCCTTTTAGTCTACCAAATTTATGTTTTTTTTGTTGAATTGCCTTATACATGTATTACCAAATTCGGTAGCCCTTTTAAAAGAAATGCCCGGCACCACATGGAAAATACATTTCTTTAATTGATGTTTGTCAAATTCGATTTCCGCACATTTCGCGTACATAACCACGATATAATGGTCGAATATTACGTACATCAGATAAACTATTTTTAAAGCCCAAAACTATTCAACTAGTCTCTTTTAGTTATCAAGCACCTGTTTTATGGGGTAATCTACCATTTAGTTTAAGATGTTGTACATCTCTATATTCTTTTAAAAAACAACTTAAATCACATTTATTTAATGAGGCTTTTAACTGACTCTGTATACAATTGTTAACATGTCCATAATCTTGTTGTTTATTTATGATTACATTGTAATTTTGTAAAGTGCCCCTGAACATGTTTTATGAAAGGGCGCGCTATAAATATGCTGTAATAATAATAATAATAATAATATTACCAAATTTGGCGGCCATTATGAAAGAAACGCCCGGCACCATATAACAAATACTTCTTTTTTTTAATTTGACGTTTGTCAAATTCGATTTTTCGGCACATTTCGCTTGCATAACCACTCTGTGTTTGAGGAATTTAAAAAGAAATCATTTATAATCCAACGAGTAAATAGTAAAACACACTGATTACGAGATATCGCTCTCAGAAAATTCCCCGATTTTGGGTATGATTTTTGTTTTGGCGTAAAACATCTGTTTAGGCGAGATGACGTGTTTTTGGTGTACATGAGTAAGCAATAATGCTACCTGACTAAAATACCCCCCCCCCCTCTTGCATTCGCATGTAGTCATACATATGAGTCTCAAAATAATATAATATATTGTTAAATTATGCTCTTTTCAACTCTATACCCATGACTGGTGTACCAAGTTAAATCCACATCAAAACCCCATTTGTCGATAAGTGTATTTATAATAATCACTTGAACATCCTTGGAGAATTATATCTATTTAGTGAATATTAATACCAAAGAAAGAAAACAACTCTAAATTCTGAATATAAAGTCATCAAATTCTTTTACAGATCTTATTGTGGAAACCCAAAAGTTATATGTCACCATTGCCTTTTTAATCACATTTTTGTTTTTAATGTCAAATACCAAACCATCTCTAATATTGTTTCATTATATAGAATGCAGTGTAATCCTAAACACTAAAGATTTGGCCTGAAAATTTGAAATAATATAGAGGGATCATCAATAATTAATAGTAACATTCGATAATTATAAAAATGTATTATTGTAGGATGAAATCAACCTTTATTTTTAAACATTTAGTGAACATTTCGAATGTTAATGCCTCTTTTATATAAAATGGTTTTATTAATTAATCAATTTTTGTTTTACAAATTTTTAATTTTCTCCATTTTGTTTGATTTTTATGCTATATTTATTTTATCTATCTATAATTATTTGCCTGTGCTTTATCTATTAGTTCCCATTTATATACTGTAGAAAATTTTGAATTCCTAATCTGTTAAAGGGACTATTTTTTCTTAAAAGTATTTCAATTTAGTGCATTATTAATTATTAATGTCTTTAGTGCTTGGTTTGGTTGATATTAAATTTAGATATATTTAAAATGTATGTTTTGGGACCATGGGGTAGGGATATTGTGAACATATATATTATATTCTCAGTTCTTTTTAAGGTTAATTGTAAAAAAAAATTAAATAGCTTTTTTTGAGGGGTGGGGGGATATTGTTATTATTGAACAAAATTTTATTAGTATTGAAATTAACTTTTTTGATTAATATTCCAAATGTCTCGGTGCTTTATTTTTCAATTTAAATTTTATTAGTATTGGAATTAACTTTGTTTATTAACCTTCGAGATGTCTGTATTGGTATTAATTAGGCATTAATTTATTTTTTCATATCATTTATTGAATAAATAATAATTTAACAAACAAAATTATTATGTCATTTATCAATAATTACAGTCTAAACAGAACGAATGGAAGGGGTTGCATTCGAAAGGTTGCTATACTGGATATAAATTGGTAAAATACAACACAAGTTTTTGTTATACACAAGTTTGTACGAAACAACACGAGTTTCAGAAATTTCAACACAAGTTTCAGAAATTTCAACACAAGTTTCAGAAATTTCAACACAAGTTTCAGAAATTTCAACACAAACAAGTTTCAGAAATTTCAACACAAATAATGTGTAGATTTTCACACAAGTTTTGTGTTGTTTCAACATTTAACACAAGTTTTGTGTTGTTTCAACATTTAACACAAGTTTTGTGTTGTTTCAACATTTAACACAAGATTGTGTTGTTAAATAGAGACACCTAACTTGTGTTGAAAATTTGTGTTGTTTCAACACAAGTTTTTTTCAGTGTACTAAACTGCCATCTTTATTCATTTCTTTCATGTTGTGGGGTAATTTTGAATATACACTCGTTTATCACTTCAAATCAACCCCAGATAGTAGAAAGTTATATTTCCACAGACGACTATATTCTTTGGTCGTATACACGACTTCATAAATAATAGATGTTATGATCTACATTGCTTATGGTAACCTCAATTCGAGAATAATAATAGATAATTGATACTTCAGTATTATAGACCTTTTATTTATTAAATAGGGTAGAAACTGGTGACGGATCAGCACAGGAAGGGAGTGATTACAAGGAATATAACGACATTATCCACTTTGCCGCTAATGAAGAATTACAAGAAGTATTTATAGACATTATTGATGATGACGAATGGGAAGAGGATGAGATATTCTTCGTAAGGCTATCTGCTGTTCCGGGGCAAGTATTTGCATTTGGAGAGCATACTATCTGTGAAGTGACTATCATTGATGATGATGGTAAGTTTTAGAATAAAGCGCGGTGAACATAAGTCCAATTGTTGGACTGTTTATATTATTTTATAATCTGTTCTCTTCCCAACGTTTCGCTGGAGATTTCAGTGGCGAGCCCCAAACCTCACCAGGTAAATCCATATCATTTATTCACAAGTTTCTTTGCCCCGCTAGATAGAGTTCAGGTCCTACTTATCTATTTTATTCTTATCCTGCAACTGTTAGAAATATCAGACAATTCCGCCAAGATTTGATATCAAATTCACTGATATTGCACTAATTATATCCGAAATATCTCGATTGCTGATGTACACAAGTCTACATGGTCAAAATGAAGTAGATTAGTTGTACGCTGAATGTTTATCTTTATAGCATGCAAGCCAACCCACACTGACAAGAGTGACTACAAAACTTGAGCTATTTTTTAAAGGAAAGCTGTAGTTACTGCTTTCCAAAAGTTTGACAATGCAAACATTGGTGAAAGTGTCATTTCTTTAATATTTCATAGAGCCAGGACTTTTGAGGTTTGCTAAACCAAGCATCATTGTCAGGGGGAGTGCAAGTCGTATTAAGATACCAGTACAGCGAGTTAACGGTGCTGACGGTAATATATCTGTAAAATGGAAAACTAAAGACATCTCAGCTAAACATGGAAAAGACTACGATGGGGGAGAAGGGGAATTAAAATTCGTTTCCGGAGAAACGAACAAATTCATAGTCATACCACTTCTTGGTACTAACAATGAGGTAAGTTACATAATACAGATGTTTCCATTATTGTTTTATTTTGAAATATTACTTATCTACAACGTGGGGGGGGGGGTAAATCTACTTTATTTAAATTGGTATTGTTCATTTTATCTGGATATTTTTGACATTTTTGGTGATCCGTCTAAATATATTTTTGTCCTGTATTATAAATAGAAACGAGAGAGAGATGATAGCTTTGAAGTTGAATTAGGTCAGTGTACAGGTGGAGCTGAATTAGGAAAGTTAAACAGAACTATTGTTACTATAGTTAATGATAAAGGTAATGATAAATAAATCCAATTTCTGATCTTTATATGAACCACATCCAGATATCCGTTATGAATTATGAGTCGATAAGATTCTTAAGAACATCAAGATATTCAACGCAAACGTACCAAAAAAGATGTGTTAGGGATTTTTTCTGAATTCGCATACTATTGAGTAGTGGTAATAATACAATTTAATGTATGGTAATATTAACGTCTTTCATCTGGATGTGGTTGTTGACCGATAATTTACTTGTCATGACAACGATCACCGGACACAAAGCAGGTATAATTCACAATATTCGTGCTATATTAAATTTGCCTTACATTACTGTACCGGTGCTTAATCACAGTTAGATAGGCGATATGCTGCTGTCTTGTTACAGACCTAGCTCACCAAATATTGCCCCCCCCCCCCCAACCAGCATCCTTTGTTCTAGAAAAAGTAATACATGTATATATTTTCTCTTTCAGAATTTGTTGGAATGGTGGGTCGGATTATGAGCAGAACATTTAGTTATTTAGATGAGATTGAAGACACATCCTATATTGATCAATTTAAGAATGCTATGAACGTGAATGGTGGAAATATAGAAGAAGCGACATTTGTAGATTACATATTCCATTTTTTAACATTTATTTGGAAGGTAGTTAAATTAAATCTTATATCTTATTTTATAATCCATGCAAAGATTACATTAATAATTTGCATCATTATGGCTCTTTCGGTTACGTCAAAATAGTCGCATGTATCATATACATCCCAGATTACGCTTGGTTGGTTAATAATTGCGTTATCCTCAACACCCGAGGCTCGGCAACTTTATCAAAGGCTAGCGATGCGATGCCAATCATCTGGGCTCATAACGAGCTTATGACTAGATCCTTAACAAATGAGTCCACGGTAGGATGTTTAGCACCTGGGCCCAGGATGAGATGTCTAACAAGCAAACTCACGACAGGATCCTCCGGATTTGGTCTCACGATGAGATGATATACGCCTAAAATGAGATGTTTAATGACTGGACTTGCAATGGGTAGCAGCTTCATTTAAACTTTGTGGGTAATAAGCCTTGTACAGCGAATCGGGCCATTTTTAATCTCTTCACTCATCTGCTGTAACATTAGTTAACGATGACATTTGCGACGCTGTCCAAATGCGTAGAAACGCAAAACAAATTGGACGTGATAGTTAATATGAATATCTTAACCAGCAATATCTATATCTATTTATAAATTTATTATTCTCATTTTATTGTAGATTATATTTGCTTTCATACCACCAGTCCACTTCCTAGGTGGATGGCCAACCTTTTTAATTTCATTAGCAATGATCGGTTTCTTAACGGCTCTCATTGGTGATTTGGCCAGTTTATTTGGTTGTTTGATTGGTCTAGAGGATAGTATTACCGCAATTACTTTGGTTGCATTGGGAACCAGTATGCCTGATACGTTTGCTAGTAAAACTGCTGCCCTTATGGAAAGATATGCCGACAGTTCTGTTGGAAATGTAACCGGGAGTAACTCTGTCAACGTGTTTCTAGGATTAGGCCTACCGTGGGTTATTGCTAGTATATATTGGGAGGCAAAAGTAAGTAATTTTTTAGTGCATTCATAGTTAACTAATGAAAATACACCAAATATTTGCCCCAAATTCACTGAGATTGCATGGAATATTAAATGATCATAAGGAGCTATGTGTATAGTACCATTCGATTACTTTCTTTAAACTGGATGGATAATCTGTTTGTGTTTACATCTGAAAACACTTCTCAATGGAGAATTTATTTTATATATACAAATATTTGTTGTAGTTCCAATGAATACTTATGAATTTGACACTGAATTAAATATATTTTAATGAATTAATAATCCAATCAGTTTACCCACATTTTGTATGAAATTTACTGAGGCTCTTCTGAATGGAGCCAAAAGTTCAAAATTGTCTCGGGGGAATTCCTCAGCGAATGCTACACTTCCATGCTCGCTATATATGACTCTCGTTCATTCAAACCCAATCTCCCTTTACCAAATTACTGCCTACGACACTGAACATTGCAATAGTGCCAATTATAGCCTACTATATTGCGCAATCGGAAACAATTGACATGTATGAAATGTTTTTTTCTCGTATAAAGGCCATGTTGGACAAGGGTTAATAGGGCATAAATAGTTGTTGTTTTTTTTTAAAGTATGCTAACTATAATTTTATTAAAGGCTAGTCAATTAGACTACATTTGTGGGCCATAAAGTGTAGCTTGTTTTGTTGAAAGGAAGTGTATATATACACACTTATACCCTTTTTTCATCCTAATTAAAAAAAATTTATTATCAGATCATCAGTTATTCTGTTTCCTTGTACTTTTTTCAGGGTTCGACATTCCAGGTTCCGGTTGGATCTTTGGTATTTAGTGTGATTCTCTATACCATTGCTGCTGTCATAGCTCTCAGTCTATTGGTAATAAGACGTAATGTTAAATTTTTCGGAAATGCCGAACTTGGTGGACCTACAGCTGGAAAGATCACGTGTGGTGTTATATTCATTACATTATGGGTCCTATATGTTTTATTTTCAGCTCTACAAGCCAAGAAAATCATCAGTTTTCAGATATGATTGTATTACTGTGTTTTAAGTCACTTATGTTAGTATACCTAGTAGATAACTGTCACACGTTTCAGTTCCATTGACTAATATGTTTCGTCCACAATTTCGTATACTAGGCTAAATGAAGATGCTGGCAGAAAGAGTACATCAAAATTCAAAACAAGGCAGGGTCTAACGGACCACTTACAGGGGGGTAGTGGGCCGCACGGGTGGGCCAAGGGGTCCGTGTGTGCGCCCCCCCCCCCCCCGCCCCCGGGTTTGGGATTCTTGCCACAGATAAAGCCAATGATGTCTGCTCCGACTGGGATAATGAAGACGGCCATACGCCATAGAGTGTGCTATGGAGGTAAAGTTGCCCGGGCAGCTGCGCTATGACTACTCTTATATCGAATTCCAAATGCCAAGGGTTCCTTTACGTACACACCAATATGTACACAGGACCTCGTTATTACGTCCTATACGTTGACCCTTGTCAGGCCCTCTGTTCTACACCACTGACAAGGGGCAACTACGCCCTAAAATCCATACGTACTTTCCCGGCCCACAAAGGTTAGCGAGTCAACGTCTTATCCACTGAGACCGGCTACTGTATATACAAATATTTAACGTTATAGAACAATCAATATAATATAAGATCCCTCCAATTTCAATATTTTATTTTTGACCTAAATCAAACAGATTTATCCCAAATACTGTATACCATTTATATGTATTGTTTTCTTATTTTTCATATTTGTTATATATATTATATTATATTTAAAAAGCTATTTTTGTTACTATGCATAATTCAGTATTTTTATATACGTTTCATTATTGAATATAATAGTTGTTAATATTAACAATGTTCTACTTCTATAGATAATACCGATTAAATTTGATATAAACGGACTTCGTTGTCAGATTGTCAAATGGGAGATACACTTAGCTTTGTTGCCAGGGCGAGACCTAAATTGTAGTTACTTCCCTTTGATTGAAATGAAATGGGGTTTAACGTTCTACTGTTCTGCTCCGAACTGGGCTAATGAAGACGGACATACGCCATACAGTGTGGTAAGGGACATTATGCCCGGACGGCGGCACTACAGCCTACTCTTATATCGAATTCCAACTGTCAAGGGATCTTTTACGTGCACGCCAATATGTACACGGGACCTCGGTTTTTCGTCCCATCAGAATGACTAAACAGCTGTCCTTGTCAGGCCCTCCGTCCTACATCACTGACAAGGGGGAACCACGCTGGGAAATCTGGATCGAACACCCGACCTCCAGACCAGCGATCCAGCGTCTCACCCACTTTAGCCACCGTGAAGCTGTCAAGACAACACTCGCGTGTTATTTCCTTGTGTATTTTAGCGCAGTGCCTGCCGATCAAATCTTGCAGGACTGTTGTATGCCCTGGATACAAAACATCAAAGATAATTGTATCCAAGCACCGATCAGAAAGGGGAACAATTGGCCCATTGAGCTTGGATAAGTAACCTACACTACACTAAATTTTCAAACCCTCAGCGTCAACTTGACACAAACTAGGTAATTTGCAGGGCCGGCGGAAGCAATTCTTGACCGTGGGGGCTACCGTCCTAAGACTTTATGCGATGGTTCAGGGGCCGGAAACTCCTGGGGGTCTAGATCGTCGGAGACGCTTTCTAAGCGATTTCTGGCTTGTACAATTACTCAGCAATGAAGTTTTTATGTTTTTTTAATCCCTTACCACGAAAGCACCGCAGTGATTTCCTGTGATGTTGAACTGGACAAATATATACAAAATATTACCAAGGTTGTGGACATTCTAGATGTCACAGTTTTCATCCGATTTTGATGAAACTTACAATGTATGTTTATAACAGTAACTTCTTGGATTATGACCGCTGATTGTACGAAAACTCACATTTTTAGCTTGTGGGCACCCTAGAGGTCACAATTTTATTGATGGTAACAACCGTTCAAAAATATCACAGTTAACCATTAAGACTGAGTACAATTTCAAAGTTCAAATGGCCGCTCCCCTTTACGCAAATAATGTAAAAGCATATAATACCCTGGGCAACCATCCGATGTAAACTGTGGTCGCGACAACAGTCTGAACCAGCACCCGAATTGGCCATGTCAGTTGTTTCGCCTGCTATATTTTCTGCTATTTATTCATTTCTAAAACTATATTTTTTGACGATGGTGATGAAGAAATGCTTTTAAAAAATTTTCTTACAACGCCGGGTTAACTGGTAACATGGGTCATTTCAGACAAATTTTTGTCGTGGGTCTATATATATTCGAATAAGAAATCTTAATCTGTCAAATTCATTAAGAAAACTCAAATAAAAATCAAAGTTGTTAATAAATCATACCCTAACCCTCATTCTCTAACTTCCGGGTGTTACCATGGAGCCTGAAATGCGGTCCATGGTGTAAATAACGCATTGGCAATCGGCAATTTTATATTTTTCAGACAAATCTATACACGTATCAGCCTATTGGGCCATCTTTAAACTATCCCGACCGTGCTCTATCGTATGGTACGGCTGGGAGGTCACAATTTATTTCCGATTTGCGCTTACCCCAACTTCGCCGTAGATGAGATTTAGAACACTTTCCTGTGGGTATAGATAGAAACTGGAACCGATGACTTCGTTGTCCAAATCTGTGGATAAACAAATGAAATTGGGTTTGCAGTATATGAAATTCTACACATTTGAATATCATGCAACCTAAAGTATCCCACATCAAAGTACCCAGTCATTCATACAATAACCCACGTCCTGTATAAAATAATGTTGGTCAACTATAAAGCATTGTATTTGTCAGCAATTATTAATACCATATAGCAGGGGCGGATCCAGGAATTTTTGCAGGGGGGGGGGGCATGTTCCTAAGACAATGTATCTCCCCCCCTCCTCCCGCATGGTCTCTATCGTCATTTTGGCGTATATACATACACATTGAGCTTTTTAAACAGAGAAATTCAACACCTCGTTTGACGTCAATTTTTATTATGAATTAATACAATGACATTGGGATTCAATTTCATGGATGCAAAGCATTAATTGTGATATCACATAAAGTCTATATCATTATCTCGTGCTTTGAGTGCCCATCCTGTCCCAAATCTTACGCCGAGAAACCTTTCTCATAAAAAGTGTTGATTTCAAAAAAAATTTATGTAGCTGAGCAGGGGGGGGGGGGGGTCGACCCCCCAAACCCCGCTCTGGATCCGCCCCTGTATAGTCGTTGAAAATGAACACTAATTATGCAGACAGGGTTGTGTGTGTACTGTGACTGATTATCCTGAATCGATTTTTTTTTTTTTTTAAAAAAACAGCATAAAATTGCGTACAAGACATAATAATAATTTCCATATCTGATTAGCAGTAACGGGATTATATATCATACGAAATCAGTTAAAATATAGTATGCCACATAAACTATCAGATCTCGTTAAAGTATTACCAAAGATTGTTTTAAAGTTTGGGCTAAATATAAGTGTAATTAATAAAGTATTATAGATTTAAAATGCCGAAAGCAAAAAGAGAGTCATATATTATGAGATATTTTACACTACATCATCGGTGACATTTACATAGAAGTTCTGTTTCTGGGATTTAGTGCAATGTTATATAATTTACATTGCCTTCGGTGATCTATTTGTATGAATAAGGATTTAGTATTTCATCCACGCCCGTGGCATTTGATATTTCTGATAGAAGATAAGTGAACCATTATAATGACAGTTATACGACTGGACGGACAGGCGGAATAAGTAGAAAAAACTCAATTGACATTAATTATTCTTAACGACACTCACAATTGTTCAAAGTTAATATATCAGAGACATGTATTTTACAATAGCTGGAGTGGTGTAAATATTTCATCATACTGATGAATAGTTTTTTTCCCCTGATGCTCGGATGCAGGGATACTTCAAGATTTCTCTCTGTTCAATGTTTTTATTTATATTATGATGTCAAAGCAACATTCCATAATTATAAATGGTTATATAGGCCGGTAAATGTTCTGTGGCCTAAATATAACTTTAGGGAAATCAACAAGAAATGAAATGAAATGGGGTTTAACGTTTTGTTCTACACCTACAGGGTTACATGGAAATTTTGCCCAGACAGGCAGACAAATAGAAACAACCAATGTAATACTTTAAATGGCTATACTATGATTTAACCGATATGAATAACTGATATACTTTTTTTTTAAAATAATATACTTTGGATTGTTTATTAAATTCTATATTTAACCTTTGTTCTATATATTGAGGCTCTAGAAGAATCTATAGCGGTAGAGCGTGTCTATATCAGGATGAATTTGACAGGGCAGCGGTGCTAAAATTACAATTGCAGTTAGAATAAATAATGTTTGGTAATTCATAAATTAGTGATTAATGAATATTAATCTGACAGTTACTTACCGCCATTTAAAATATTTCGCGAAAAACAAAAACAGCAAGAATGGTTTTATGCGTTGATCATTTTGATTTCAACAGCTCCGATTTGTTACCATCTGTGACTATTGGCATTTGTTATATCTTAGATCTAGTTTAGAGTTAAGCGTACAGCTGTGACATATCTAAATAAAACATGTGTGTGCTCTTGTTCATCGATATCGGAAATTGTCACAGTATGTACCGCAGATAGGTATTGGATTTCAAAAAACGTTGATTTTCTTGTTACAATATTTGTCAAATTTAACAAATCAAAGCCTCAACATAACAAAATAATGGTTAAATATAGAGTTATGTGTCAAATTTAACAAATCAAAGCCTCAACATAACAAAATAATGGTTAAATATATAGAATTAAAGACGACACACAATCAAAAGTATATACTGTACTTTTAATTAAAAAAATAATTGGTCCAAAATACATGTATATTTAAATCGATCAATAGTTATTTAAAGTTTACATTTAAGATTTTGTTAAATGTCTTTGGCCTCGGTGTTGGCCAAGAAAGTACCCCGCGATGTTCAAGTGTGCTTTTTGCTTGTTAGTGGTAACGGACGGAAAGCCTGAAAATGAAAAGTGCCTGGTGGTTCGGATGAGACGGAAACCATGAACTCCCATGTACACGTTAAAGAATCATTGACTGCTGTGCAAAAAAGTATAGGACGTTAAAACACCATTTATTTTGAGGGAATTGCAATATGAATGTGCCACGCTGACATTTGGTTATATAAGGAGTTTCTATCGACCACTGATTAGATAAAGTGATTTGCATTCAATCAAATTTTCATCTTTAACGTCCAACTAATTCAAATTGATTACCCTAATCAGCGAATTTATCGACACTGATTTCCGAAGCGCTTTCCTTAAATGCCAAATCACCCCAGGCGCGATTTAATCGGGTGATCACGTGTTGTTGTTTTTTTTCATCTATGTCCAGCCACAAGAATTGTTTACAAGCTAATCGGCGCATTTAACGAACTCGCTAAAGTACTTTGACATCGACTATACTGTCACATGATATCTCCACGTTTCCTCCTACTGCTAAAGACCCCTACACGCAAGCGAATTATTGAAATAAAATTAAACCATGTTAGTCCCGAAATGACCTATATATATAGTTTGTGTCGAGTGGACGTTAAACCCTCTCTCTCTCTCTCTCTCTCTCTCTCTCTCATCTCCACTAATTTCAGTCGATTTGGCAAGTCGATAAAACGCATATAGATTAATTAGTTTGTTATTTAGGCTATGTGTATACTCAATATAAGGGAATGTCTATATACATGTATATAAACTGGAATTACAAATTATTTACTAATATACAGACGTTACATCCGAGATATTCGAATTAGATTGTATGTCAAATTTAATTCTTAAAAGTGATAATGCCTCTATATCATAGACCTAGATAGTGGGAAAAAAGAATGTGTCAATTATTGATAAGGGTGGGACAACTTTTAAACCCCATTCAAGTTTATGATTATTTTTCATTCAAAAGTGAGAAAAGCCACGTGTCTCAACCTTCTCATTATAGCAACCAGTGTAACACATTTCTGTACAGAATAAAACACTGCCGACTAGCACGTATACAAACATCTCTGAGTATATTACAGTCTACAAATTGAGTTCGGTCTGTTTATACAGAACGAAGTTTTTACCAGTAGTATATATATAATAAATATTAACAATTTAGGATACACATGTATTTGGTCGATTTTTCGAATAATTTTAATATGAGGGGATTTGCATGTGACATAAGAGATAATATGATGACAAGAATGCGCTGAACATTATCAACTCTAATACGTGTTATAGAGTTCGAGAGGGGGTAAGCAGGATAAGTATGCCCTACAACGTGCAAATTAATAAGTCATGCCTTGCATTAGGTAGTCTCTATACGGTATTACTATATAGACTATATAGGGAACGCTCAGGAAAATAAATGAACAGTGCGGGTAAACTGATAAACAAATTATAGACAAACAAAAATTATTTGTGTTACGTGTTCACAAATTAGAGTCAGGCGCTACGTGGGATATATTCGGGTCAACATAAACTATAGCGTCTCCGCCCTGGCCGAATTATTGTACCGTAATATTGAGTAATCTTAATTGTAATATAGAATGACGTGCATGATACCTCGCTTTGATGGTAATTGGTTTCAAAATGCCGAGATCAGTATTTTAAACAAAAATGAAATAAATCTTTATAACCAAAGGTCAGATTGACACATTAATATTTTAATTCCCTCGAAATGAAATGCAATGGTGTTTAACGTCCTACTTTTCTGCGCCAGCCGGGATAATAAAAACAGCCATGCACAATATGTGCTCGGAACTTTGGCACGATATCGGCGAATCCACCTCTCTTTAGCTGCCAGGGGTTGTTTAACATGCACGCCAACAATACCCCGCTTTTTCCTCCCATCCGAAAGACTATAATGCCGTTTCTTGCTAGACTCTTATTCTTCATACCAGACATAGGTGAGCCACGCTGAAATCCAGTACGTTCTCTACCAACACCCGAATCCAACACAGAACTTCCTAGTTAATGCAAAGTACCTTTCACACTGATAACTCATGGGTTTACGGGCATAAATAAAAAAAAATACGCCCAATTAAAAAACTTTTTATTTATTTATGTATTCATGTACTTTAATACATATAATTATGTACATAGCTGCCATGAAAACTTATTTCCCCGAATAAAAATAAACGCACTGATTTGTAACTATCCATGCAGTATAAATTTACATGAGTTAAACAAAAATATTTATAAATCTATTATATCTTGTTATTAATGTTCTGTGAAATGATATGTTAGCGAGATGAAATTTTAATTTAATCATATTATCATTTTACACATGTCCGATAATTTGCAAAACAGTAGGCCTACTGTGAACTCATATCGGAATAATGCAATATGACCAGATATATTAGTTTTTAATTATTATATTTACAGAACATTTAGACAATATCATATCTATTTGCAATTGATCGATATTTTCGATGTACTGTACTTGTAGTCGACCTAGGTATTTATAATTATATTTAGAATGACCACACAATCATGTGTAGTAAAGATTCACTACTACATGTATAGTGTAGACTACAAAACACGAAAACATATTTCTCAATTTATTAGATCTACTTGGCAAATAATATCTTTTCAAAATATCAATTATCGAAATTATAAACTGCATACAAAGTTTAATTAATCGAATGTATCTCTTATTGAATTTGAAATGCCTATTATTACTCTAGTATAGGCCTATATTATATTTATCCATTTATGAAAGAAAACAATGACAGGTTTTAATGTCTCCTTTGCCACGTTGCATATCCAAGATGTTATCCACTCAAAATCATCGAAGCGGTGAACAAACATACGACAATAATAATTAAAGGTATCGTATAAAGCGGATTTGATTTACAACATGCACAATTTAACACGTGGTTTATTACTGTCATTCACTGAATTATAAACCACGTGACTTATTTTTATCCAATCGCATATAAACACGAGAGGTAATCCTGCGCATACCGGAACTAGGCCTCTGCCACGTTTGAGATAAGTAAGAACGTTGTATGTCCACAGATCTCTCCCATCAGGTTGCCGACATGAAGTGTTTATTTCTTATTTTAGGCTTTTTAGCCTGTTCTGTATTAGCAGATGAAGACAAAGTTCTGGTAATGACAAAAGATAACTTCGAAAGCACAATCACCGATAACAAATTCGTCCTTGTTGAATTTTGTAAGTAGACTGTATAATATTATTGTTATTTGTTTTATTACAAATTTTAGTTCTCTGCACGTATGTTCGTCACATGTGTTGGAACATTTATTTTTTATGTGCATACATAATGAGATGTTATTACATGTACAGATTATATCTTCATTTTATGTGAAGACCTCCGGAAAATGATATTTTAATCTAGATAAGAAGGCCAGACTATTATTTTTATTTTCAGACAATGAATTTAATCTAATAAAATATGGTTGACTATTAGGCCTACTAGTATTACTATTGACATTTGATGACAATCACAATGAATTACGATTTATTAAGAAGACTGCAGTTTGTTAGGCCTGTTGATAATAGTATTTTCCATTCAGTCATTGTTTCTGAATATACACATATAAATATTTGATAGAAGATCAACAGCTGTTTGAGTAATTTACAATGGTAGACCATACTCAACTGTAATCATATTGCTCTATATTTTTATTTTATCTGTGACAGTATGGCATGTTTCTGTGCGATTCTTGTCCATGGTATATTAGAATGTATATGAATATAACATCTCATCTGTGTTCTCTATTCAACTGTATTTCAGATGCCCCATGGTGTGGACATTGTAAAGCTCTTGAACCAGAATACAAGAAAGCTGCTGCTCAGTTAGCTGAAGACAATACTGGTATTGTTCTTGGTAAAGTTGATGCCACCCAAGAAAGTGAACTTGCTGAAAAATATGAAGTCCGAGGTTATCCAACCATCAAATTATTCAAGGATGGAAAACCAACAGACTACAGTGGTAAGCATTTTATGAAACTAAAATAAGGGTAATCTGTCCACCATCCTGATTACCTGTATTGCTCATGCAGTGTTACATACAGTAACTGTTAGAAGAATCCTTGATTCTGAAGTCATTCTTGTAGAATAGTTCATAATGCAACCAACAATGTATTTTATTACTAAATTGAACCTTTGGTATCCATCCAGTTGGCAAATACTGTTATTCTTATGTTCTTACTAGTCCATCTCTTACAAGTATAGTTATCAATTTACTTTTTATAACAGCTGGTCGTCAAGCTGCTGACATTGTTAACTTCTTGAAGAAAAAAACTGGTCCGCCAGCTACTGAACTCTCTGCTGTTGCTGATGCTAGTAAACTTATTGAAGGCAATGATGTAGTTGTTATTGGTTTCTTCAAGGTAAGCATTTGTGGCTTTATCTATTTATGTATTTCTCCTGTTATATTTGTGTAGTGCTTTTCAGCTTAATTTTAGCAGTTGACTAAAGACAATTAAGAACAAAACAACAAAAATTATGATATCTCTAATCAATTTATTTCATGTTTCTAGGATCAAGAATCAGATGCTGCTAAAGCTTTCAAAGAAGCTGCCTCCAACATTGATGATATTCCATTTGGTATTACTTCTGATGATGCCATCTTTAAGGAGTATGAAGTAGATAGAGATGCCATTGTTCTCTTCAAGAAGGTAATGAATTACTTATTTTCTTATAGTAAAGGTCGCTCAGATCGTTAATTTTAATGTGTCGAGTCTATAAAAAAAATATTTTTCAGTTGTATTGTATAATAAAAAGGAAAATTTTAAAAGTACATCTTCGAAATATAAAAACTGTCTGACCAGATGTTTCGCAGGTATTGTTGGTCAATTAAATAATTTGGTAAGTGGTATAATGTTTTATTTCTAGTTTGATGAAGGCAAGAATGTATTTGATGGTGACTATACAGCTGAAAAGATTGAAGAATTTATTGGAGAAAACCAACTGCCACTTGTTGTTGAATTTACACAAGATGTAAGTTTTTATTTGAAAATTGATGTTGATAGCACTGTAATACATCATTTCATTTGATTATCTCAAAGGTTTTTCTAGATATAATCATCTGAAACAATTGGAAAACATTATTAACGATGCATTATGTAAGAGCTGAATTGCCTATTTCATGTCTTTATTTTGGCTTCAATTGTTGTATAAATTATTGTTTAGGCATTTATTAACATGGCAAGCCTATAATAATGTCCTCTCAAGACTATCCGATGTCAAGATTTAAATGAATTGGAAAACCAGCAAGATTTTAAAAATGAGCAATTGTCAAGTACTGTTGCTATGATAATTATCTGTAAAGCCTGATAGCTTTGCCCAGAATAAAGTAATTGTCAATATTCATTTTTCATTATCTATTTTTGAACTGTTATTTTAAATCTTCATAATGCATCTTTGCAAGATATTCTGAAATCCAGCAAAATTTCTGAATTATTTGATTCTTGATGTTAGGTTAAATTCAGCTGCAGGTCCTCACTGTCATACGGCTCCTATTACCTAGTTTAACAATGTACAAGAGGTGACTATTAAACAAAGTTTATTCTTCTGGGATGGCCATCTTGGATGGAATAACTGAGTAGAAATGTCCAACAGTACCTTAGCCATTATTATGGATTATAAGGTTATCATGACCCACTGATAATTTATTATCAGTTATTATCAGCGAGGATTGAATTATTTAAAATTCTAGAAAACATTTTATATTTTCATTTATTCATTCTGTGTGTCTAGCCAATTTGACAAGAGAATGATTTTAAAACCAGAGTTTTCATGTATTATAACTTAGATGGTTTATTTATATATTTTTTCAGTCGGCCCAGAAAATCTTCGGTGGAAAAGTTAAAAATCACATTCTCTTATTTGTAAATAAAGATGATACTTTTGATGATTATTTGACAAAATTCAAGGCTGCTGCCCCAGACTTTAAAGGAAAGGTAATGTTAAAAGAGTCTTAAATTTCTACATTTAATGTCTATGGGATTGAAAGACCTAGAATTTTACAATGACAGTTACCAGTGACATATTTATTCACCAAATTATCTATAAACTTGTTTGGGTTTTGTTTGAACACAGTTTTCTGGCGTGGTTCTCCCTTGTCAGTGATGCAGGACGGAGGGGCTGACAAGGACAGCTGTCTAGTCGTTCGGATGGGACGAAAAACCGAGGTCCCGTGTACACATTGGCGTGCACGTAAAAGACCCCTTGACAGTTGGAATTCGATATAAGAGTAGGCCGTAGTGCCGCTGTCCGGGCAAAATTTCCCTCATAGCGTGGTTCTCCCTTGTCAGTGATGCAGGACGGAGGGGCTGACAAGGACAGCTGTCTAGTCGTTCGGATGGGACGAAAAACCGAGGTCCCGTGTACACATTGGCGTGCACGTAAAAGACCCCTTGACAGTTGGAATTCGATATAAGAGTAGGCCGTAGTGCCGCTGTCCGGGCAAAATTTCCCTCATAGCACACTGTATGGTGTATGCCCGTCTTCATTAGCCCAGTTCGGAGCAAAACAGTAGGACGTTAAATTTCATTTCATTTTGAACACAGTTTGCATTGAGGGTTTTTTGAATGTTTGCATTTCCTTTTTCATAGGTTCTCTTCATTTACATCAATACTAAAGATGAAGACAATGCCAGAATTTTGGAATTCTTCGGACTTAAAACTAAGGATGTCCCTGCACTTCGTCTCATTACTTTGACAGAAGATATGACTAAATATGTTCCAGAATCCTCAGAAATCACAACAGACGTTGTCAGATCATTTGTACAATCTTTCATAGATGGTAAACTCAAGGTAAGCCTTTATACTGTTTTGGAGATTCTGCTTGCATCATTCTCATGACTTTTTTTTGTAATGACAGATGAAGAAATAAACTATAACGCACAATTTTTGACTGTCAATTTAGAATGGTTAAATTAGTAAGTTAGATTGCATACAATTCCAGTGAATCACTGCCTATTTCTCAGCACATACAAGCTTGTGACTTATAATTTCTATATTTTTAAAGGTTAGATTAATAGTACATGATATCCTTTTAAATATCTAAATATAATTTATTTTTATTTGTAGCCACATCTCATGTCTGAAGAAGTACCAGAAGACTGGGACAAGACACCAGTTAAAGTTTTAGTTGGCAAAAACTTCAATGAAGTAGCTAAAGATAAATCTAAAGCAGTTTTAGTTGAATTTTGTAAGTACTTATACAAATGTGCAAATGTTAGTTGATATACTCAATTGAGTATTTAGTCTAAAAAAAATCAAGCATATCCTGCCTCATGTAAAAAATTATATATTTTTGGATTTTAAACACATATTTTTTCCCTTTTGTGTAAATAGGTCTCTTGGAGATACCCAAAAGATGTATGAAAACCCTTTCAATGAAATTGTGAGAATAAATCATGTTTTTTTTTTCTCTAGATGCACCTTGGTGCGGACATTGTAAACAGTTGATCCCAGTCTGGGATGAACTTGGTGAAAAATATAAGGATAACAAAGATATTGTTATTGCTAAGATGGATGCTACAGCTAATGAGTTAGCTGACGTGAAAGTCCAGAGCTTCCCTACTATTAAATATTTCCCAGCTGGTAGTGATGAAGTAAGTCAAATGTTTAACACATACACTACCTATGGCATGTGCGTGCTGTATCAACAGGTCTGTCATTGAGTCAACTGGCGTGGTTTCGATTCCCCAGTTGTACGCGACAAGGAATAGGATCGTCTGTCCAAACTCGTGGGTTTTCTCTGGGTCCCCCAGTTTTCTCCCACTGCTAAAGATCCCTAGGCGCAAAAGAATTATTGAAATAAAATTGAACCATGTTAGTCATGAAATAACCTAGGTTTTGTCGAGTGGATGTTAAACTCCATTTCTCTTTCTCACACCTATGGCACCTATCTAATTAATAATTATATTCCGTAACTACATGACATATATATCGATGTCTAGATGTGATTGAAGCAATAGACATTGATAAAACATGTCAAATTTTAAATAAAACAGATTCCAGTACATAATATGAATAGAACGACTGATAATATGAAGTTTCAATACTATAACTCTCATGAACAGCAGAGGTTGATACATATGTGGTGCAGTGTACAGGAGGCATTAAATTCTCCCTTTGATAGTGAACAAAATCTTTGCCAAGTTCATTGCTTTGTGTTAATATTAAATTGATAATTAGTTACTAGTTTAGCTTTAAATGTTTTTAGGCTGTAGACTATAATGGTGCTAGAACATTAGAAGGTTTCTCCAAATTCCTTGATAGTGGAGGTAAAGAAGGTGCTGGTGCTACTGAAGAGGTAATTTAAACATTGAGTACTTTTATAGTGTGCTATTCATACAGTTACTTTAAACACTAGGTCTCTTGTCCTAATAACATTAACAAGTGTTTTCATTCATTTGATTTCAATGACAGTTATTTCTGTTGATGAACGAATATGGATCAAATTGGGTTTTACCATAAAGATCTGTGTTCAAAGTGTAAATTTACCGAGGACAAAGAACACCTCACGGTGTCAACTTTTAAGGTTTTTTATACTGTGCCTTTTTAAATGGATTTTCATAAAAAAAAAGCATTATGGATGTTTTGTAGAAAATTTTCAGTGTGATTTCTGTTATTTTCTAGGAATTAGAGGAGGAGGGTGAAGAAGAAGAGGAGGAGGAAGAAGATGAAGAACAGCAACGTGATGAACTTTAATCATAAGATCGTCTAGTCATATTAATATCATTTATCTTCCCTTTATATCCCATAGTTCTGGCAGAATGGCATTAAAACAAACAACATCAAGTCTTGAAGGGAATGCCAGGTCTGGTACCTAGAACAACCAAGGAACCATCATCATTGTTATGTAGATAGATAATTTAACCAATTTTAATGTAATATTGTTACATTCTTTTTAATTGATTGTGAGTTGCAACTGTGTGAAATGATTAGCTATTACTCCTGCTGAAGATACTCTCGTTTTGATGCCATTTTGCCCGTTTACACATTTGACGTTTTATGAGTTCATGTGTAATAAATATGATATATGTGAAACAGCTATGTAGATATGATCATCATAAACTCCCTATTTTTTTTTTATCATAAACATAAACCTTTGTCTTTGTTAAGTTTTTTTTGTAATTAACTACGCATTTGTGTAAATGTAATGACCTGGATTCCCTTCGTATAAAATAAGCAAAAAAATGATTTAATGTTAGTGGATATTAGCAAATCATTCCAGTTGTGAATATTCTATTATTTAGGGGTAGGATTTCAAACATAATTAATAAATTATTATTTTCTTCCTGTGGGAGAGATCTCTGTTACTACAGAATGAGTTGTAAAATATATGCTGTTTAAAACTGTGAAATCAATTTAAAGTATTGGCCAAAATGTCATAATAATTTATAACATTATTTTAAAGGTGTATGACATAAGTATATATTTTGGAATTTAATATTTTTTGTTTTTGTCTTTTTATGCATTTATAGAATAATTTGACAAAAAGGAGAATATCATGAAAGAGTGTATTTATCTGTACTGACATGCTCATGTTTTGTATTGAATCAGGAATTTAAAAAAGTTAAAAAAATCAAAAAATTGTTTTATTCTGTAATTCTGGTGAATTGGGTTCGTTTGTCTGTCTTACTTTTTTTGTCCCCCGCCTTTCGAAGAAAGCAGGGGACTATTAAAATGGGTTCGTCCGTCTGTCTGTCTGTCTGTCCGTCTGTCTGTCCGTCACACTTTTTGGGACACAATAACTCTCTTCCTAATTGAGCTAGAATGTTCAAACTTGGTGTATGTGTTTATTAGGTCAATGCCTTGATGGAGTTCGAAGATGAGCATTTTCCGCTTAGGGTAAGCAGAGATAAGCAATTTGATTGGTTGATGCTTTGGGACACGATAACTCTCTTCCTAATTGGGCTAGAATGTTCAAACTTGGTGTATGTGTTGATTAGGTCAATGCCTTGATGGAGTTCGAAGATGAGCATTTTCCGCTTAGGGTAAGCAGAGATAAGCAATTTGATTGGTTGATGCTTTGGGACACGATAACTTTTAATTGAGCTAGAATGTTCAAACTTGGTGTATGTGTTTATTAGGTCAATGCCTTGATGGAGTTCGAAGATGAGCATTTTCCGCTTAGGGTAAGCAGAGATAAGCAATTTGATTGGTTGATACTTTGGGGCACGATAACTCTCTTCCTAATTGAGCTAGAATGTTCAAACTTGGTGTATGTGTTGATTAGGTCAATGCCTTGATGGAGTTCGAAGATGAGCATTTTCCGCTTAGGGTAAGCAGAGATAAGCAATTTGATTGGTTGATGCTTTGGGACACGATAACTTTAGTTCTAATTAAGTGAGATTGATGAAACTTGGTGTATAGTTTCATTACAGTAATACCTTGACTAAGTTTGATAATGAGCATTTTCTGCTCGGGGTAAGCAGAGCGATACGCAATTTGATTGGTCGAGACTTTGGAAAACAATAACTCTCCTACTTTGATTGTTAGACTATAAGTAAAGATATACTGTTTGATTGTTCAATACTTTGTAAAAGATAATTTGTGATAAATTTATATGTGTCCTCTAATTATTTTCCTATTTCGGCGGGGGACATCAGCCTCACTGTTGGCTTGTTTTTAAAGACAATAAATGTGCTTCTACTGTTAATTGAGGTACAATGTTGATATGGTGAATATCTGTAGTTCAGATTAGTATATTTTGCTTGGTTAAGCAGAATGATGAGCAATTGAGTGGTGAATTATTTACTTATTGCATTTTGCGTGCACATGTGGGGTATGGTTTTGCATTCCATCTGAAACAAGTAGCACAAATGTTACAGTAGTGGGCGTATGGCTTGAAAAAAATACTAGAAGACTCATGTTATACTAGTTGGGATTAATATGAGATGTTTTTGTCAAGTTTCCAATATCCTTACTGCCTAATTTCTCAATAAGAAATTCTGTTCACGATGTGGGGACAGTATTTTGTCTGCAAGAACAAAATTAATGATCTTCCGTATGAACCGGTGTCCGTGTTCTCTAAATTTCATCCTCAGGTTGCTAAGAAATGAACCCTGTGCGGATGAAAAATAAAAATATTTCTGTTCGCTCAATTTTTAATACTGGACTTTCTGCAATATTCATCTCCTGAATTGAGTTGGATATGGATACAACAATGTCAAATGCCCAGCTTGATGACAAGCTGACCAAATTTGAATAATGTACGGTAGACACAAAATGAAATGAGGGTTAAAAGTCTTTAATTTTTTGCACTACCTGGGCTAATGACCAAGGGACAATTTGCCCAGGCATGGGACCTTGGTTTTTGATCACACACAAACAATACCATACTGTGCATGCTAGAAAGTCCTGTGGCTCATAAATTGACCTGAAAAAAAAACCGAGCACTACCAATGGTAGATTGGTCCATGACCAGAAAGAAAATACAATCAACAAGTGATATTTGTGACTAATTGGTATACCAGATATATATAATCTTACCCAGGGGTAGATCCAGTGGGGGGGGGGGGGGGGGTACAACCCCTCTGCTCAGCTACATAAAAACACTTTTGAATTTGAGGGCAATGTTGCTGTTCAAGCAGATTTTCCCTCTTGACATATATCTGTCTTCATTAGCACATTTGGTGCAAAAAAAGTTTTGTTTGTCCAAAAGCCGTTTTGTTTGTCTTCTGTACACATTCTGAATTTCTTGATATTTTGGCATTTGACACAGTCAAAGTCAGTTTTGGTTTTTCTATTTTGTTTCCTGTCAAAATCGTGCAGAACTGATTTTATTGCATATCAGTAAAAGTAAAATGCAGCATAGTTGGTACATGTATTTAGTACGTTTTTTTTTGTAAAATTCCAGTTTCTGTGTTTTGTCAAATATATGCCAAAATGATGTATTTCTCAATAATTTTCAATGTCTTCATGGTGGTGGTGGGGGGGGGGGGATATGCATTTGGTTTTCTCTGGAATATGTGAACATGACTAGAATTAGCAAAGCACTTCTTGAAAGAAACTTTAATGGAAAACATTTAATGGAAAACTGGGGGGGGGGGGGGGGCGAATGGTTAGCACACGCGCGCTGTATCATACGTCTGTCATTGAGTCAGTTGTAAGTAACAAGGAGTAGGGTCGTCTGTCCAACCTCGTGGGTTTTCTCCGGGTCCTCCCACTTCTAAAGACCCCTACGCGCAAGCGAATTATTGAAAAAAATTGAACCATGTGTTGGTCCTGAAATGACCTAGTTTGTGTCGAGTGGATGTTAAACCCCATTTCTCTCTCTCTCTCCTTCACTGGCAAAGGTCCCCTTTTGTCAATATAACAAATAAACCGCCACCATTGATAAATATTTCATTGAAAGTTTTTCAGTTATTGTATGAAATGTATCATTTAATTGGTAGGAATTCAAGGTAAGATGCCATTGCCTGTATGAACAGATTACTATCATCAAGCTATAAAAGAGCAACTATAGTGAAGAGTAAACACTAGGGAACAGTTGACAATGATCAAAGCCTACTATCCCATTTACATATAACCTATCTTTATATGCTTCACTGACTTTATGATCATTTAACTGCAAGTTATATTTAATATAGGTTATCTTTGCTATTATATGCTGATGTTTAAAGAAAAAAAACTTTTGCTAGGGCAGTGTTGTTAAATTTATTATCCAAATTCCAGTAGTTAGGTCTAATAGGGACAGGCATGATAATCCTAAAAATACTTTCAGCTAAAACCAAACCCTTGATTGCTGTGGAGGTCAGAGTCCAACCCATGTATGGGTTGGGCTATACTGTCTGGGACTGATGTTGTGTATGAAAGGAGAAAGACTACTTGGTTATCGGAAATCAATAGGATTCTTCCTCTCATCAACATAAACACTGTGTATAAATTTAAAATCAAATGGATAGTTTCTAGAGCATCCATAATTTTTCAAATTTATCATCTCTGACAGTAATTTTTAGAAATTCTTGGAATTCAATAACCCTTTTCATCTCATGAACACAAATACTGGTAGGTAGATTTTCCAGTTTTTCAGCAAAAAACTATATAAAAAACTTTCATCAATTTCTTAAAAGGTTTAAAAGTTCATGAACTAGTCATTACCAGGTTCAAAAGTTTATTTTATAGCTTTCTGACATGCAATAAAAAAAAAAGTGTTTGAACAAATTTATTAGTTAAATTTTTCATTTTTAAATAAAAAAAAACTTCAGAGATTTATTCAAAATCCCCACACTACATCCAATAAATGTTAATAAAAGTTTGAATAGCAATTCTTATTTTCCATCAAAGTCTTTTTGAGGATTGATGAATGAAAGTATGAATGTCACTAGGTACATACAAAGATATATATATCTTTTAATGTTAAATTGCTTTTAGCTTTATTAGAAGATTAAAATTAAGTGGTAACCATTATACATATGCTTCATTATCACTGTATTATATTTGTTAATTGGGAAATTTTCTCTAATATAAACAAGAAGACCCAGTCATCTACATATGCTCAATTCTAGATGTATAAATGATGTAAATTTTCATAAAGATATTTTCAATGGTTTGTGAAATGCTATGGAATACTAATTGCACACTGAAAATTATAATTATTCAAGTGAGAATAAGTAAAATTGTCTCCATAGAAACACATAAATTAATCAACTGAGAATTTTGAAATTAGCAAATGGCACAACAACCATAAAAGTACATGTACATGTACATGTATAATTTCTGAACAAATACTTTGAACAGTTTATGAGATCTGGTCTGGGATAAAAATTGTATTACATAGACTTAATCAAATGTTGTTTCCATGGAAACACAAATTATTAAACATGAGAAATTTCTAATTAGCACAACTGTAGGCCCTACTGGTAATAGGTTTAAATGTGTGTACAAAGTTTCATACAGATATACTTCAGAAAGCAATGTGGGTCGGTCAGAACAAATCCATTTCATTATCCCTTCCTTACTTTGCTTGATGTGTAATAATTATCAATTGAGTTGACTGAAACACTGCATAGAATTACTGTGTAGTTTTAAGGTTTACAACGCAAATTTGGGTCATTTGCTACACAAAATGCTTATATAAAGCAAAAAATGACAAATTTCCCATTAAAAATGCTACTCAAATTTTTATGTTCCCTATGAAAATGCAATCTAAAAACTGTTATATAAATGTTACACTTCTATTAATAAACATCCAACACCAGTTTTTATATATTCTCTTTCCTAAAATCAAATATGTCACTCTTTGTGTCATTGCCTGAAGTAATACATTTAATATAGAAATGACGTGGTTGGTGGAAGGGTCACACATATTGGGCATTAGCTGATTGGTTGATTTATAGATATAAAATATGACTGGATGGTAGAACAACATTATTATGTAAACATCACGTGACATCAGTAGGCATGTATTACTTTGATATGTGTATGTTTTAAATAAGAACATATTTCTAGTAATTTACACTATAAACAATGTCACTAGTAGGCCTAAGACAAATAATAACTTAACAGAATATCACATAACAAAATCCACCGGTCATTGATGAAAGTTATTATTAAACTAAACGCTCATAGCATTGGTGACATCAACAGCTAGATACATAAATTTAAGGTTAAATAAAACTGCCATTTTGAACTCTAGCCTTTTTAGTACGCTTCAATCATTAATCATAAAAAACCTTAAATCACAGTACAGACTAATCCCTAATAAACCATGTCCATTTAAAGGAGCTAAATCTCTTTGATAAGAGAGAGAGAGAAATGTGGTTTAACGTCAACTCGACACAAACTAGGTCATTTCGGGACTAACATATGGTTTAATTTTATTTCAATAATTCGCTTGCGCGTAGGGGTCTTGAACAGTGGGAGGAAACCGGAGGACCCGGAGAAAACCCACGAGGTTGGACAGGCGACCCTACTCCTTGTCACGTACAACCAGGGATTTGAAACCACGCCAGTTGACTCAATGACAGGATTTATGACACAGTGCGCACCTGCTAACCATTCGGCCATCCAACCCCCCTCATCCAACCCCCCTCTCGTTGATAAGAGTTGATCTGATGTGTCATTTCAATAAGTGATGGCATAAGATCTAAATGATTAAATTTTTGTTTTTCAAAATAATATCTGAAAGTCACTTTGTTTATTAATTTCAGTTTAACTTTTGAATAATACTGCCAATAGTGTAACACAAAATCATTCACAAAGCAAATCAACAAATCTAACTTCCTTAAAGTGAGAACTTTCATTTTATAGCCAAATCAAAGGGTTCTAGTTTAGTTTAAACAATATTTTATTTAATAAGCTGAATTGGATTGAACAACAGGCAAAGGCCTATATAAGTTCTCTCCAGTCATATAAAATAGTTAAATCTTATGTTTACAATACAATGGTGGACATATGTACAGGCAGTGGTTTACAAACATATATACATAACTTGGAGAGTAATTTTAACTTTTAAATATTAAAGTGTTAAAATTTCATGCTGTCTTTTATGTATTTTTGCACTATTTCAAATATGTTAGAATTGGTATTGTTTGGAAGAGCAGGGTTGCAATATAGGATCAGGTCAATTGTAACATTTTGTTTAAGGTGGTGTAGATTATTTTTGAGAATTGTTCTTGGGGCAGAGTATGCTGGACATATGAAAAAATAATGGTTATTATCTTCGTCTGCAGAATTACACCTAGGGCACACTTTTGTTTCACTAATAAAATGGTAGAAGAAGTGATTATTTAAGTTACTAGCTTTATTTCTTAATTGGCAATGAATAATATTCTCTTTCCTATTTCCAGTATTATAATATAGTGGTGGTCTAATTACAGGATACACACGTGAAAGGCCCTAAATGTCTTTAACGTTTGTGAGGTTTTAATATTTTCAGGTAAGTTGTTCCAAAGTTTAATTGTGCAGGGAAAGAAACTATTAGAATATGAACTGGTTTTACAAATTGGTAGATTGAGGTTCCGATTTTCATTACAAAGGTTATAATTTGATATTGATGGTTCAAATTTTTAAAAGGCTTCAGATAGATAAGTAAGGTTATTCTTTATTTTATATAAATAAATTAATTTGTGTTTTATTCTGCGATTAGACAATGATTCCCAACCAAGCTCTTTATATAAATTGTTTTTAGATGAATTTCTTCTCAGGCCAGTTATTATTCTACCGGCTTCAGTTTGAACTCTTTCTAATAGATCAGAATCCTTCTTTGAATAGTTATCCCATACAATATTGGCATATTCTAAAATAGGGCAAATAAAAGCAAGATATATTTTATTAAGTGAAATTCTATTTATTTTATATTTCAGTATATGCAAAATATTTAGTCGACCACAAGCTTTCTGGTATATATTTGAAATGTGTTTTGAGTCAAGTTTTGACCATAATATAATGCATTAGACTGAAATGTTAATCCCAAATGACAATAACTAGTTACGTTTTCAACTTTTGTTTTTTCAAAGATAACGTCGGGATGGATTGTAGTTTTCCTAGTAAAAATAATATGTTTAGTTTTATTGGGGTTAAAAAGGTTCTAGTCATTTTAAAACAAGCAGTGACACATTATAACCAGTATATAAAATCATAATGGTGGCTTTAGGGCAATAAAACTTATCTCTGTATCAATTAAATAGCCTGATTAAACAGAAATAGAGCTGTCTAAAACCCCATAAATATAAAAATCTTTATACTTATATAAATATAATAACACAACAATATGTTACATGCGTTTCTATGGTAACCATGATTTATTTTTTTTATAAATAATTCTATGAATACATGATTGCACCATGTCATAAATAATGTCTTACAATATAAATAGCTGACATTCATTAATATGTCAAAAACAAGTATAATACACATATATTACACAATCTGTCAATCACAGTACATGTAAATTTCATTCATATTTCTATTTGATTAAATTAATGAGACAAGTATAAAATATTTAATAAATGTACATTAATAATAATTGATGTATACAGGTCATATAGTATATTTTTATTTCAATAATTCCCTTGAACACAGAGGTTTTTAGAAGTGGGAGAAAACCGAGAGAAAAACCATGAGGTTAGACCAGTGACCCTACTTCTTTCAAGTACAAAGCCAGGATCAAACCCATGACTTGCATAGATATACGTGTTAGACAACCCAAGGACGCTAATTTAAGATTTTGACGATAAGAGTAAAAACTGAATTTCAATAAACAGATCAATATTAAATTGCATTAATACATTTTGAGACTATTTCACATGCACAAAAAAATTGTTTAAATTACATGTTCTGGTAATTAAAATAATCTACCTATAAGGATCACTTGGTACAAGCCTTTTTGAATGAATAAGTCTTTAGATTAGTCTTTAAAAAATCACTATTAAGCTGTTTTAAAGAAATAAGTCTTTAGTTTTAAAAATAGCAATAGCAGTGACATTAAGAATCTGAATTGGTAATTTGTTCCAATCAGGGGCTAAGTGAGAGAGACGAAATGACAAGCTTTGTGTCATGGTTCTGAATTTTTGTGCCCCTTGGGTTTTTGTGCCTTCCTCACAAATGGCAAAAAATCATGCGGTTTTAATGTGTTTTTTAACATTATAATCACAATCATAATGCTTAACTAGTGTTAAACATACACCATTGGTCAGATACAAATAGACTCCAGCATGTTCCACACAGCACAATATTACTCGGTGGCACAGGAAGGCCCCCCGCCATCCCCCTCACACATATAAAATATAAATATTGTTTTTTGGGGGGCCGGACGGGATTTTGTTTCTCATGATGACAAATTATAAGTAATAATGTATAAAATAAAGTAGAGGTTTTTTAAAATTTTAATGCTGCATTGAAAAACATTAAAAATGTATACATGTATCACTTTCAGAACAGATGATTTGCCATATTAAATATCTGATGCCTGATCTTGTTTGTTACAATATATTGATACAACAAACATATCAGTCTATGTCCTATTTCAATAATAATACATTGTTGCAGCTTTTGTTCTTTATGTGTGAACATGATTCTTTTTTTATGAACAACATCAATAGAGCTAATATATTCTATATTGAATCAATATTCATAAATACCTTATATAGCACCATAAGTCTATAAATAACTTGTAAAAATAATTTAGATATTTATGGTTTAAATGGTCTAAATGTGATTCTTTTCATGGAAATACACACAATAAGTCTGCAAATAGGAAATTTTACTTATTCGGCACTCTTTTATATTTTTTGGTTTGATATTTACAATTCAAAAAATTTGGAAATCAATATGGTTCTGTGCTTTAGATAGGATTAGGCTCCACGGACCAAATTCATGGGTTTTTCACCCAGGTTCTCTAGTTTTCTCCCACAGCTATAGACACCTACGCGCAAGTTAATTATTGAAATAAAACATATGTTAGTGTTAACAAGCAAATTTTAACAGTCACACAACAATTATAATGGATTGGTTGCTTTGTGAGAAATACTTTAAGACAATTTGGACTAATGTATTTTGCTAAATGCTACCCATCGACTACTATTTTTGGGGTAGGTATTTGTAATGAATAAATATAATTTATAATATATATACTATATAGAATTAGTTGAATTAGGACCAGATTTGTGTATAACAGGATTAGATAAACGGAATATAGTAGGTAACATATTACTTATATTCATAAACATATCTTCTGATAAACCCTGTAAATAGATTAAATACAACCAATTTAACCATTCATACCACCTGTTAATATTGTACATCTATTTTTTCGAAAAGTTCTCTTTTACAAGATAATTGTGAAGCAAGTTATTTTTAACTCAAATGAAGTAAATGTAATATTCAAATGTTCAATTTGAGTTAAAAATCAAAATAAATACAAATTTTATGTCACAATAAGTGTTTTGAATGTTAAATTTTACACAGTAAACAACTACAAATTTGAAGTAAAATCATTATAAATATGAAAGACTTACCCTTGGGACTAGAAACTGTATTGTTCTTGACTCTTGGGCTCCATAAGTAGCCATTTCTATCATAAAACCTTTAACACATTTATATACTAATTCAGCTCTCTTCATACACCATGGTATAGTCATTTCCTTAAATAAACACATTAGTTTATTTTCTAACTCTTACATCATCACCAGGAGAGAGAGAGAGAGAGAGAGAGAGAGAGGGTTTAACATCCACTCGACTCAAATTAGGTCATTTCAGGACTAACATGCTGTTCAATTTTATTTTAATATTTTGCTTGCACTTAGGGGTCTTTTTCTGAAAAAAGGCTATACTGGTAACTATGATAGGTTGCCAGGCAACAAAATATATGCCCACAGCAGCTAAAAGGGGGCTATACTATATACTGGAAAACAACCGGAAAACACCATGTTATACTGAATACCGGAAAACACCGAAAAAACACTAAATACCGGAAACCACACTAAATACCGGTAACCCGGAGAAGGGCTATACTATAAACCGGAAATTAACCCTAACCCTAACCCAGGCACACAGAGGACCAGGCTCCCGGTTACCTATTTAGGGTGCTAGTCTCTGGGTTACCTATTTAGGGTATTTTCCGGTATTTAGTGTGTTTTCCGGTATTTAGTGTTTTTCTGGTGTTTTCTGAACAGTCGACAAGGGTTGTCCGTGTCACATATTTATTCTTTTGTAGTTAATTGAGGGCATTTACAAGACAACTTGATGAAGATCCGATCATAATTTTTTGTCATTTGCGGGTTCACAAGGTTCTACAAACTGAAACAAGGGCCTTAACTCTGGAAGTAATTCACAGAAATTGTTGAAATTTGACAGGCTTTTTCATTTTACTAATCTAAATAATGCATATAAATTTCATACAGATCGGATGACAACTTTTGTCATTCTAGCATTGACAAGGTTCAACAAAGTAAAACAAGGGGCATAACGGCAGAAGTAATTTAAATGATGCATATAAATTGCATACAGATCAGATGATAACTTTTGTCATTCTCGCATTCATAAGGTTCAACAAAGCGAAACAAGGGCTATAACTCTAGAAGAAATTAATGAAATTCAAAGGCCTTCTTCCTTTCACTAATTTAATATAGAGTGGATGATAACTTAGAGCGATCACAAGGTTCAACAAGCCAACAGTGAGGCTGATTTCCCCTTCCGAAATCCCAAAATAAATAGATGACACATATTCATTAATCGCACATTTATTTTTTTCCAAAAGTATCAAGCAACTAATTTCAAAACAATCAGATTATAAATGTAGTTTGTTCTGTAGAATGTTCACAAGAAATTGTGGGCGATGGACGGGGGCGACGGCAATATACGACCACATTTTGATGCGGGTGTATAAAAATGATATTGATGTCGATGTAAAATAATCTTAATAGATAAATACATCCAAAAAATCCTTATTTTGATTGATTAAAACAGTTAGTTGATATGTTGGTTTCTTTATGGCCCAAATACTGTACTGTACTGTTTAAGATTATTAAACCCAAAGAATTCTACTCTAGCTAACAAATTTTATGAAATTATAGGCCTATGAGCTTATCTTTAAATTGCATTCTAACTTATGAAGAAAATTATTTATTAAACTGGATATTACATCCATTGGTTACATCTTTCATGTTCATCTAAACCAAGTCTTGTACTGACATTTGTAACATAAACTTAATAGGTGTAAATGTAAATCTCTTTCTTAGGGGAGTTAATAACTTTGATTCCTTTTTCAACTATTTCAAGTATCAGTATATATAGAGTTTGAACAAACAAAAAAAACCCAAAGACATAGTTGTAAGAAACAAAGCTTGAACAACCAAAAAAACAAAGACACAGTTGTACCTAATTGTTTAAGTGGCATTTAGTAACTGAATGAGAATAACACAGGACACAATTATATGGAATACAAGTTACTTAAAGGATTTATTGAGCAACGTTTCGACGAGAACCCTCGTCGAAACGTTGCTGTTTTATAGTTGTACCTACCTCTGTCATTTCATGAGTAAGTAATAATGGTATAGTTATGGTGTGAATATCATATCTAAAACACAACTTGATTATATTCCTTAAACTTAATATAGCTGGATGGCGTGACGAGATGTCACCTGACCTAACACTGTCATCACAGACCAGATGAAACACAACATGAACCTCGGACAGATTGGAATGTTCGGTGATATAAAAGTCACCATTATTTAATTTATAATTGGCAGTTTTAACCTGTAAATAAAAATCCAAAGTACATCTTCATTACATCAGACATGACAGGTAAATTATGCTATATGGGATTTAAGTGGAAACTGAAAATGTGTGTATCAGTATTTTAAACAAAACTGAATTACTTGTGAATTTATTTAATTGATTATATTTATGTGTTAAATTTCCATAACAAGAATATATCTTACTTTTATCAACTATTCAGTTTACAATCTATTGATTCATTTTTCTATATCCTGTATTTTTTATCATGTATATATTCTAGCTTTGTAAATGTACTACAGAGCAACTGTTCCAGCTGGATTTTAGCACTATATAATTTTAATAAATAATTACTAATATTACTATAAGTGTTTATCTTCAACATCACACTAGATTTTTTAAGAAATTTGAAATTGTTCATAAAAATTAATACATTAATATTTTCTTTGGGTTTTTTTCTCTGTCACTTAAATGGACACTACCAAAAATTATCTTCAGTGAAATTGATACGATAAAATATTTAAGAAAGCAGACACGATATTAATATGAAAATTGTCAATGACCTTTAATTTCCAGACACAGTTAATGGAAATACTGATGAAAAATGCTTAATTTGATGACACAGTTTTGTCGAACATATGCAATGACCCCATTTTACAAACCATGTTGGCTCAGCTAGTAAGGTGCTGGCTCAGTAACCACTAAGTTGCAGTTTTAATTCATGTTTTGGCCTAGAAAGTTGCTCTGTATTTTCCAGTGTGGTTTCCCCTTGTCAGTGTTGCAGGACAGAGAGTCTGGCAAGGAAAAGTGTCTAGTTGTTGGGATAGAATGTAAAACAAACGTCCTGTGTACATCATGTTTTTCTGTACATGAGAAACTAATTTTACTATGTTTTTCTGTACCTAAGAGTATGTTTTTCTGTACCTGTGAAACTAATTTTACTATGTTTTCCGTACCTGAGAAACTAATGTTAGTATGTTTTTCTGTAGCTGAGAAGCTAATTTAAGTACGTTTTTCTCTACATGAGAAACTAATTTTAGTATGTTTTCTCTACTACCTGAAAAACTAAATTTAGTATGTTTTCATGCACCTGAGAAACTAATAGACATTGCACCAAACAAACAAATATCAAATCAAGTGTTAGTGTTAGTATGTTTTTCTGTACCTGAGAAACTGATTTTAGTACGTTTTTCTGTATCTGAAAAACTAATTTAAGTATGTTTTCTCTACTTGCGAAACTATTTTTAGTATGTTTTTCTCTAAATGATAAACAATTTTGAATATGTTTTTCTCTACACGAGAAACAAATTTTAATTTGTCTGTACCTGAGCATCACTAGATGAACTGTTAGCACTAATACCACTGCCAGTACTCTTTATACTAACTACATCACCATCTTCATTAGATACTCTCTGACTTCTAATTTCATTAGCTTTAATAAATTCTTCCTCAATTAGATAAAAACGACGATCTAAGTCAGAAAAATGGAAGTCTGTCGACTGTTCACACACTCTAGAAAATGCTGAAATTCAAATATGTAACAAAAATACTAATCTGAATTATACACATAGTGATTTTCTTTTTTAAAATCTGTCACAGTAAAACAAGGAATAAATATGTCATGAAATTGATGTGACCTGATAGTGGTAGACATTAATGAAACTTGCTGTATCATACTTTATTTAAAATAATAATTGTCAGCATCAGGTTAAGACCACACATTATCTATCTAGCTATAATAAATCTGTGTTGATTATCTAGTGTATTGTGCTTGTGGGCTTTATTTAACAATACTACAGATATACTTCTTAATAATGAACTTCCCATATTAATTATTACTGCAAACATTAGTATAGTTTTATTTGTAGACAAAAATAAATAACTATAGCCCTGTTTGCATACACAACATTTACTTCTGTATATAAATTTACTCATATGCATTTTTGCACATGTGTGTAATAGTCAATTAATATGAGTTCACGCAAGTTTTAGTAAGGTATGTGAATACCAAAGGGTGTTTCGAAATGTTAACCCAAATATGTCCATACGGGCTTAGACATTCATGATAGACATTCGAAGGACAATATGACAATTCCCTTATCAGCTAACAATGCCATGTATAAAGAGAAATCAGTCTGGGAAATAATGATTGATTCAACCTGGTGAAAGAGTATGTACATCCACGAAAGCGATAACAAATGGTATACCAATTTTCGCAAGCACAGCAACGTGTTTGATGCGATCTGTACAGAGATTAAAAAAGAACATATAATAAATATGGTGTCTTAACTGATTATCTTATGGACACTTATAAAAAGCATGTGCGTAAGTTTATTATGCGTTCACATGACACTATTTGCACCCACTAACTTGATGTAAATTTACTTCTACTGCGAAATTGCAAATGTATGCAATAGCGTTCGCATGACATGATTGATTACTCGGTGGAATCTTTTTTTTTTTTGTGCACTCAGATGTCAAAATAATATATATGTTTACCTCTTTTCATTCCTGTATAACTATTGAGACGGTTATCAACTAACATAATTAAACCGCATAATGAATTAGAATAAAGAGACATGGCTGTTTGTAATCTTTGTGGTTGAGGGATCACAACACCTCTGAAAAACAGAAACATCCCAAAATTTATAGATATGTAAATTATGTACAATTGTACAATTTTAAACAAGCCAACAGTGAGGCTGATGTCCCCCTCCAAAATCCCAAAATAAATAGATGACACACATTAATTAATTGCACATTTATCTTTTTCAAAAGTATCAAGCAATCAAACTGATTACCTATAAATATACAACTGGCGGTAGTTTTTTCCTTTGATCCCAATATTCTCAAAAACTATAGACCTGTGTCTAACTTGTCATTCCTTTCCAAAATTGTGGAAAGAGCTGTAAATCTCCGTCTTCAATCCCATATCTCGAAATATGAGTTGTTGGATAAGTTTCAGTCTGCTTACAGACCCCACCATGGCACTGAGACCACTGTGTTGAGGGTCCTCAACGACCTACAGTGTGCAGTGGATACAGGGAACGTAGCATCTTTGACTCTTTTGGATTTATCTGCAGCGTTCGACACTGTGGACCATCAGATTCTATACAATAGACTTAAAAACCAGTTTTGGATTTCCGGTACACCGCTTTTATGGATCACATCATATCTTAGTAATAGACATCAAACAGTTCTACTTGGTGAGGCTAAATCTCTACCGTTTAAACTTGACTGTGGCGTACCGCAAGGCAGTGTTTTAGGACCCATTTTCTTTGTTCTTTATACAACCGCTTTAGGGTCTGTGATCGATGGCTATGATCAGAGGCACTACTCTTACGCCGATGATACTCAACTCATTGGTGTGTCTAGTCCTATGCTAATCAGAAATGCCTTACAAAAAACTACTGACTGTTCGCTGGCAGTTAAACAGTGGATGAAAGCGAACAAACTAAAATTGAACGACGATAAAACAGAGGCTCTTTTAGTAGGTTCATCACAACAACTCAAGTTACTACCTGATCTTAAAATCACCATTGGTAATTCAGAAATAAATTTCTCCAAAAATGTTAGAAACCTTGGAGTGATATTTGATCCTTCTCTGACAATGGACGCTCAGGTTGATATGGTATGCCGTACATGCTACTATCATCTACGCTGTATATGCAACATCAGAAACTATCTCACTGCTGACGCTTGTAAACTACTTGTGAGATCACTTATTTTATCAAGGATTGATTATTGTAATAGTTTACTCTATGGAATCCCACAAGCATTTCTAGCCAAGATCCAAAAGGTTCTTAATACTGCAGCCCGAATAGTAACAAGGACACATAAGTTTGATCACATCCAGAATGTGCTGGCTTCTTTACATTGGTTACCTGCTGAGGCGCGAGTCAAATACAAAATACTAACATTAGTGTATAAATGTCGCAATAATGCAGCTCCTCAATACTTATCTGAACTCTTATATGACTACAATCCTATTAGATCACTTCGCTCTCAAAATAAACAGTCACTAGTTGTTCCAAGATATAATTTGAAGTCATATGGGTATAGGTCTTTCAGTTCAGCTGGTCCTAGATTATGGAACGAACTTCCACAACAGATCAAGAATCAACAAACTTTTAATCAATTTAAATCCGCACTAAAGACTTTCCTGTTTCAACAGTTTTACCAGTAGAGCCATTACAAAAAGCGTTTTGAGCATGTGTCAACATGGAGAAGACGCTATATAAAACTTCATTATTATTATTATTATTATCATAGGTTGATACATTCAGTTCATATCATACTGTCATGACATCATCTCAGGTTGATATATTCGGTTCATATCAACTGCTGATGACGTTGATGATCGAAATAATACAAAGAACACAGAAATAATTTTTTATTCTTTTGACAATTAAAAAAGTTTTATGTTGGAAGGGAGACGAATAGGTCTCTGTCCCCCCCCCCACCCCCCATGATTTTGATCGCCAGGACAGATTTTCAGGTTTATATCCACATGAATGTCCAGTTCTGAAGGCTATCTAACCACTGCCTTGGATCTCGTAACAGTTACTGATCTTAATGATATCTTCCTCCTTAATTGATCAATCTCAGCTGTCAATCAAAATAATAAATCAACCAATCAAAAAACGTCTCGCTTCTGCGCAAGCCAGCTATATTTCATGATGTACGAATATAAGCAGGTAAATTTGTTAACTTCTACACAAAAGTACCTGGGAAAATGAAAATGGCAATAACTTAAAGTAGCCCAGTCTCTAACTCAATTTCATCCAAAGTCTTCTACATTGAAAACACGAATTATTTGTCAACTTAAATGTTGTGATCATACCGGGAAAAGATGGGCTTCTGATATCCAATAATTAAGACAAAATAAACATTTTACCATTGGTACACGAATTGTGTACCATAATGCGTTTCAGCGCCATTTGTAACAAGGGACTCGAAGAACGAGGCTAGACAAGTCCTGACCCATATTCTTATCTACTATCGGTATAGACTGGAATAACCAGATGCTAGAGATTGCTGTTCGATTGAGACTTCTGGCATATTTCACCGAACATAACCGATTAGAAATTACAGTAAAAACAGAAACAATTGAATGTAAATCAGTTTATATACATTCATACAACATTATAATATGCGTTGCGACCCATTTCTAGGTCCCAAACATTAGCGATTTATCTCCTTTAAACTGAAAAAAGCACAATCGAAATAATAAAAACTCTGCGCCATATCAAAACTTGGCTGCACAACTCCATGACGTAAAAATGACTGAATCACCTGATGGTGTGTGCATAATGACCTCCTTCATGATCAGGACCCAAAGCATGTTGCCAAGATATTCATAGAGAACAGTCCTGATCGTAGTTGAGCAGCTTTGATGTAGGTAGTCATTTTTCCATATCATCATCATATTACCCCTAGTCATAGCTTTCATCGAAATGACACAGTAAACTGTTCGTAATTATATTTTTGGTTTGGTAATGAAATGTTCCAGGTTCCAGGGTTCGTCCATCCCGTGCAAAAGTTATGATGAATCCACGCCCTTGGGTCTAGTTTTTATCCTTCAGCATAGAAATAAACGGCATACTTATTGGCATATTTAGATTGGTTATCTATGTCTAAGATATCTGTCATAATTTTCTTTTCGTCCACATTGCGATTATTTCTCCACACACTCCAAGACTTGAAAGTATTTATAGCCCAAGAGTTCCTTTGTAGTACAGTCCACTTAACAGTCGGTCAAATCCTTCTCTGAACATACCGAAAACCTTCATGGTTCACGGTCAGAATTAGCGGAAAAGATTGCCTTTTGATCAAAACTTTATTCAGCATTTTCACTACCAACTAGTAGATCTCCGGAATTTGCACTCACATCTATTGCCTTTTGATTAAAATTTTTTTCAGCATTTTCACTACCAACTAGTAGATCGCCGGAATTTGCAATCACATCTATTCCACCGTCAATCTGTTGACTAAAAAGGATTGATTATTAATCGTCTGATAACGTGTTACTATCCATTTTGTTTTTGCTTTCAATTCAATTGAAACTATATTTACTCCAAAATGGCGACAAGGTAGTTGGGTATAAACAATGCATTCACATGATTAGTTCGGTAATTTTAGTTATTTGGCGGAAACTATTGAACAATTATCCAATCATCGTTGACTTTTAATGGAAGGGTCCATTTAATTTAAGGGTGATTACAACTATGACGTTGTATATGTCGTATATAACCCTTCTCTCCCTCGGATTGATATGATAGAGAACACTTGAGTTTCGCCCGCGTGTTCTCTATCATATCAACCTTAGGTAGGTTAATATCCTATACTTAGTCAAAGCATAAAAGGTTTTGAAGTTATCTTGTCCCAAAGCATCGACTAATGAAATTGCTTAGCTTTAGTGGGAAATGTTAATCATTGAACTCAGTCAAAAAATCCACCTAATGAACATCTACATCAAGTTTAAACATTCTACCTCAATTAAAAGCAGAGTTGTAATGTTCCAAAGTCTTGACCAATCAAATAGCTTATCGCTCCTTAGCCTAAACAGAAAATTCTCATCATCAAACTTAGTCATGGTAATGATAAAATAAATCTATACTTGAGTTTCATCCCTCTCACTTAATTATAACCAAAGTTATTGTGCCCAAAAGCATCAACCAATCAAACTGCTTACCTCTGCTTAACGTAAGCAGACAATGTTCATCATCGAACTCCATCAAGGCATTCACCTAATGAATGCCTACACCAAGTTTGAACATCCTACCTCAATTAGAAGGAGAGTTATTGTGTTCCAAAGTCTCGACCAATCAAATTGCTTATTGTTCTGCTTACTATCAGCAGAAAATGTTCATTACCAAACTTAGTCACGGTAATTGATGTTATGAAACTATACACCAAGTTTCATCACTCTCCCTTTGTTAGAACTAAAGTTATCATGTTCTAAAGCATCAACCAAGCAAATTGTTTATCTCTGCTTACCCATAGCAGAAAATTCTCATCTTCGAACTCCATCAAGGCATTCACCTACTAAACACCAACACCAAGTGTGGAAATTGTGGCTCAATTAGAAGGAGAGTTATTGTGTTCCACAGTCTCAACCAATCAAATTGCTTAACCCTCTGCTTATCCTAAGCAGAAAATGCTCATTATCGAACTTAGTCAAGGTATTGATGTTATGAAACTATACATCAAGTTCGACCACTCTAACTTAATTATTACTAAAGCTATCATGTCCCAAAGCATCAACCAATCATTTTTGCTTATCTCTGCTTATCTTTCAAAACCTCAAACAGTGATAACTTTGTTCATAATAAAGTAATTTGAATGAAATTTTCATTATATTCATTTTGCATTATCTATTTTGGAACTATTATAGCAATAACAGTCAGCCATTTGTCTAAATCCTACATAACACATCTTTATGCTAATATGTGAACATAACTTTTTGTGTGACGTCTTAAATATTTTTTATTATTGATTTGACATTCTATGAAGGACAACCAGGAACAGAACATAAATTACAATGGTTTCTACAAGAAGTTATGAAATCCTCCATCCACCTATCTCTCACATGTTACTAATGGCAGTTAAAATGTTTATTTAGGTGAATATGGTATTTCTATAATTTATTGTAGTTGTTCCACTTCCTTAAAATATGTATAAGCAAAATTAATGGCTGTTACATTATGCATACATCTCATATATTACAATCAATCACTTTTTATTATAGAAATGTTTTAAGTAAAGAAACTTACCCTACAGTATGTGTTTTATGACGACATAGATCTAATACATCAGTACATAATAAACGTATATTATGTGTTGTCTTCATTTGAGCACCTGAAATAATCAACAATATATTTAATCCCAAAGAATGCATATATTCTTAAAAAAGCACTAAAACAGGCTTTCCGAATTTAACAAAGATAGACATGCAAAGCCTACTTAGCAGTTATGTCTCGAGCAAAGTTAGCCATAGACAGCAATTTATCTGAAAGTAAAACTTGGATAAGTCATTCCATGCCTTCAAGAAATCTGATCTATTATCATAGTCACAAACTTTTCTGGATACATAATATATCTAGAATGATGAAAATCAGCAGGTTATATAATATACTGAGACACAATAAAAACACACCACTGATTTCACTGACTTGATGTGGTGGCAAGACGTAATGAAAACACACCCATGATTTGAATGAAAATTCATCCGTAATGGCGAGTCACAATGAAAACACACAGAGATCGGATTTCGCCTGTATATTCCAGACATGTCTGACGCTATTTTCCAAACGTCCTAAATTGTTCGACCAGGAGTATGCCTAATCAGACATCAAGACACGGTGAATAATATTCAAAATTCCAAAATTAATATAGTGTACTGAATGTATAACTACCACTCAACACGATTATCGTTGATAATAGGCTGGATTGATTAGGTAATTAAAGATACATTATGGGAGATTTTTATAGAGAGTTGGCCATTCTTGCTATAACAGTTCAAAAGTAGATGATGAAAGAAGAATATATTGAAAAATTCAGTCAAATTACTTTATTCTGAACATAGTTATCATCGTTGTAATATTTGCCTAGAAATGGTAGCGAATTGTGTCTTCACCTTTGCTGATCGTTTGATTGACAGGCGTTAACTCCACCTACATATCTCGATTATCAAGTAAAGTTTTCAATGGCATACCGAAACGCTTTACAACAGCCTCGCTAAGTACACTCTATCATTTAGCCTCGATCTAAGTGACGTATTTTCATCAGGTTACCCCTTATTTGATTTAATCAATTAGTGAAATCCTATTTAAATCCGAGCTGTAGCCGAGCCATCCGTGGGTCTACAGAGTTGATTTTGGTCTTGTTGTTTAAATAAAGATCTAATTTATAATTTCTATAACATCTGAAGCCTAAATTAAGACTTGCAATAATCAGATTTAGCTCTTGCATAATGCATGTTTCAGTAATCAATGTATTTATCATGCTATACTGTCTATACACCTACCTTGATTAACTACTTAATCCTTTGTCGGACAATTCCTCAATCTAATCTTAAACAGAAGTCATTGCTTCTCCTTTGTCGGATTATAAATCAATCCAATAAGTGTGATTAGAATTTTAATCCACTTGTTTACCTTGTGGTTTCTCCATTGGCGGACATTATAATCGCATTGATTTGAGACGACAGCATCTATAAACTAGTCATAGATGTCACATATCGTAAGAGTATATAACACCCTAAATCAATGGACAGTCATTTTGTGATTAACCTGTGATTTAATCTCCTTGATGACAACCGGCAACAGGTAAAAATTAGTCGGTGGAAGCGGGCGTTAAATAAAGCATATCCGAAAAAATACTAGACAATACAAGCTCTGTTTCTGATGGCACACGGTTATAGTACAATAACTGAAATGGAGTAGAAATCTCGCAGATGCGTGAAATGGAAACATGACAAATACTACATGTCTAATGTTGGAGAAAAGATTCTATCTTGATGGTATATTCTCGGATTTATGATCATATTTTGAATGGGGATTATGTTTTTAAATAAAGAAATAAACACGCTAAGAAATGTTGATGAATATTTCGATTGGAATAGTGTAAGTAGTTTTTGACGACAGCGCATGCAATTATTTAGCAGATGATGTCACTAGCTCGTTGTGGTAGAGCGACGGTTACTGCTAAATAAATTTTGGGATGTCATTTTTTTGGAGTATAAGATGAATGCCGAACTTCTGCTGAAAAATGTATCGACTTATACCCCCGTAAAATACGGTTATTTTGGAGGAATTTGAAACAGACACGGGTCGGCAGTATACAGCAGGAGCCCAGGGGGGTCAACCTAGCTAAAAGGTGTACTAATTTTCTCCTATATGGTATCAATGCATGAATATCTGGTATCATCAGAATGTAAGTCAGGTATTACAAAAACATTCTGACAAGACATTACTAGTGGTGTGTGTGGGCATGGTGGGGTGGTACCCCTGACAGAGCTATGTAATTACTAGACATTTGTAGTGGTGAAGTATCCCTGACAAGAGTTCTCTAATTTCGAGACCACAGCGTTGAACTTGATCAGTTCCACTGCACAAATCATGAATTTACAGTGAAACGAGTAGGCACGAGGTGGAAACTTAAGTCAGTAAGTCCAGCTCTAGCAGCCACATAGGCCATTCAACGTTGTCGCATGGAAGAGACATGGGATCATTCTCCACTCTCTGGTATTCACACCCTCTTGAATTAATTCAATGACCCGTTCATTTATGCCATATCATTGTGTCTTCCACAGAACTGTAGGAGTTTTACTGACACTAGCGTTTTGAACACATCATGTTATACCCCATGTTCTGCACCATAAAATCATGAATTTCAACAATATTTGTGTTTAGAAGAATTGATCTATGGTGCATTCATATGTATGTAAAAGCATCATTCTCATATGTTATCATTGCGATCTGATATCAAATTCAGAACCTCAAGATTAAAGCATATCTCTCAAACAAGATTTACAATCATTCATCTATAAAAGTGATGCATTTGATTGCATCTAAGAATACTAACCTAAATGTATAGTAAAACTCTCCTCTAGTCTACTAGGTTGTAATTGTCTTTCTTCTTCTTCAGCATCAGGTAAACCAGATGACATAGCACGTAACCTTTGACTGTAATATAACAGAGTATGGAATCTATTTTGTTAGCATTTATATGAGGATTCCAGAGAGAGGGAGAGAGAGAGAAATGGGGTTAATGTTCAGTCGACACAAACTAGGTAATTTCGGGACTAACATATGGTTCAATTTTATTTCAATAATTTGCTTGCGCGTAGGGAGTCTTTAGCAGTGGAAGGAAATCAGAAGATCCAGAGAAAACCCATGAGGTTGGACAGGCGACCCTACTCCTTATCACGTACAACCGGGGAATCTAAACCTTATGATACAACGCGCACGCACTAACCATTCGGCCATCTAACCCCCAACTCATGAGGATTCTAATTATGACAATCAAACCCATAAAATCTGTTTATTTCATTGATTTCTTGTAAACAACAAATAAAATCTGTTGTACACAGACACAGAAATAAAAGTCTGTTTACGTATGAAATTTAAGTGCCAAAATATAAAGGAATGGTGTATTTACCTTGTCTCAAAATTTCAGCTCAAAATATTGAGATAACCCTTTCGAGATTTCGGGTCCTTTTTTTTCGTTGGGTGACCTGATAATCTATTGCCGTTCCTTTAGAGTTCTATACAGAGCATGACACACGTGCTGTACTTGATAACGAAAGGTAAATTTCAAATACACCTTATTTTTTATAAAATAAAAGTCTGGTTTTATCCAGACACCATATAATACAGCTTGGGACACCTATCTCCATTTCCAGTTGAAAACTGACAGGTTAAAGTTGTTGAGTTAGTTGCTCGGCCCCGACGTTGAGGATTCTAAGGGCTTAACACAAAATTATGCAGTTTTATTCTCCAAAATGTAATCGAGATTATAGATTTCAACATGTTGGTTTGTTTTCAGCTTTTAGTATTTATGTGGTCAGTTTATTTACCTTGAAAACTTTATTTAATATAAATTATTGAATTCACATGAAATAATCATCATTGTCTACTTACACGTAAGAAGGAGTGTTTGAGTTGGTTTGAGAATCTTCATGAACTTTCTTGATCCATTCTTTAAATTCTCTCTTCTGTGTTTCTCTTAAGTTACTTAATTCACTTGCCCATTTACTTGATATCAACTAAACAATGTATAACATCAAATTGAATCATCCCCATTTTTGTTGTGTTTTTAAAAAAAAAAAATATCTCTTGCCATTAAAAATATTAAGTTTATTTATTTCCTAATTTTTAAGAAATCAATAAAGCTGCTAATGACTTGACTACATTTATCATCAGTAATTTTCAATAATTAGGATACAATTTCTGGTCAAAGGGGAGTTAATCCATGATATTTATTTCCATTGGAATGGAAATTTCATCCAAATACAAAGCTTGTTAATTTTCTTCCATAGAACAGCCTTGTATTATTTTTGGACCAGAAACCTGCGTCCCATACGCAACTCATCTTGTTGTTCTTTGGGATAATACTCTTCAAAAAATGCCTACAGTTCTGCCAATTAAAGTATAATTGTTCCTTAGACAATTGTGTACCGGTTGACAGATTTCAATTTGTTATATGACGTCACAATTCCAAGAGGGCGGCGATGGCGTCATGTTTTGGTTCATGTTTTGGTTTGGTCCTTAGTCAGTTCATACTTGTTCTATTGTTAACCTCTAAGCAACTGCTGATCTACTTCCTGAATGTATCTGATTAAATCGCAAGCGTAAAACTTTTTCCCTTCTTTATAGTAGTGTAATCTTTTATTTGTTTCGTAAAAGAATATTAATAATAAAAGCTAACCTGAGTATTATCAAAATGACGCTGTGCTAGTTGATTAATATCTTCATCTGTATATTTAGTACCAACATTTGCTAAAGCTTCTTCCATTTCCTCATGTTGTCTGTAAGTAATATAAATATAATCTAACATGTTCTATTTATCACAGTTCTAGCTTTAAACAAGGTGTTTTCAAAACTTTTAGCTTGTTCAATTCCATACTTTAATGTAATTTGAAGAGTGTTGCTATAAATGTGTATTTAAAAGCCACGGTGGCTAGAACGCAGACTAGCTGGCCTGGAGGTCGCGTGTTCGATCCCTGCATTGGCCGAGAAAGTTCATCAGGATTTTCTGGCGTGGTTTCCCCTTGTCGGTGGTGTAGAACAGAGGGCTTGACAAGGACAGCTGTCTAGTCCTCGGATAGGACAAAAAAACGAGGACCTGTGTATACATTGACGTGCACATAAAACATTCCTTGGCAGTTGGAATTTCGATATAAGAGTAGGCCGTAGTGCAGGTGCCCGGGCAAATTTACCTTATAGAAGACTATATGGCCTATGCCCGTCTTCATTAGCCCAGTAGGAGCAGAACAGTAGGACATTAAACTCCATTTCATTTCATTCATGTGTACTGAAATTTATGCAACCCACTGTACCAAAACACTTATGGTTTGTTTTGCTTTGGTTGCAGTTGATGATGTTTGAATAAGCAACTAATAAAACAAAGAACTGTCCAATATGCTATCATAAACCAATCTACTTTCGACTCAGTTACAAAGTGTTAATTATTACTTGTTGATTAGAAAGTTAGTCAATTTGTCAGGTAATCCTTAACAGGCACACGAAATGAATACAGACTAATTCAGTAATAAGCACATTTAATGCTATCGTTATTTAAGCAGAAGAATTCATACCACAATTAAAAATCACATATCGATAAAATATTCAAATCCCGTACGTAATAAAAATTCATATTTAATTCCTGTACGGTATTCAATTCATACCACAATTAAAAATCACATGTCAACAAAATATTCAAATGCCGTACGTAATAAAAATAGGTGAACCTCTCTATTTTTCATATTTAATTCCTGTACGGCATTCAAATTTATGTCAGTAACATTCCTACAAAATTAAGCATTTTCCTAATACATTGAATGAAAGCTTGCCAATGCTGCTTCGGCATCAAATTCACAACCGTAATATTCCTTCAAAATTATGTGTCTTCGTTTATACGGCAGCAAATGAATGCAGAACTTCCGAAATAAGAATAGTTTGTAATGTCAGAACATCGTTTTTTCTTTATAAAATGTCAACAAAATGTTCAAATCCGTGCGTAATAGAAATAGGAAGACCTCACTATTTTTCATATTTAATTCCTGTATGGTTATGGTATTCAAATGTATGTCAGTAATATTCCTACAAAATTACATGTCTTGGTTTATACGGCAGCAAATCAAGGAATGGCGTTCGAAATAATAATACTTGTGGTGATGACAAAGCTAACTTCAGCGTATGGCGTACGTGATTCATGGCACATAGCTTCATAGTAAGCACTGCCTTTTATGTTAAGCAATTTTCGTATGGTAATCGAGATCACGGGAAAGTGCCACTGTGGATGAGAATTTATATATGGAGTCTTAAAAGACGTAAAAGATATCACAGACAAAATGACTGTCCATTGATTTAGGGTGTTATATACTCTTACGATATGTGACATCTATGACTAGTTTATAGATGCTGTCGTCTCACATCAATGCGATTAAAATGTTCGCAAATGGAGAAACCATGAGGTAAACACGTGGATTAAAATTATAATCACTCTTATTGGATTGATGAATAGTCCGACAAAGGGGAAGCAATGACTTCTGTTTAAGATTAGATTGATGAATTGTCCGACAAAGAATTAAGTCAGTTAATCATGGCAGATTAAGTAGTTAACCAAGGTAGGTGTATAGACAGTATAACACGATAAATACGTTGATCACTTAATTACCTAATCAACCCAGCCTATTATCAACGCTAATCGGGTTGAGTAGTAGTTATACACTCAGTACACTATATTAATTTTGGAATTTTTAATATTATTCACCATGTCTTGATGTCCGATTGGGCATATTCCCGGTCGGACAATTTTGGGCATTTGGAAAATAGAATCGGATATGTCCGGAATATACGGGCGAAATTTCATCCCTGGTTTAAGGCCATATACTCTAACATATATTTTTTATAATTTTTTGAGAGGGGTCATGTTCTCACCACTGGTCCAGTTGATATGGAATGATCCAGCTGCAATTAAGAAGAAAAAGTCTCCAGCCACAGGCACCACCTCTGTTTGCAACTAGAAGCAGAAAAAGAAATAAACAAGTGTTTAACTTACTTAGAGTCTAGATGTTGTAAATCAGCATCTCTATTGGTTATAATATCTTCTACAGATAAAGCATAGGTATGTTCTAGATTTAGAACTGTTTCTAAAGCAGGAGAATGTATTAATGTATGATAAATATCAGAAAACATTTGTTCGTTAGTTATTTCTTCTGGTTTAGCATATTCCTTTACTTCCTAAAACATATAATAATAAAACATCCCAATAAACTTTTATTGCAACTTTTATTTAATTACATTTATTGAGTTTTCCTCAACGTACCATAATAACAGAAGATTTTTTTTTGTAGCATGCCACCATCAAAATGTTCCAAGACTACTGATGATTATAAAATCCGCTGCTCTCATCTGTCTTTACTCTTTTGAGATGAGTGCTTATGGGAAAGATGGGCTAGATCTTTTAGAGATGCATGGAATGTTCAAATCCTTTTATCATGTCAATTATAAGTATTTATCTTGAAATTAAAAATTACTAAAAATAAATACTAAAGAATGTTTCTATTTTTTGGCCGAAATAGATATAGTTATATAATTTTAAAAAATGAAAAGTTAGTGGAAAAGAGAATAGTAACTTGTCCAATGAAATAGGCCGAGTTATGCTATATATTTACATACATTAGTTGATTTCATATAAATTTTAAAAAAGTAGTTCTCTTTAATATCTAGGTAGAGAATTGTCAACAATTTTAACTTCAAAATTGGTTCAAAATCTTCAATTTATTGGAAATTATACACTATACATAAACTAAGCATTTTGATAACCAACTTTGTGTTCCAAAATATTAAACAAAAATTAACTTCCGCTTAATCTTCCAGAAACCCCCCAAAAAACAGGTTGCCAGGCAATGACACATATGTCCACAGCAGCTAAATCGTCCGAGCAGTCAACAAGGGTTGTCGCATATTTATTCGTTTGTAGGTAGCCTAATGGGAGCATTTACAAGACACTGATATATCAATTTCATACAGATCAAATGATAACTTTTGTCACTGGAGTGTTCCCAAGGTTCAAGTTCAACAAAGGGCTTAACTCTAGAAGTAATTAACGGAAATTGCTGAAATTCGATAGACTTCTTTGTTTTACTAATCTAAATAATGCCTAGAAGTTATTAATTGAAACTGCTGAAATTCAATAGGATTCTTTGTTTTAATGCTCTAAATAATGCAAACAAATCTGTAACAAAAAGGATAATAACTTTAGACGTTAGAGCGTTCACAAGTTTCAAAACTAAAATTAGTTATTAGTATGCAAATATCAGATGTTATCTAGTGAGTTGCAGTACTAAAATTTGTTATTGAGTTGCAATGCTAGTCTAGTTATTGAGTTACAATGCTACATTTAGCTATGAGGTTCCAATGCTAGGTTTAGCTGTTGAGTGTAATCAGCAACAGCCCAAAACACCCCTAGAATTTGCATACTGAATTAGTATCTTGTAACTTGCAGATAAATTTGAAAATATAATGCCAGCTTTACAAGGTTAAATCCCATGCATTAAAATAAAACGTTTTAATTGGCACATACATACATCTTGAAGTTAATTTGGGCCATAAATATCAGAATCTTTTTAATGGCCAAAATGAATGTCTGACGTTAGGTTAATATGTAATCTTACCAAAATACATAAACCGCTTATTCATTTGATGCACATAGGGTGGATGGATGTGATCAAGTGGATATATTATAAGACAGGTAAAATATGTCTGCTTTGATTCACAGAATCGTAGATATAATGACAAGATCTTTGCAAGCCAGAATTGAACATAGTATAGTTTGTAATCATAGAATGATTACTTAATCATGGCTAGCATTACACTTTGCTAAATTCTTCTAAACATATGAATAATGATCAAGAATATCATATATCAGAATTCGATGTTACCACTAGACATTTATATATAATGAGATTACAATTATATGCATCCTCGTTATCCCCAGTGTTCTCATTCCGTTCTACTCCACTAATCCATAGGGTTTCCACAATTTCAAATTATCTGCCCTGGCCTTGATTGTAGCTATAGTCTACGAACCAATCAAAAAACAGTTTACAAACCAGTCGTTTCGCCTTCCTTTTTATAAGGGTAGATAACCATATTCATGTCCATTTACTGAATGATTTATGTAAATAATGTATATATTTCTAACTCATTGATATTTAATTGTATTATCAAAATCTGTAGTATGTTACGCTGTCTTCAAATATGTATAACATCTATATGTTTGACTTTTGTTATTATTAGTACTATTCGTTCTTTGTATGAAATGTCTCATTCTGTTATGTTTATAATTATAGAACTTATACTTGACAATTTGATGCACAATAACTTGTTTACGATATCATGTGGGCGTAAAACTACAGGAACGAAGGAACGATTCTCAATTAAACTCTAGAAACCTACATATCTATAAATGTCCGGTCTTTTTTAATTAATATAATATTGTATAATATTATTAATACATTGTTAATAAGTACGCATTTAGAATAATTTGAACTAACTCCTAACCTTGTCCGATGAGAGTTACTTCCCATTGCCAACTTTCTTTGCAATTGACGATTTATGGGATTGGTCGATAAAAATAGCACAATCATCTCGGGCGGATAACTTGAAAGCATGCCCCCCCCCCCACTAGATTAACCTAGGGGTTAGTGGATAAGAACGAAATGAAACCACTGGGTATACCGAGGATGAATTATATGGGAATCAAATAAATGAAATGAAATGAAATGGGGTTTATCGTCCTACTGTTCTGCTCCAACTGGGCTGATGAAGACGGGCATATGCCATACAGTATGCTATGAGGGAAATTTTGCCAGGGCAGCGGCACTATGGCCTACTCATAACTGCCAGGGATCTTTTATGTGCACGCCAATATACGTCGGGACCTCAGATTTTTATCCCATCGGAATGACTAGACAGCTGTCCTTGTCAGGATCTCTTTCCTGCACCACGTCGGAAAATCCTGATGAACTTTCTCGGCCAATGCAGGGATCGAACACGCGACCTCCAGGCTAGTGGGCCACGGGAATCAAACAGTATTCTTGTACCAAATCAACAAAATTATCACCTGTGTAAAAGCCTTGGTCCATCTATCAATTAAATCATCTTCATTTACACTTCCATTTATCACAGAGTCAATGGCAGCCTGGGCATTATTCTCGTGCCATTTTTTCGTTTCTTCTTCAATAAACTTTGATAAACTGTTCTTCAGATCTATAGTTTAAATAAACATAGGAAGTGGTTATTAGATATAAGAAGAGAAAAGTAATTAAAAGCGATCAAATGATTATTGTGGACACAGCAAATTAAGAAAGTTTCATTAATAACAAGCCAAGAGTGAGGCTGATGTTCCCCGCCGCAATCTCAAAATAAATAGATGATACATACTAATTCATTGCACATTTATCTTTTTGAAAAGTATCGAGCAATCAAACTCAGTCTAAGCAGAAAATGTTCACGGTCAAACTCCGTCAAGGTTTTGAAGTACCTGGTAGTGAAACTATGCACTAAGTTTCATCACTCTCCATCAGTTAGAATAAAAGTAAACTTGTGCTAAAGCTTCAACCATTAAAATTGCTCTGCTTAGCTTTAGCAAAAAATGTTAATCATTGAACTCAGTCAAGACATTCACTTAATCAATATCTACACCAAGTTTAAACATTCTATCTCAATTAAAAGCAGACTTGTTAAGTCTTGACCAATCAAATTGCTCATTGTTAAGCAGAAAATTCTCATCATCAAACTTAGTCAAGGTATTGCTATAATGAATCTATACTCTGAGTTTCATCACTCTCACCCAATTATTGTGTTCCAAAGCCTCTGCTTAGCCTTAGTGGAAAATGTTTATGATCGAATACTGTCAAGACATTCACCTAATAGATATCTACACCAAGTTTGAACATTATACTTCAATTAGAAGGAGAGTTATTGTGTTCCAAAGTCTCAACCAATCAGATTGAAGTCTCTACTTAGCCTAAGCAGAAAATGCTCATCATCGAACTTAGTCAAGGTACTGATGTAATGAAACTATACACAAAGTTTAACCACTCTCACTCAATCAAAGTTACCAAGCTCCAAAGTCTTGACCAGTCAAATTGCTTATTGCTCTGCTTATTCTGAGAATAATGGTTAGGCTGGTGAGCCCAGTACATATCACATACATGAGTGGGATTGACAGCACACATAGCTTGACTCAATGACAGACCTTACGATCTTAAAAACATGCATTAGACCATTCAGCTACCCCCCCCCCCCACCAGCAGTAACAGATGCAGAAGGACCACATTACACATAACAACAAGTAGTTAGTAGATAATTTAACACCAATTATAGATGGTAAAGTGTGACCATAACATGAGAAAATCAACTATCATTCTATGTCATTTGAGAAAAACTAGAAAACAGGTAAACAACAATATTTTAATTTTGAAAAAAATAATATTATTATGTGTTTATAAACAGTGTTTTCACAAAAATTAAAAATACTTGAGTTAAGAGATCTCTTGAAATTAGATAAACCCTAAAAAAAAAAAAAGCTCTCTTAATTGTTTTCATTTACATATTACACAACATCTATATTTATTTTCTTAATATAATCTATTATCATTCACTAAAATATCTGAAGTTCTTGGAATGCTGGCTTAACTCTTTTGTTCTGTTGAATTCCAGTAAATTTGATATTTTGGCAGGTGCACATTGTTAAATATAAATTCTGAGCATTTTCAGTCAACATTATCAGTATTTTATCCCAAAAAAAAAAAACTACTTGACATCACCTGTATCAACAAGAACAACAGCTATATGTTCAAAATATTGTAAAAGTATCTTAAATAAATATCAATAATACCATATGATTGTATAGTCGTACAAATGTCAAATTATTCAAGGTCTGTACATTTAAATATGATTGAAAATAAAACGCGAAATTCTTAAAAAGCTTCACTTAGATAAATACACATATTTCAAGCAAAAAGCAAACACTGATCACAATTACATTTTTACTGTTGATATGGCATAGTAGGGTCATTATAGGTTCGAACTGTATATAGATATCTGGAAGAGTTTGATGATATTATCACAATTTAATCCTGACATTTCAATATTCCTAAACATTGTAATAAAAATACAGTTATACTAAGAATTACCAATGTATTTATTTTATATCCAAAAAAAACAACAATGTCAAACACTTTTATTCTTCTCAATGAAAGATTTCTCATCTATCAAAAACATATCAGTCTATCTAGCCATCATTACGAATATTTACCATAAAAGTTACTTGAATTGCATTTCCTGTGGTAGTCATACTTAGCAGGAATAAAAACGGCACATTGTTAAGCTGTCTTTCTTAATCTGCCAAATTTATTGTTGGGAGATATTTAAAGAATTAGTAACATTTCAAATAATTATTTGCTAATTTCTTCAAAATTGTCATTGAATAATTGTTGTATAACGCATTGACATTTTACAGTATCTGATTAACCAAAAGTTGTTAGACATAAACAAGCATTAATCGAAATGGCAAACTCATTTATAATAATCTTTCCACCTGCTCAATGTCCAAGAATACATTTCAAACACAGGAATTTACTGGAATTTAGTGAGAGATGCAGATTGCTTTAACATGATTTTACTTCCTTTTCTCTGGGAAGAGGAGAAGATTTATGATTGTAATAACTGTTAAAAGTTTATCTGTTAAAGCTTACCATCTTCAATATAACAAGGTAAATTATGAGATAGTATCAGTCTTCCCATAAACTCTTCAGTTGATACATTTACTGGAATTGTAACAGGAACTGTCAATGTTGATTTCATATCTTTACTGGTAAATGTAAAGCTAAATTCTTTTTCAATGGAATGTTGCATTTTGATATTTTACCAAATCTGTAAATACAAAAGAGCCGAATACATTAACAATTAAATATTTAAAACAGGATAGCCTCCCTTTAAATGATATCATTTGGCTTCTGGAATGAAATGAAATGGAGTTTATTGTCCTACTGCTCTGCTCCAACTGAGCTAATGAAGAGCATTTACCAAAACAATAAATACAAAAGAGCTGAATACATTAAACATAGATTATGCAAGAGCTCAATCTGCCTATTGCATGTCTTTCTTTTGGTTGAAATGTGATATAAACTATTAATTAGACATTTATTAACAAAACAAGACCATAATCGATTCTCGATGTCATCGGATACTCAAGATTTTAACTAGACTAGAACGGTTCGCCATTTAAAAATTTCATTCAAAAATGGGAAAGCGAGACTAAGTCTTGAATATACCAGTGCCCTGGTTACCACAATGCACACATCTTGTCAAAACTATAAACAGTGATAACTTGGCTCAGAATGAAGTAATTTGAATGAAATTTTCATTTTACATTATCTATTTTTGAGCTATTAAAACAAGAATGGTCAGCCCTTTATCTAAATCTTACATAATGTATCTTTAAAAATTAAATATTTAAAAAAGACTTGAAATGGAGTATAACATTCTACTCTACGGCCTACTCTTATATTGAATTCCAACTGCCAAGGGATCTTTTATGTGCAGTCCAATGTGTACACAGGACCTCGGTTTTTCATGCCATCCAAGCGACTAGACAGCTGTCCTTGTAGCCCTCAATCCTGCACCACTGACAAGGGGAAACCCCGCTGGAAAATCATGATTAACTTTCTCGGCCAACCCCAAGAGTGAACCCACAACATCTAGGCTAGCGATGCTGCATCTTACTCACTGAGCTATTGTGGCTTCCTGATTTTGCTTCTAAAATGTAGTTCAGATATAAATGTGTCTTTGCATTTATACTAGAGACATGTACAAAACCATTGGATGGTAACCATATCCAAACTACATGTACCTTGAAAAATATATTGGCTACCAAAAACATATCTTCAAATGACCTTTTTTTTTAACAATTTGCAAAACTGGTATTTAGTAGATGAATGGTGCACTTGCAAAAAGATGAATGAATGAGTGCAGGCATTATAGGTAAACTTGTAAATAATCCAGATCAGATTCATTTAATTTGTTTAATCAATTATAAAGGAACATATCTTTCAATCAAATGAAGTTTAACAGCTACTTTGCTGTGGACCCAAGGTTTTTCGTCCCAAAATTGAAAAAGGATGTAAAAGTATTTTAATTTTTCTTAACAAATCATCATATTTTTTTAAAAACTGAATTGCCATAGCCTACATAAAAATAAATATTTACTATATAGATAATGATACTCTTATACAAGGGAACCTGATAAAGTTTACTGATTATTTATTACAGAAATATTTTACACTTCTCAACTTATGGTAGATGTTGGACAGATAGTGTTAAAATGTTCAGACTGAATCCTGTGTAGGCCTAGTCAGTCACACCATCTCTCTTAACCAACCGTGCTGATCTTAATGTAACTTTCCAAGACTGATTCATCAGGACTGAATGCCAATTATACAGTGGTACTATACTCCATCCAAAATTGTAAAAAAATATGGACCAAAGGCCTTCCTTAAACTTTGCTGATGTGCCCATTATTGAAAAGATAAAGGTATATAATTGTTCTTTCAAAATTATACTGAGATATATTATTTTACTATAATCATAGCATTCAGTGACACTTATTTTGTGACTAGGCTGGACTAGGTAATGATTTTATAGTTTTACTCTTCCCTGGACACCTGATACTACTTCAATGTTATTATTTTGATTAATTTACATTTTGGAAAGTCTACTTATTAGAAATTCAATTTTCCTGTTATGGACTCTTTGTCTTCCCCTTAGGATTTGTAGAAAGGTTGAAGATTGTCTTTGGAAAGGTAAAAATGATCTTGTGATAGTACTACGTATATGAATATAATGATCAGAATATGTGTGAAAATCCATAAAAAAAACCTCTGAATCTTTGGAACAAATTGACAAAAACAGTGTCTTATCTTCTCATCATCTGTCAAACTGAAAACAGTCATAGGAAAAGAAAATATAACAGACAGCTTTACACATGCCATCTTTGTCACACATGTGTAGGGTTACCAGATAATTCATTGAAGAAACCGGGACATTTGTTATTCTGATCAGACAAAGGCAAAAATGAGCATGGAGCACCCGAAGGGCGTGACGTAAATGAGCGCCTATAGACAGCGATATATTGAGGGCCAAAGGCGCGAATTTGCTAGGGGGGTTGTGAGCATGCACCCCAAGAATTTCTTTCTTTTCTAGAAGCCAGTAGATGTGTTCTTCGTCATTTTGTGATGGTAGTCACACCTCACATAAACATATTATGTCATTAAATGGACCATTGACAGGCATTATATCAATTTGTCAACTTGTAGATTGTTTTACAAGTCTTAATTAAAATGTATTGTATTTTGTATTGTGTTATAAAGTCTCTAAACCTCTACATCGTTAACCGATAAAATTATACCCAAGATCATACGTCAATTTCTGTATAGACAAGTATATTCCAATTCCTGTTTTAGGCCTGTAATATGCACTGAACTATATTTAGAGGATGAAGCACAAGTGTTTGTAGCAAACTAGGTAAACATTAATCACTAGTTTATGTGTTTTGTATTTTCAATTGAAAAAAACCAATATAAAACCGGGACAATTAGGCCCATGAGAGGCATCAGTGCGGGATGGCAGAAAAGACCTCCAAAACCAGGATGTATGTTAACGCTACACATTAGTCCAGTAAATTAGTAAGACTACACTGCCTTAAGCACAACAGCTGTGCAAGTTTAATAATTACTGGTAACATAACCCATATGGTGGAAACATGCGATCTAAATTGGGGGTTAGCTGAGAATGTGACATACATGTAAGGATGTTATACAATACAATAACCGTCATGCATCGTCATTGCCTGCATTGACTCTTGTGTGTTAAAAAAAAAATCTGTTTCGTTCCTATAGTGATCAATGAAATAAGTGAAATGAAAATGTTAAATAAACCACTGCATAGTCATTATTTTACTCTACAATAGGCCTATTCTAGATCTAGAAGTCAGACTAACCTCCTAAAAGAATTGCCCAATCATAAATTGCATTTTATCGACCTATTTCAACCTATTCCTTAGCCAAATTAATTTTATAAGTGGGAGTGTTTATAGAGGCAGACATCTTTACAACGGCATTCTGGGATAACTCTCTGGAAGTAGGTCACATGTAGAGATGGAGGAAAGTCGGTCACCGCTGGGTGAAAGCCGTCCAAGTGTCCCACGTGGTAAGTTTGTCTCCCCCGGGCTTTTTGGGGTTTATTATCTACTCTAACTATACATGTGCTAACTATTGTTCAATAATTTTGTACTGTTGTCATACATCACCTTTGTTTTTACTGTTTAGCATTGGACATGAGGTTTGGTATGCGCTTTGTTTTAGAACTAGGTCACCGCCTCCGTGCATTGCTAATGCTGAATATTTTGCCCTCTATGTGCCCTAGAATATTGTCAGTATTCTATATTGATTTTGAACTATGTGTCAGGCATCAGTTTCGGAATGTTTTACTTTTCTTTATGATGTTAATATATGTTTTCAAAATTTGAGGGGTGCTACCCGTCAAACTTCATTATACGGGTCAAACAATAATAACTGGGTCATATTTGGACATACCAGGGCCAAACTTTAATAATCTGGATGTTGTTATGACTTTATTGATGGTAACTATATTGTTAGAATTTCTTTTGGCAGTTTTTATTATGGTGTGACATGTGCTGTGTTTTTATCTTTTGTGAACAAACTGCTTTACTTATTGAGTGTCAAATTTTATGTGTCAATGTGTCCTAGATCTCTTATGACTACCAAACATCTAGTTGAGTAAGCCATTGCGTTCATTTTGTCAAGCTTATGGCAAGCCAAAATACTCTGGTGTTAGTCGGATTTGACCTCAATTATGTCAGGTTGACCATTTAATGTGTCTAGCCATTAATTATTCTACTTTTGATTCACCAAGAAACCTTAGATCATTCAACATCGCTGGACAGAAATCGGCCAGGGTATACCTTAGCTTCATTTACTTCAATAAGGATACAGTGAAGTCATGACATGGAAGTGGGGTAGGCTATTTATTTTTGGAAGTCTGTTGGCCTATATATTAACATTACTCACCAGACTGTCCAGGTCAGTTTGGATTAAGGGAAAATATTTTAGTTTTAATTTTCAGCAAAAAATCTATAAATTAACTTTTTTTTCTATTTTTCCTAAAAATATCTGAGAGTAATAAAGTTTTTTGGTTGAATTCTACATGTATTTCTTTTTTTGCAATGTTTAGATTTTTTGCCCTTGAAAACAATTTATTTTTCTGGTGGTACATTACTCACTGCTCTGAAATTTTTGACGAATTATAATGTTATGGATAAGCATTCAGCAAGGTGTCTAGAATAAGATTTTATTTATTTTGACATTTATTTATCTGGGATACTCTCACTATAATTACAGTGTTTCAGAATTAAAATGTTCAGGTTATTCAATGAGTGTTTTGAAAATAAGCCCATTTTTGATATTTAACCCGTTATCACTTGAAGAAGATTATAGAGAAAAGTGATATCATACTGGTTCTTTTACGGACAGTCCATAATCGTCCAAAACTACTGTTCTTAGATCGCCTCAAACTGCCCTAGTGATGTGAGTATTGTATTGTACATATACTACAGTTCATGGGGGTGCCAGAGCTATCATGTGAGTCAGGTGGTCTAAGGAGCACTAGTTTCAGATGCCTTAGTGGACTTTTCTAGTTAAAGATTCTGGTCTGAAAATTAAACAAAACTCTACTCAAACCTGTAATTTTCAGTCGGTGAGCTGGAACCATTAAATTGTAGCCTGATATTACGAGGTAGACTAACAATAGGTAAAAAAAAAAAACGAGATGAAACTGTTGCAAATAAATGACAACATATATGTAATAATAGCATATCACACCTGTATGTCACAATCACATATATTTATATAGTTATCACTACTTCTCACTAGCAAACTGTTCTGTTCTTGCGCAAGTTTTAAAATAAATGTGGTTTATAATCCATGACAGCAAAGATTCTTTAACTTTGATGTTCGGCAAGCGTATACATGTACATTATTGTTAAAAGGAGATTATGTAAATAATAGAATATTAGACAAAAATATCTAGAAATATCTTTCAGGATCTCATTAATTATTATTAATAAAAAGGAACAGAATAATACAGAATTACATTAAACTTCATATTTATAAATGATTTCTATTTTCAAACAACCTGACTGATTGGAATTGGAATTTATAGCAGTCATGCATTATCAAGTTTTAAAAATAATTCTTAAATCACATTTGTTTAACAAAAAGAAGCTTATTTTTATATTATCTGTATCATATTTTTAATAACCACACCTTGTGTGTAGTTTCAATATATTTATCTTTTTTTTTAACAGATGTGATCATTTTACTCACATCATATATTTTTTGTCTTTGCTTTTGACATTCATGAATTTTTTGTAAGGCACCATATAAAATTCTTAATAATAAAGGACAAACTGTGGTTTGCAATTTTACAAAAACAAATAAACCATTGATAGGTTGAAATGTAGAGAACATTTCATACCATAGGGTCTAGAACTAGATAGATGGCCAAGTATATTTAAATGGTAAAGTGAGAGAGAATTTTACTTCTATCTTTCTAAAATAAGGGAAGTCAAGTTGATTCAGTGATTAAGGGCTGGATCACTAATCAAGAGGTCTACGACTTTAGGGACTTAATAATGTTAGTATATAGTTAAACAATGAAATCCAAGGGTTTATAAGGGGAGAAAGAAACAGTAGACAGTATACAAGAATCAGATTATCAGTTGACATGTCAATGTCCATCTGTGCAGTCATGGCTATAACCTGAATGTATCCTTAAATGATTGTCACTTACAAACATACAATTATCAGGTCTTATACACCCTGTATGGATTGTTTCTTAGTGAACATACAGCTTGTAACTTAATTATTGATGTCTGTCTGATTAAAAAATTATTCTTATTCATATAAAGAGTACAATTACATTGATTAAGCTGGAGACAATCTATAATGGCTGGGAACTTAAATTAATTATTATTTAATTCTAAATTAATTCTGCACAGTCATGTATAAGTTAAAGTGTTAAAAGCAAAATCATCTTCAAATGTTAAAACCAAAATACATATGTCTTTTAATTAATATAATATTATCTACCATTTGTCGATTTGCAGATAAGAGAATTGTACATGTATTACAAGTAATCTAATTGTGTAAACTGCATCATGTCACATCATTATGTCTTATGCATGTAGAAACAGTTCTAAGAATAAGTGTTATTTATTGTATTATGTCATGAAGACGCATCCATGCAGGTAAATAAATTTAAAAAAAAAATGACCTCTCTCTAAATAAAGTCGATGTTAAAAATATGTTTGTAAGGGTAATTTGTTATTATAATGGCGGTACTATTACTGATTGTTATCAATATTTTATGATGTTGTATAAAAAGTAGGTATCTGGGCTTCTAGGTCAAAGTCAGTAGATTTGTAAACTGTTGATACAAGCTGTCATTGAAGTTACATTTAGAAGAATTTCTACATTAAACTTAATCTCTCTATATGGCTATGACCTATATAGATGGACATAGATCTATATACATAGATTAGTTAATGTTATTGTATAATATGGTTATTGTGAATAAAGTGTCATGTCACTAGCATAGTCCTTAGTATTATACATATTAGACATTTAGTTGATTGATAGCTAATTCATATTAAAAAAAAAACATTTTGATTTAAAAGTACATCATACTTATTATACATGTACATTTAGTCATTGATAATTGATATAAAAGATACATTTTGACCTGAAAGTTCATTATATCTTTTGATTGATAATTTATATTTTAAACAAAATGTTGACCTAAAGTTTAAACCAGAGGCGAAAAATAGGAACATTTGGAAGTTTTAAATGCAGTTTAGATAATGTCAAATATATGGGTCCATTCTTCTTCTTCTATTAGTCTTTAACGATTGCTTCCACCAAGGGTGATATCACAGACAAGTTGTCTTATTTTATAATGCTCACTGCACGCTCAGGGGTCTTTCCTGTGAGAGGAAACTGGAGTACCCGGAGTAAACCCACAAAGTTGAGAAAGCGCTCCAATCTCCAAGCCACATACATGTAGGCTCACACCAGGAAGCGAAACCATGACCGTAAGCCAGAGGTGACTGGCCAGTAAGAGCACAACACTCTAGATCACTTGGCCATCCCAACCCTCCCTATGTAAGTCTAACAGTTTGAAATCTTATACATGTATATAATATGGTGTCTATCTTGTGTATTCATTGTGATATATTGGAGTCTTGAACAGTCTTAGTTTAACATGTAATTTGGTGAGATACAATATTTGGACTGTTTCTATAGATATCAGTGTCATGTTTTACATCTTGTTCACTTGGACAATTTTAAAGCTAGCTGAAAAACTCCAGACATTGCATGAAAGATACATTATTGAAGAGTAGATAAAGAGCTGGTAGTTTTCTTTATATTTGTTAAATACTTGATAATGTAAAGGGAATGTGCTGAAAATTTCAGTCAAATTGCTACACTCTGAACCAAGATATTAGCAATTGAATTTTAGGCCTAGCCTCGATCATCATTACTAAAGTCGGTACAATAAAAAAACATAGTCTTGATTAGCCATTTTTTTATTTAATCATCAATGAACCTTCAGCAGCAGATCAGATTCAAATTCAGTGAAAATCTGACACAAAAGATGGCACAGAGAGTTGATTATGGTCTTGTTTTGTTAATAAATGTCTAATTAATAGTTTATATAACATTTCAGGCCTAAAGAAAGACCTGCAATAGGCAGATTTAGTTCTTGAATAATGTATGTTTAAGTTAGCTTAGTTTCACCTTCTCCAAATGTGGATTAAGGAATAGTAGTATATAATCTTCTGTCATGTGAATTTCATCGCATTCTCACAGGCTGAAAAATATCAGACACTACTGAACCTGTGTCTGGACTTTCAAACTTTGTGCTAAACCTATCATAAAATTACAGAAAAAACAAAATCTGTGCCGTACAAAATGACTATCATGAGGGGTTTTGTGTCATGTTCTTATTTCCAGACTTGATTTCTTGGGAAAATGGCAGTGCTGTGTAGACTAGATTATTGTGTGCCTCTGTAATTAATTTTAACGTGCAATGTACGAATGAATTTATAAAACGCATGAATTCCAACATTGATATACTTCTCAGCGGCGCTATGAGTCTGACAAGGTCAAGATCAGACATCTAATTAATTTAGATTGCTTACGAAAAGTGTTTCATACATTATAAGTTTGCTTAAGAAAAGTGTTTCATACATTATAAGTTTGCTTAAGAAAAGTGTTTCATACATTATAAATATTTGAGGCATATACATGTATTTGAATACTTATTGAATGAAACAATCACAACACTTCTGTAGAAGACAATTACTACAAATAAATCGGAGCCATTTCATCATTGATCTGAAACAACAAGAAAGAAAAAAAATAATACCTCTACATGTGTAAACCATCATAATATTTGTAAAGGCTCTTAACAAATCTAGAATAGTTGAAACCACTTAAACATAAATAAATTCTATAACAGATGTAAACATTATAAATCCCCCGAGGAGATAAAAGAGAAAGCGTGTATCCAGAAAGTAACAATTGTTCAATTCAATTGGATTTGGTTCTTTATATTTCGGTAAGGGAGTTGTAATCTTCATAAGAAATAGTTGTATGCTAATTAGTGGCCCAAAGCCAATTAAATTTAATACCGAACCAGTAACAAATTTATAATGCCTGTTTATTGGACTAGTTAGCAATTTTTGGTCTGTCTATTCAACTCTTTCATGAATAATTGACATTGGATTCATTGTGGTAAATGTATGATTAATACAAAGAGGATTGTAGGTGTACTTTGATTTTCTTTGAATGACAACATTTTTATAAAAACAAAAATAAATTTGAAAAAAAAGAGCTTTATTGCATTTTGGGCCATCAAGTCTTTAGGAGTGGACACTTTACTTTTAAGTTAATGGTC